TTGGCTGGATTGAATGAAAAAAATCGAAATAATGGTTCAAATAAAACAAAGAAAGCTTTCAGGACATACCAAAAATGGACAAAAAAATAAAATAAAACAGAGATGCATTAACTACAGAAAATTTAAGAAGTTTAAATTCTTTTTTTTCTTAATGTTGTTAATAGAACAATTTAGAAATATCGATGACATACACATGTTTTAAACAAAAGGAACATGTTGAGTATATCCGGGTATAAAACAAAAGAAGTATATGAGTGTCACATACATTGTACATAATGAGCAAGAAATAAACTATTATGATATTAAATAATAAACTATTGTTTATTACTGAACGTAATAAGAATTCGAAGAAAAGAAAAGGAAACACACGAACAAAAAAGGATAAACACTTTTTGATATTGATGTTTATCAATAATAAGATAACCGATAGGTAAAATAAAAGAAGAGTAACAATGCAGTATTGTTTGAGTGAGATGACTCCTCGATTCAAGTAGAAAAAAACAAAACAGATAGAGAGTAAATTTTTATTTTTTGTATCGTCTCGATCACCATTCTCAAAACAACAGTAACTTCAAGATATCAAGCTTCTATACGACATTTATTTACTTCATCAAAAAATGATCAATTGATTATACACAGCCTTGATGTTCATTATATTTGAGCGTGTATGAATATATGATTATAACAGAGAATGTTGTTTTCTTGTTTACATCATAAATTTTCATTGTAAGCAAAAAGAATGCGATGTATTGTAAATTGCTATTGTTATTACTGATAGCAATGACATACAATGGTAAAATAAAAAAAGAAGGGTTAGCAGGGTTAAAAGGACATTGTACCATTCAACATCATGAAATAATTTGAAACACGCACGAGGGGGGATGGGGGAGTCAAGAGGGTAAAAGTTTGTTGAATAATTTATCATCAGCCAATATTTTTCGTAATTTGTATTTTCGCTGGCACAAAAATAATTTGTGTCGGTGAAATTATTTCGCAAATCTGGCCTTCTTCTTCTGCTTCTTCTTCGTCTTTTTTTTGCCAGAAGACAAACAATCGGCCCGATAAATATAACCCGTATCTAACCGTACATCTTGTGATGTGAAAAGGAGATCAAAAGAAATAGTAATATTAATAATTTAGCCTCATTAATCAAGGAGAGATACAGCGGCTTTTATTACTTAGGTTTCATTTCAATGAAACGAAATGAAGTAGAAGAATAACGTATTAAATTTAATAATCTCAACAATAAAAAATAAACAATGTGTGTCCATCAGGTTAAAGAAAATATAAACATTATGCAAGTTAAATTATTAAACTCGAAGAACATGACTACTATCTTTTGTTATAATTAAGCTAGTAGTGGGGCCTTAAACTCTCATGATTTTTTAGGTGGCTCGGGTTTTAGAAGGGGGAGGTTGAAAAACCTAAACTCCCCTTCAGACTTAGCTAATAATATTGGTGACAATGGAACCAAAGAGTCTACATTCATATCAAATTAAGTAATTTATTGTTTGCAATTTAATTAAAGCCAAAAAAAACATACATAGAGAAAATGCCTATGTTTTTAAAATATTTTTTTTTCTTGCTTCCTTTCTTTTTGTAGATATTTCAACATAAAGAACTCATCGATTTCCCCACATGACTCTGCACACGGCGTTTTGTAGATGAGAGGGGTGGTAGAACGAAAGTGATGACATCACAGATAAGTCATTAAAAGTTAAATAATTATTTACATTTTTTTCTACTATGTTGTACATCTATTTTTGTAGTTGCACATGTAAGAAACTGGAACTACCCGTTAATAATGGGGAAATGAACATATCCACGCACAAAGAAATAACAAAGCCGATATATTTACCGTTATTTACTATTCTATTGTTTTGGATTATTTTTTAAAGTTTTACATCCTGTATTCTCTCCTCCCACGTATCGTGTTGTTTTCAATCGTTTAGCTGTTAAGTAATCACCTGTAAAATAAAATAGCATATGTATATAATTTATCTATTATTTTTTATGCACTGTATATCCACATTTCTCCTCCTCCTTGAAAAAGAACAAAAGTTTAATATAATAATAATAATTAAATAGCTATTATTTTGTTTACTTGTTATTAACTTTCCCCATTCCTCCCGTCATTTCTTAAAAGAATATTACCGATAATTTCTATTATAAGATTGCAAATAATTGATTTTTTTGTCTTTTTACTTTTATTTGGTTCCTTACATCATTATTATTGTTATTATTAGAATTAGCGGGAAAAATTAAACTTTAATAATTTAAGATTATATTGATTTTTATTTAACTACTAGTACTATTCTACTCTCGGCCGAATAAAATAACTGTTTCGTTCGGTTAGTTTCTCTATTTAATTATGTCTGTCATGTGAAGCATGAATAACTAAACATGCATCAAAGCGGGGGGATATTTTCTCTGTGTGTGTGTGTGTGTCTCTCTCTCTCTTTTGCTTTTCAACGAATTTAATTTATAGAGAAATTTGGGCCAGCCAAAAACTAATAGCGTTTAAAGAGATTGCGAAAAACGAAGCAAATAAGATTCGGTTCGTGGAAAGAAAATTGATTTTAAAATATTCACAACTTTTGCTTTATTTGGCAAGCTGAATTCTATTGGTTTCCAGTAGTAACCGGGTTACATACAATAATCAAGAAAAAGCGTGATTTTTGTTAGTTTAATTATGATTCAAAGAGTGATTAATCATTTGATCTATCTTTTTAAACAAAGATGAAGCCTAGATTTGTGTGTTTGCTTGTGATAAATATATCTTTTTTGAATAGCATACTAATATAGTTCAGTGTTTCACCTTGTTATAGAGGGTATATGTATAAGAAAATGAGAATAATCAATTATATTTAATCAATTAAGTTTACAATTGGCAAGAAGTGAGGGGAGTTGTTTGTGTGTGACAGCTACTCTTTAATTGGGTGGAGAGAAAATATATATATCTTTCCTCCCATTTCCTTTTTTTCCCTTCTTTGTTGTTGTCTGGTCCAAATCTCTGTAATAGAACGTTCTTTTCTTATATTCTCTTAATAGTTGACTGATAACCTGTTATACAATCATTATTGTCTGTCACTTTCACGTTTCTAAACTTTGTTGTGTGTTTCTTTATTTTTTCATTGTTTAATTCAGTTCACGCGAATCTTTCCTGACTGAGGAAAAAAAAGCCCAAAACCGAAAAATGAAAAATGAAAAATTAAAGTGAGAGAGAGTGAAAGTAATAATTAACAAAAGATTGAACCTATATTTCATTTCAATCTATTAATAAGAACGTAAAGAAATATTCATATTATAATTATTATTTCGTTTTATTTTGCTATTATTACCACCCTTCTTGTGATAGAACGTTTAATTAAGAACTGACAAGAAATAGATTCATTATGACTTTGAATAATATAAAGAGAGAAGATTTATCTGTCAAGTATGTGTTTTATTTTCAATTAGTATAAACCGTTTAAGTATATCTAGTGTGTGTGTGTGTGTGTGTGTGTGTGTGTGCCACAAAAATGTATCAGGCATATTCAACGGTAGTCCATCTGTTTCCTCTGTGTGTGTGTGTGTGTGTATTATGAACTGACTTGGGTGTATGGTATAAAATAGATTTGATCAAATTAGAACCCCTAACATATTTTTTTATTTATCCACCATATTATTCCCAATCGTTTATATTTGTTAAAGATTTAACAATTGTGGTTATTGTCATTCATAATAATATACAAAAGATATAACTAATTCTTTTCTTTTTACTAACTATTCTCTTAACACTTTCCCTTTTTTTTAAAATCCAGATGCAAAATTACTAGATCACCTCTAGCCATATACAATAGTGGTAGAAATCAATCATTATCAGGTATGTTAAATCAATCCATGCCTCTAGCTGCTATCTTCTTAAGAAATAAGTTTTTGGCCTGGTTTGCAGTTGTTCAAGGTATGCATTATCTATTAAATACAGATCGGGAACAAGCTGCTCGTGATGCTGCTGCTAAGGATCCAACTGGTTTGGATCAATCTCCTTTCACTAGACTTTTGATCGCTATGGGGGCTATCTTGGTATGCTATATCGATTTCGTATTACCTCAAAAATAATTATAATGATAACGAACAATAGTACATCTAATATAGAAATTATATTTTTATATAAGAAAGTTAATATATATATAGATAAATAGATCATTAAGTGAAATATAGATTGAGATTATTCCATTTTAATTAATTATATTTATTCTCCAATATCTTCAAACCAATCTTGTGGTCTTTCAACAATAAATTTCTTCATAATTGTCTTACATTTTTCATCATCTGTAACATGAACAGAACAACCACGTTCAACAAGATATTTCTCACCGGGACTCTTAAAGTTAACATTTTCACCAATGACAACTCTTGGAATACCATACATGATAATGGCACCTGTACACATATCACATGGAGATAACGAAGTGAATAAAGTTGTATCTTTATAAACTTTACCTTCTAGTCTACCACAATTCTCTAAAGTAGAGATTTCACCATGTAAAGTGGCACTACCCTTTTGGAAACGCATGTTATGACCACGACCTAGAACAGTACCATCCTTGTTGTTAATCAAACACCCACCAATTGGTACACCACCTTCAGCATAACCTTGTGCGGCTTCTTCGTAAGCAATTTGCATACCTTTAGCATCCCATTTACCATCCATTTTTTTTTGCTTTTTTGTAATTTAGACTTAGATATTTATTTATTACAACACTTAAATGAACAACAATCGTAACTAATTACCTTCCCTGTACCAGTTTGTCTCTTATCTCTGTTTTATATCAGAAACATCCAAAGTTAAAATGAAAATTTGCCTTGCAAAGTTTCTCGGAAGAAAACATATAAAACGCTCAAGAAGTTTCTATTTCCCTATCATTGCGTAAATATGAAAACAAATAGAAGAAAAGTAACAATTAACTTAGAACCTGGGATCTGAATATCCTTGGGACTATACATACATAAATATAAATGTCGACCATGGAGAATGATACAATTAAGCAATTGACTGCGCTTGTGAAGCAGAATGCTGATCCTGAGATGAGCGGACTCTCTCAACTAGGGATAATTTCGATCAGGAATCTGAACAGCATATTAGAAACAACGTTAAATAACGAAATTTCAGATTATCAGGCAGCATTAATCTTTTTAACTAGCTTTACTAGTTTGATCAATTCAATCGATATTCTCGCAGGTAAATTCGAGCCTATCAAACACTATATAGATTCACATATCTCTCATTTATCCTCCAAGGATTCGATAGCGCTTTTGTCTCAAGCCTATCTATATCATTTAAGACTCGTTAAAACAATAAAATTTAAAATTATAACAAACTTGATCACAGCAAATTGTTTCGTCATTAATTATAACCTTTCAGTTGTTCCTACAGAGCTTCATTCGACAGTTCAACGATTCATAAATTCGATAAATGATTCTCTAAAGATTGCCTCAAGAGACGAAGACTATCAATTGTTAAACCACATCTTTGTATTATTTTCAGACCTACAATCTATATATAATAACAGTAAAGATGATTTACCCCCCAATACTACTATGATATCAAATATGCCCGATGTAACAACAGCATTCGAGAACATGAAATTCTTACGGAGATCAGATTTAAACGTTGGATAAAGGAATGCATCCTATTCCATATATACTTTAATATAAATATTCTTCTTTATAATAATAAATTATACCATATAATTTTCCATGACCACATCATATTTTTCATCGCTAAAGGCAAATTGTGATGAGAGAAGAAAAATAGCCCAAAGGGAAAAAATGATAAATAATGTGCTTAATTAATATAAAATAGGTGTCTTTGAATAAGATGCATTCGTCATACATATACAAAAAAGGCATATTGGTTAACAATTGAACTATTTTGTCAGAATTAACGAGAGTAATAAAAGGCAGAAGAAAACGTCCGACTAAATTAATACTTTGACTTAGATTGAATCTAGTATATAACTATTTTTTGTTTTGTTTTGTCAATTATTGAGTTTATACTTTTTCTTCTCTAATTTCTAATAACTAACCAAAAGAAAAGACGAATAAGTATAAAGAAAATGTCAGAGGAACAGAGGCCCATTAGGCTTGCTGTACTGGGAGGTGAATCCACAGGTAAGACGTCATTTATCTCTAGACTTACTTTAAATATAGTTCATGAATCACATTACCCAACTCGGGATCAAACAAATTGGCTTTTCGATTACATTCCACATTCAAAATTAGCAAAGGCAATCTTAGATGGACAAGCCCATGAGAGGTTACTACGGAGAACTCCGAATTCACAACTGTTAGAACCTATTTTCAAATCACCTTTAGTATCTCCTAATGTATTATTGTCCCCATTGGTATTTCAAGCATTTATCGATAACTATACATCTATGAAAACTCAATCAAAGAATAAGACCAATTCAAGTAATTTTTTTATGAAAAACTTAGATCTTAAAAAGACTAACTCTAATAATGATAATGGAAATGAAAAAAATTTACAAGTACGATACTTATCATCACCTAATGCATCACAAACATCACTTCCATTGCAAGCACAACCACCCTTGAGTCATTCTGAAGATGAAGAGAGTAGTGTTCCGAGTAATTATGTTCCACCCTCATATTCACCAATTCCTATCGATATAATCGATACACCTGGATTTAATCCACAAATGGTGGTTCCCTTTCTGGAAGTTTCTTTATTTAGAAACTTGGATAAAAGTATCTTGAAAGGGCTAGCTAATGAGCCTAGACAACCAGTATCGACACGTACATTATTAGTAGCATCTGGTGCATCAGAATTAAATGGTAAAATAGATGGGTATATCCTTGTGTATAGTGCTATTCCAGAAGTTTCGCATCATAGTCTATCTTTACCACCAGAATATGTAAGTGAAAAAGAAATTAAGGAAGATACAAAATTGAAGAATGAAGATCCAGATAATGATGATTCTACAAAATGTAACGCTGGTGGGTTTCCCATATTGTTAAACATTAGATCATGTATATTAGATGCGTGGGCCGAATATGTTAATTATAAAGAAGCTTGGGAGAAGGGTAAAGAAGATGATATCTATTCTTTGTTACATAATTTTAAAAATATTTGGAAATCACAAGAATCAGAATCGACCAAAAATTCTAAGATCAAGGATTTAAGAACTTTCAAGACTACTTTACCAGAAATTGATTTAAATCCAGCATCGCCTACCTCGCCTCCGCCTTGTATTATTGTATGTACGCATGTTAATGAGCCATTGGCTAGTCCAGTTCTTATTAAAAAAGGTAGGGATTTAGCTACACAATGGAATTGTGGGTTTGTTGGTATAAATAATATTGATGATTTTAATGTGGACGTTGCCTTAAGTTTAATAATTAAGGAAATTGTTGAAAAAGAGAAACTGTTATCACAGAGGAGAAAAAGTACAACAGAATCTAATAATGAATACGTCAACGATAATATGTTCACGAATTTAATTAAAAATTAATATATAAATATAATATTATTCAATGCATAGACTTAGATATTAAAAACATCTTTTAACGATTCTTAGTTTTATTTATTAGATTTTTTTATGTCATATTCTATATGCAGCAATGTTACCATTATTGTAACCAACGTAGCACCATGACTGATGTACATATTGCTCTAGCCTTCTAAGCTTAGGGGAGATAAGATTTTTCTTTTGAGATAACGCACTTAGATCAGTTACAAGTGGATCAAACACGGCCATTGCTCCTATTTTTTCAAATTTGGGATCTTTATTAATAAGTTTACTACGATTTGGATCAATATTTCCCTGAGATGATTCACTAACTGCTACTCGACTCCTAGATGTCCAAAAGAGGTCTTTCTCAACGTTCGTTGCTCTATCTATTACCACTGTCTTTCCTGACCATGTCGAATATACGATTTGGTCTTTCAATAAACATAGGTGGGATATCTTTCCATGATTCGTTTTGATAGCATTTGTCACATAAGATTCACTCCATAACTCTTTATTCATTATAATATTCTGGTTTATATCGATAAAGTAATCATCAATATTTTGCGTATCCTGGAATAAATTACAGTGCTTGTAATCTATCTCTTCTAATTGTTTCTCGGTTGAGGAAGATAATAGGATCCCCTTTTCAACATCCAACGTTATATCTAGTATCGGATTTGGGTAATGAAATTTTGAAAGTAGGATCACTTTAATATATGAGTTCTTTTCAAAAGTTGCAAATTTTGTATTAGCAATCTTAAACCCAATTATAGTTCCACTCTCATATCCGCAAAATATAATGCCTCTTGTATCGTCTCTGATTATCTTCATCAAAATACCCATTTTACCAAAATCTCTACCCAATAATGAATGCATCCCGATGAAGTCCATGAAGGAAACAGAATTGAATAATCTAGATAGCGAATTCATTTTACCATCGAAAAAGTTATATATGTCGATATTTTCTGAGTTACTAGTATTACAACATACCATTGTATATTCGTTTTCCTGCGAATTTGGAAATATACTAATGTTAGCAAAATTTAAAGTATTAACTTTCATTTCGAAGGTTTCTACAAAATTTGTGTATATTCTTAATGAATGATCCTTCGACAAGACCATAATCTTATCATCCAGATAGTGTAGGTCTATTACTTGAACATCAGCGGGTAATTGAATCTTATTGAGTGGTCGGCGTGTAATTGCATTCCATATTATTATAACACCGTTTTCATCACCAGATAATAAAATAGGCTCAGATCCATATTCGTGGTCTGAATGCAAAACTAATGAGGTTACTCTGCTCTTATGAGATCGTAGTATATGAGTCGGGGAATGTTTATCAATTGCATTCATGGCTATTTGTTTTTTGTATTTGTTAGGGATCTGTTTTTTCGTGTTGCTGTGTTACTTATTATAACTATTCTTATAGAGTGCTTTTACATCATCTAAAAAAATAAACTCGCCATCTCTTAAAGGATGGGCTATAAAGGAAATTGGAGAAAGCAGCTATAATATAAGTGAATGTTAAATGCATTAAACATATAAAATGTATTATTTAATAAATTACATACAGATTTACATGTATCTATCAAAGTTTCAGAGATTGTCATTGCAAATTCGATAAAATTTGTTAGATTTATCGTTTCCTGCGTTCAAGTTGTTTCGAGGCTCTATTTGTAAATGGATTAATAGTCTCGGACGGAGTTCTATTGAACTTTTCACTTGAGGCCAAAGGAGGTGTATCTCTTTCGTTGGATGTCTTTCTCATACCAGGTAAAGCACCATTTGATCCAATACGAGTCCCTGGTAGTTGGCCACCACTTATAGATGAGTAAAAACTACGTCTATTTTTGTTGTTACTGTTATTGTTATTTGTGGTGGCATTCCCATTAACACTAGGGATATTAGTTGAGTTTGTGTTGACATTCGCATTAGTACGTGGACCTGAATTTATTATTGGGGTCAATCTTGTCCTTCCTAATGTTGGGCTAAAATCACCGGGTAATCTATTAGATAATGGACCCTCGTGAAGTTGTTTTATTTGACGAGAATTAATGTGGGATTTTTTATCTCCTAATTTCAATTCCTTCTCCAATGTTTCCGGGATATTTGAATCCTTAATATGATCTGGTAAACTGAAATTTGTCTCTTCGGACTGGTTATTATAGTCTATGGCAACGTTATTACCTATTTTAAATAAATCTAACATAACTTTCATCTTCCGGGATTCTACTATTGAGTTTATTTGATGTTGTAAAATTATATTTTCATCTAATAAATGAGTCTCTTTAACGATAGCAGAATCTTTCTTAAATTGATGAATCTTTTCATTCATCATTTTTGGTTCAATAGATCCGGATTGATCAACAATATCTGTCACCACTGATTGTTTAAATTGATCTATTTCATTTCTTAAATCAGCCATTTCATCAAGGCATGAACTTTTATAACTTTCATGATCCTCTAATAAGATACTATATTTCTCCTTAAGATTATTAATTTTTAATTTCGTGTCATTAGTAATAGAAGACATATCAGAAATTTTCTTTGTCAATATTTCATTTTCATTCTGCAAAAAAATCAATTTCTCCTTGATATGATTAACTTCTTCTTCTGTGCTATGAATTTTTCTAACTTTTCTTTGTAACATTAAATTTAAGTTTTCATATTCATGATTATAAAGTGAAATATTTTCATTTAATTTAATTTCTTTCTTTTGAAAATGTTCTAAATCTTCAAGTAAATTATGTGATTGAACAGTTAATTTTAAATTTGTATTTGTTAATACATCAATTTGTTCATGTAGTGATTCAATAACACTGGATGATGATGTTGTAGTAAAATTATTAAGATAATTATTATTACTATTATTATCAATCGCATTTTCACTTTTATTTTTTAAGTTAGAAGAATTACTTCTCATATTATTTGTCGTAGCCATAGTTTCCGAATCATATTTTGTATCATCAGTATCATGGTCATTCTCTATATCTTCTTCATTTATAACATCATCATCATCATCATCATCATCATCATCATTGTTGTTTTCATTACTTTTCTGTTTCCTTTCGTCTTCAATTGTTATCATAGTCACTTCGTCGTCCTCGTTCAAGATATGTTCAATTTCAGCTTCAAAAAACGAACTTTGTGACCCTTTATGCATATCTGATTGCATCACTCTATGATTTTCTTCTTCTGTCCTTGTCATTATGGAATGATTTACTCTATATGTAAACAAAAGAAATCCTCGACGTCGTACAGCCGACCTTCGTTATTTTATCCTTTGACGCAGTAGTAACAAAAAAAAAACACAAATCTGTAGCAGTTACAAAACACTCAATTCCCAGAATGTTTAACGTACCTGCCAACTTCTTTAACTCTAAACTTCAAAGAGTTCGCCACTAAATCGTTTGTTATTCAATCTTGTCTCTCTTTCTTTGTTTTGGCTTAAAAAACAAAAACAAAAAAAAAAGTTCCAAATTTTTAACCTTTCTACGCGTTTATTTAGGGAGGAGCAAAGATGTGATGAGTTGTGAGTGAAAGACCAAAAAAAATAAACGCAACCCTAACCTTGTGTTGTATGGCCGTGGGACTTATTCGCACCAAAACTGGCACCAGGGTTCGTACTTCTTATTTGTTTTTGGTTCGTTTCACGGTTTTCCATCTCTCTTCCTCTATTCACAATTTAAATATAATTTTCAAACAAAATATTTCAAACAAGAAGAAAGTGAACAAAGGGGAACAGGATTACTTTGATCTTAACTGTTTGAAGAATAAGCTATATGGATATCTGAGAAATCTGTTGACATTATCTGTTTTGTTATTACAGTTGAACTCTTTTTTCCGTTTCCTTTTTCGTAGTTCGCAATTGGTGAAACACACACACAAACACGATGGATGATAACGTTTGGGGTGATACCTCGATTCCTAATCAAGCAACAGATTCGTATACATTTCGAGAGACTTCGGAAGCATCTACTTTGGATAATGAGAAATTATCATTAATTAAAGAGTCTTTAAAGAAATGTCCCTCTTTAGATGATCCTAATATAAAAGAATTACAAGTACCTTGGATTGAGTTAGTTCAATTAATAACTGATGAAACAAGAGATGAAGAATTCAGAACATTTGAACAAATTTTACAAAATGTTAAAGATGTTAATGATAAATCTTTAACAGGTGTAGCTTTAATTCATTATATTATTGCATATGATAGACCAAATTATATTGAATTATTAAAACAAAGTTCACAATCTAGTCCCTCAAAAAAAAATTTAAACTTAAATTGTATTGATGATATTTGTCAATATACTCCATTAATGTGGAGTTTTATACTTGAAAGGAAAAATTGTACTATTGAATTGTTTAATTTTTCTGATCAAATTGATTTCACTTATCGTCAGAAGAGTACGGGACTCACTGCTTGGGATCTAATTACTCCAGGTTCTTCAATGTATCATTTTTTAAATGAAAATAATATGTTACAATATAGTGATAAACAGTTGGCAGTGCAAAATGATAATAATTTGAAAACAAATTTAGATTCAGATAAAAATAAAAGTCATGATGCAATTGATAATATTGATTTAAAGATAGCAGGTATGGGAGCTGGATTTGGTGTTGGTGGTACTTCTTCAACGATGGATGAGGGTTTTACAAATCTTCATGATTCAACAGAAATGTATGGAACAGAATATAAAAATGATCAAATGAATACTTATGAACATTTTGATTTTAATAAATTAGTAAAATATCAATATTTTGAATTTTCAGATTATGATATTCCGCAAATCTTGGATTTTTTAACCTCATTACCTGTTGAACATCAACATATGACTTCCTATCCAGCAGCATTATTGTTTCAATGTATTAGATATGCTGATCGTAAGAAACAATCACCACAATTGGTTCAATCTTTAGTAAGTTTATCATTTACTAGAATTATTGCATCAATTGCAAATGAAAAACCAAGTAATAATAGTAATAAATCTAAAAAAACTGATGATAATAAGGATCAAAAGGAAGAAAATTCAACATTATCGAATTCTGTACCTTTGTCTCAACAAACTATTAATTCTACCGATAATCAGAATACACAACATGAAAATAATAAGAAATCTGATAATGCCTTAAAGGGAGATATCGTTACACAGTCTTACTGGATTAGTTCCTTAACTTTCTTGTATTATTATCTTTCAAAGGATGAATCATTCTTTAAGAGATATCCAACTATAATGCAAGAATTGATAGATACAATACATTCAGTAATGATCGAACTTACCGTGTCTATTCATTCAAGATTATCACCTTTAATTGAACCTACTCTTATAAATTATACGACAATTAAAGACGTTGAACAAACTTTGTACAAAAAGGATTGGAATTTTTTTAAGAAGAGAAGACAAGCAAAGCTGTTAAAGAAGGAAAAGATGAAAAAAATGGAACAACAACAGCAGAAGGAAAGACATAGTTTAGAGGTCCCAGAAAATGGAGACTTGGATGGAGACGATAGAACAAGTAATGATAATAACCATCTCTCACACACGTCTTCGAGAGTATCCAATAACGATTCGATTATTTTTGATAGTGAGGTACTGAAACATTTATTACCTCCATCATTACAAGAACAAATGAAGCCATCTCCAGTCAAAATTGTTCAAATATTTGGAGCTTTATCTTATGTTTTAAATTTGCATCAAGTTCATCCATTATTCCAACAACAATGTTTATCTCTGGCTACAAGTTGGTTTTCAACAAGTTTATTTAATATGATTTTGAAAGATCGCAAGAAGAAAACTTTATCTAGAGCAAGAGCTATTCAAATTAGATTAAATCTTTCCTCATTGGAAAGTTGGATAAAAAACAATGATTTACTTGTACAAAGACCGAAGCTTATTGACGATTTTATGTGGGAGAGATTCCCATACACTTTAATCCAGGAATTAAACACTATCGACATGACTAATCCTGTGTTGAAAAGCGTCACTACGTATAAACCTGTTGATGGGTTTAATGAATCTACAATTATAACAGACATGTCAAATTCCCTATTTTTCTACCAAAGATTCCATAAGATTGCACAATGGCATATGGAACCTATCTTTGAATTACTTCAATGGCTTCAGATAGCAACTACCTTGGATTCGGAGGAATCGCTAGATAATACAAAGGATTTGCTACCAAAATTGTCAAATAGTCAACTTGTGAAAGCTATTGACAAATATCATTATGAAATAAATGAACATAAGTTTAATTCTAAACTTAAAAAGGTATTGACAAATGAGATTAAAAGACAGGGTTTAACTGACAAGGTATATCTTGACGAAAATCAAATTCCTCTTTTAACATTACCAACGGTACCGGAACTCACGGATGCTTATGCTAATGAATATGAGTACTTGCCGTTGTTACCTAATGATATCCAAGATGTGATGTATGATATCCACGATGAAAATTACAAAATGAGAAGGAATGATGATGGAATTTCTGTTAATTTATCGGAGGAGGAAGATACCACTAACCTCGAGAAAGAAAATATCGATAGAAATCTAGGTAATGATGATACGCAAGATAATGATACCGATTATACATTTACTGTAAACAGAGAAAGTGACAATAATATATTTAAGGAGCTTGATGCACCATCCGCAAGCGTATCTCGTCCTGTGTGGGCCGCCAATGAAGATATCGACGGTAATCCATGGTGAACAGGTTTTTTTGATTTTATTCTCATTCAATTATATCATACTTTTTATCATCTAACAAGGTGTGTCATCAATAGGCGGCATAAAAGTTACTCCGTCGCCATTCATATATGTCATGAACAATACATAATAATTATGTCGTATTTAATAATTAAATAATTAAACAATTAATGATCAGCAATATTTCAGTAATATTCTTTCATGTTTGGGTTAGTAAATTGTGAGTAACTCCCCTTGTGATTTATAGTATTATGACTACCTGAAGATGTTGAGATAGATCTTTGTTTATTTCCAAACATTTCTGTGGCAACTACTACCGGTGAAGTATCGAATTTCCCCTCACTACTTTCGCTCATCTGAGAGACAACGGGACTACTCAAGACATTTTCATTAGTCTTTTTTGATATCGCTCTCCTATTGGATATCATCTGTGGTGGCTCTTTCATAGCATCTTTTGTGGGCATAGGTATCGTTTCTATCAAATTATCTTCAACTTTTTCATTAGATTCCATTTCGTCAAGCCTTTCCTGTTCTTCCTCTGGTATTTCATCTTCCTTTGTTGAAACATTCTCCTTATACCATCTATTGAGTTTATTCATTGAGTTTTTAATATATTTTTTAGATTTTGTTGAGTGCTCATCTAATTTATTGGCTAATTCTTTACTTTTGCTTTCCTTTGCAGCTCCAATATCCAATTCCTCGTCTTGGTCGTTCGATCGGTATGTGCTATTTGCAGACGTGTTGAAGTCCATAGATAGTCTGGATGGTTTTAAACTATTCTTCAAAGAACCCATTTTTTCTATTGTTCTTGATTTAACAGATGTTTCAGTTGCTTTAAATGAACTACTGTTGTTTGATTTAGTCTCGACCTTGTTAGACGATTTGTTAGAATCAGTATCATTAACTTGAGTCTTGGTCATATCCAATTCCATATTTAGAGAAGATGCCGAAGTTTTCGTATTTTTTGACCAAACACCACCTCTGTATATCTCATCGGTAGTAGAGTAAAACACAATATCATCGTAATATGGTACTACCAATGATTCTTTGATAGCCTCTGCAAATTTGCCTTTGATCGCGTTTGTAATTACGTTATAAGATAATTTACTTGAACTGACAATTGGTTCTATATCTAATTCCATTACAGGTTCACTTTCAAAAGCGTACCATATTCTATTTGAGGGAGGTGGTTTAAACAGTATCAGTAATGGGCCAGTTACTTCCTTCACTTTTATTGATAATTGCAAGGAAACCTCCCTTGGTTTGAAATGAGACCCCAAATTGATGTTAACCTTTGTTGATATTATGACTTCTAGGGAACCCTTATATGACACATCTGCTAATAGTTTCATTGAACCCTCTGGTGACATTTCTGATAGTTGTGGGTTTGTTATGAATGGGACACTATTACCAACATCTACTTTTTCAATTACGAAATCATTCAGAAATCCAGGTTTATTAATCTTGGTTAATTTTTTATCAATCTTTTCTAATAGGACTTGATTTAGGGTGTCTGTCTCTTGTAATGATAAAAATAATCTCCCTAGTAAAGCATTTAACCATTTTGTCGTTAATTGTCCTCTTGTAGAATTTATTGTTTGAATTAAATACAACGCATCTGCAGTATTTAAATGAGCTGTATCAGCTATGATATTAGGGTTCAAAGGTGAGGTAATCTCTGTTGAGGAGATATTCTTAGAAGCATTAATTAATTGGAAATACCAATCTTCTTTATCCATATTGTTTTCAAAATATAGATAAAATTGATTTGCTTTAGAAGTCTTTAAAGTTGCAGTATCTTGATTGGTTTCGTCTGGTTCTATGATATTACTTTTAGCGAATAGCAACATCTTTTTATCCTCATCGAATGTTACCGAACCTTTTCTGAATAATCCCAGACATGTTCTCTTTGTATATAAACTAGCGTCAGGTAATGGTTCGTTGTCTGTATTATAACGTGGCCATATAGTAACGAACATATCCTTTAAAGAAATTGCATGCAACAAATTATTTCTACGTGGGTCATCATCTTTATATAGGAAAAGGTTTCCTTCTCTCAAAATAACGTAAAACCTTTGTCTTTTCTTCAATTGAGATCTCTCTAGAACGGTTTCGTCATCATTTAAACCTAATTCTTTCAGTTCTGTGAAGTGATAATAGTATTGATTTGTGATACTTATCCATCCACTATATTTCACATCTACGCCTTCCTTATCTTCATATTTTCCTGCTTTTAATTCAGGATCTATATCTGGAACGAGCAAGTTTGATGATAAATCTTTATCGTCGACATCATTTGTTGGTTTTGTTTTTTGGTTTAAGTATAAGAAGGCAACTATTACTAAAGGTATAAAAGTGATACCACCCAAAAAATATGCAAAAACAAATGTCCTCAATCCACTCATTTGACTGAATAAAGAATAATTTAACTATATTCAAAATTATAATCAGTGTAAACTAGAAGATGAACTAGCTGTAGCGAATAATAATAATACTATGTTCAGTACTGTATTGGTTAAGTAATCTATTTTGCCTAAATTGATTTCAAAAGTGTTCTTAAAATGATGAGCTGTCAAAAATGTGGCGAAGCGCTTAAATTATGCATCATTTTAATAAACAATTAGACCGCAATACAACACAACAAAGTAAGAAACAAACTACACCAAATATATTCTCCTTTCGTTAGTTTTAACTTTTATCTTCTAACCAGTTCTAAATATCAATAAACAAGAATAAGGAAACAAAAGCAAATCTTTACTTTATTATAAGATACCATTACTGTAAAATATACATCTATATATATACGTGTAAGCAAGACATAAAAGCTAAATGAATCTTTCATTTTCTTAAAATAATTGGTTCTAACTGAATATATATCAGAGTCATTAAATCAGTATTTTTGTATGATGTAGTCATTATACCAAAAGATGGTATTAGTACAGTGTGAATATAAAAAAATCATCATAAAATAATCAGTTAGACCCAAATAAAAATAGTACATTAAACATTATTTGAAACCAGTATCATCTCCTGATGATACGTTAAACAAAATAAAATAGTTAAAGATTTCAATAAATCAGCTATCTTGAGACCAATCATCAATTCTCCCAGTGCATACAATAATGTCTAGCTACAGTTCCTTTAAAAATTTGTACACAAAAGAACTGCAAGTTGCCAGACTGCATACTCCGAGATACTAAATATGTCCGCCCGGTCGATAAATAATCATCATAATAATATTGAAATCTTTAAATACTCTCTTTTGTAAAATGACACAGATAAGTGATAATAATATTAATTTAAAAAAATTATTTTTTAAGTGAGCTCTCATACAAGGCTGAAACTTAACGAAAAAAGGTTGTCGACATGCAGAAAAATCCTACTATTCAGTCGGAACAATTGGTATATTGGAAAATGTTTAATCACTGAGACACCACAAACAAAATAAAAATAATAATAATAATCAATATATTACCATCACTTATCTCGGGCTACCATCTGGTAACGCTATTCAATTAAGTGTATGCAATAACAACAATAAAACCATTCATAAATTATATGTATGTAATTACAATTGGTCTGTTAAAGTACAGGTATATGTATGTATGCTTAAACAATTAACGATGGCATTTAAGAACCAACTTTTCAATGAAGAGAAGAGCAGAAAATGTAACGAAAAGAATTGTTCTAATTGAACTTTTTCTTGTCGCTTTTTATATGAAAAACTTTTTCTGCCGCGGCGATGTGAGGCGATGGGGCAACACTCGTCGTCTATAGTGATGCATTATATTTAATTAGGGCTTACCTTGTCTAATAGAGAATCGAATATAACTTCAAGCTTCTGGTGTGGTCATGCTTTAGCGTATCCCAGTTTTTGTAATTCTTGGACAACTCTTTGTTTGGCTTGGTAGTCGTAATCCATCTCTTCTTGATATTTATTATCAGATATGGAATATAATGTTCGCGAAACGGTCTGATTAATACTTGTGAATTGTTCTTTAGTTAGTCGTATGGAACTTGACCGACAATAGTATGACTTCAAGGCATCTCTTACGTGATTTTGTATCTTCCGTTTTGTTTCTCGTATTCTCTCTAATTCTTCTTCTCCGGGGTATATATCATTGTTGGTATCATGGGTGGATGATGGCAATACTGACGACTCACGTATATTTATTCTCCGATTACCAACTATATGCTCTGTTTGAGTTCTACATTCGATACATTGTTGCCACGTATCACATTCTCCAATTTCACTGGATGTTACATGAAGACATCCTTCATGGTATCTTGCATTGCAATTGGGACACTTGGTATCGGCATCGCCATCCTCATCATCGCCACATATTCTACATAACATCATATTATATTCTTCTCTCAATGAATTAAGTACTTCTTGTTCCGCTTCAAGCTCTTTGTCTGAGTCGTCATCATTCATTTCTTCCATGTTTAAAATGGTCTGAAATAGTGTAGAGATACCATTATCATTAGTTTCGTCACTATCCTGTTCACGCAACAACGTTTGTTCAGTCTCTAAGCCATGGGTATCTTCTCTATCGAAATTATCATTTGATATTAGTCTATCGTATTCAAGTACACTTTCAACCAGAAATCCTTTATTTAGATCAATTTTCACTCTCTTTTCATACCATAAATTATAATTATAAATTAGGGACATGGATAATGACACAGTTCTACAAATCGGACATTTTAAATCGTTGGCAAAAGTATGCCATTTCCTTATACAATCACTATGAAACTTATGCTGGCATGGTAATAATTCACCTATAGTATCATAACTTATATCAGAATTCGATTCATCATTTGATTTTTTGATCAGAATAGGTTCAATACAAATAGAACACTCCATCGCCAATAATACTAAAAATAACTCCTATATTTCACGCAGTACTGCTTTAACTTTAATAATCTTAAAACGGTTGATGCCAAATGACATTCACACTGACTATTTCAACGAGCCTCGCTGTTTAGATCACTTTCTTATTATATTTGATCATTGAAACAAGTTTTCCTTCTTCCCACACTGTCATTTTTATTATTATTAATAATAACAGTAATAATGCCACACCGAAAAATTTAGCTGAACTTACTCCGATGAGCTTAGAATAAAATATCAACACTATAATAGAGAGATATACATAAGTAACAAGGCAGAAGATAAATCGTTCAGTATTTGATAGTATAGCGATAACTGAAGCGATAGAAGGCGTCGGGTTAGATTATATTTATTCGAGTTTATACTAATATCCCTACAATATGTCCCGACATCAATTTGATTTGGTTATGTGCATGAAGCAACCAGGCACCCACATAGGTTTATTGTGTGAGAAATGTGATGGTAAATGCCCCATATGTGATTCTCAAGTTAATCCCAAATACAAGGTAAGGATATGTGATTCCTGTTCATTCGGTAAACAAGGGATATCGTGTATAATATGTAATACAGGGAAAGGTGTAGCAGAAGCCTTTTACTGCTGGGAATGTTGTAAATTAGAGAAGAATAAAGATGGTTGCCCCAAGATTTTGAATATCGGTAGTAATAAATTGGATAGGCATTTCGATAAGAAGGCTATAGAGTAATGATAAATGTAATGCAGGAGATATTGCTCCTTTTAATTCATATAAAAAATATAATATGCAAATTTTACTACACCTAATCTATATATAAAAAAAAGGATTAGGTGCAAGTATGTATATGTGTAGGTATATAGATAAATATACACTAATGTATTGATAGATGAAAAAAGAATTGTCAAAGTAGATGTAAAAGTGTCAGGCAAAATAGTACTAAGCACAATGTAATGAACTTCCATCTAATGGCTCAACAAGATCATCCAGGTTGTCGCGACTATTCTCTGTAAAGCATTTTTGGAGACTCTCCTCGTTAAATGAAAACCCTCTGTCATCTGATATAGCGCTAGTTTGGATAACACTTTCACATTCATCTGTTGGATCTACCTCTTTGACAAGGTCAAGTGAGTCGACAATAAAATTGTAACAGTCATTCCTTCTGTAGTCATGTATGAACCTTTTTACTTTTTTGGAGAGATTTACGATGTTATTAATCATGTCATTACGTGTCCTTGAGTTGATAGGGATACTCTGTTTGAAAAGGATAAGTTCTCTCTCAATTGAATTAAATTTTTCAATTATTTTTTGATTTTCAATATGCCAATAATAATATCGATGACTAATGGTTTCTGTTTCTTTACAAGCAACAGTGTCATTTAAACAACGATAATTGTTTGAAGTACCATGGAAACAACCAAGAAGATTTATGGAATCAATCCAGTTTGATCTCTCTAGGTCATTCTTACATCTCCATATAGACTTTCCATGTGTCCCCCATAAAAGGAATGCATAATCATTTTCATTCATTTCATCATTACGATTATCACTATTATCATTACTTTTGTAACTACTTTCACATTTGGTCGTCTCTGCATATAGCTCGTCGTTAAATAGCATCACAAACCCACTTCTAAAGTTAACGGTGTAGTAACTTTCGCCAGTTGTATCATTTCTATTCACCTCAGTTGTAAATAATTCAGAAGAATCAGAGAAGATAGAACCACTAGGTATCAATGTATGATGATGACCTGGTTTGTTTGAATCATATATTAGAATACCACAATTTGTTAAAAGTACAGTCTTTGATCTCCAACTATTATTGCTGGATAATTCTTCAATCTCACCCATTCTGATAATCTTTAAATAATAATATTTTGGTTTGGATTTCAATAATTGGTTGTTCGATGGTTCTGAGGGATTAATGATTTCATAGTTAGGGATGTTTAGCTTGCTGATATGGTTCTTTGGTATCCTTAAATATGCCCCTTTGAATTCTTTAAGGATATCATAATACTTTTTGTATTTATTCTCTTCTTTATGTTTGGGCATAACATTGTATGTACTAAAATCATGGGGCATTAATTTCACAACTTGTAAAGTCATTGAAATTTCAAAAAGGTCGTCATTGAAAATGTGATAGTATATATCGATATCATCTTTGGTTTCGGCAGATGAAATTCCTCCTTGCTTATGAGATGATAAAAATGGATTTCCAACAGCCCCTCCAGGTGTTAATGTGGCAAACGTATTAGAAGAAGGTATTGGTGTAGGTGTCATATTAGAATTTGAAAAGTATGATGAAATTGAATTAGAAGATGGGCGACCTTTAAAAGTTAATGGTGGTGTATAATCTTGTGTTAAAGCATTAATTGCTGTATCATCGATGTCTCCTGCTGTATTGTTGGAGTTATAACTAGTTCTTCTACTATTAAATAGCTTGTTTTGTTCTATTATTGCTTTTGGTGAGTAAATTATCCCATCGTTTTCATCCATCACGGCTGTAGTTTTGTAGTTTTCTTTGTTTACATTATCTTCGATTGTATCAGTTACATGCTCCGTATTTGTCTGGATTAGTGCATTAGTTGCATTATATGGTAAAAGTGATGTTTTAGAGGCTCCCTCTGAGGAGTTGTTTTCGGAATATGTAAACTCTATAGAGCTTGGAGTTGAGGGACTTAGCATGGAATAATAAGTAGAAAAATCGAATTTTGGGGATTCTTTAGCCACAATATTACCGTAATAATATGCTAATATTTCTAACGGTACTTTATCACCTTCTGAATATGTATCTTCGTGGACCAGTTTGGTAAATTCTTGTCTTGTCATTTTCTGTTTGTTATTGGCATTAAAGTAATCTGTGTGAAGCATTAATAAGGAAAATATCACAAAATATACTTGATTATAATTAGTCCAGGGGCAGTTGGTTCCATAGTACGATTTCTGCTTATCATAGTATACTTTAGCAAATTCTGTAAGAAGCCTATCAATTTGTTGGGCTTCCTTGGGAAGTTCTAAAAATATCAACAATTTTCGAAGTGCAATATCTAAAGGATCCATTGCAAAATCAAAGTATTCTATTAAGAAAAACTTCAAACAGCCAAGCTTGTAACCATCAGGTTTTTCTGTTAAGATTACTGAAACAAATTTTCCATAACCTGACAATCTTTTTAAATAACTATCATATGGTTCGTTTTCCTTATACATTGGTGGTGTGGGTAAATCGGATAATTTTACAGGAACTGTGTTTTCTGGCTGAAAATTATAATTTTGGAAATGTGGTGCCTTACTAGAAGAACCACTCCCAGACCTCAGATTCACAAAACTACTTAAAGCGTTTACTATTGAATTACTCCTTCTAGATATTGAGAATGTAGAGTTAGTATTACTTTGGAGACTAGGCGTATTATGGTTAGAATAGGGTTTAGTGTTCGTTGTCTCTGTACTTCTCCTTGTCAGTGGCCCGCCAAATGTGCTCAATCTTTCTGGAGATGGAGGAGGGTATGGTTTCGCTGAGGAATATTCCTCATTGTTATCATTTTTATTTCGTGATTCATTTAATTTAAAGGAGTTAGAACGACTCACTCTAGCTGTGCCAGGCATTCTTAATTGTATTGCCGGTGGTGTTCTGCTTTTCTTTAGCGTATCGTATGCATCAACAGTCTTACTACGCCTTCTAGTTATTGATTTAGATTGGTTTGGGAGCCCTAATGTCTTATGTTCTTCCTCAGCAGGGTATTTCGGTAATTCGATATTGTCATCGTTCGATCTTAAATGACGTAACGCTGTTACGTTATACAATCGAAAAGGTGGAGAGCCAGAACTTGTATTTTCAGATGTTATTTTCTTCATGGGGAGGATAGATGATTGATGCCTTGAATGATGCCTCCTAGGTTTTATATTTGTGTCTTGAGAAGAACATGCAGATGTTTCAGAAAATGTACGGTACATTTCATCATAATTGTGAGGTACATTATCCTTTATGGGAAATTTTTCTAAACTTCGTCTTCTAGGGCTTTTACTAAACGAATTTCTTGCTGCTGTTGTAGTGTTTTTAGGTATTTGTAACTCCATTGGAACTATGTCCCCATCACTTGAATCTTTGGGAGTGCTGGTGGTTTTTGATTGTTCTGATGTCTTTGGGACAGTTTCTTTTGAGACACTCCTACTTGGTCTGAAATTCATATCAAAAACTTTATTCTTTAATCTCCTTATTCTACTGTTAGGGTTTTGCTTGGGGTTATGCTTTGTATTAACTGTAGTTCCATCATCTTTATTATTTTCTTCTGTTGGGGTCGTATCCGTATTATTAGTTATAGGGGTCTCAGATCGGGTTGAGTTGGTTTCTGTAATTGGATTAAGTTCAGAACTTTCATTTGTGTGCACTGTAAAATCCATGGTCGGAAGTGATCCTATCCTATTTGAATGTTTATCAAAATTACTATTTTTGGTTCCTTCTTTATCTGTATCATTATTATTGTTGTTGTTATCATTATCGCTGTCGTTATTACCTTGAAAAAGTTTCGATTTGATTCGTGATGTTATTGACTGACTCATTGTGGATAATTTTTCCAGTAATTCTCAGGAGTTAGTGTTCTGTATCTTGGTGATTTAGAACAATGATCTCAGGCAAAACAATAACAGAAAAAAAATCTATTCAGTCTTAGGGAGAGTATCAATATCGACTATTATTTAATATTACTCTTGAAAAGAAAATATTTTTATGGGACTAAACAGATATAGTGATGCAAAAGGATGTCATACGTATAATTACGTATTGATGTCGACGAATAAAATGGGAATGAAAACACTGGTGTGTTGAACAGACGAAAAAAAGGGAAATACCGCTGTACAGATAACTATTGATTACCTTATTGCTTTTCCAGAGTTATCTTTTCTTATCCAAGGGAAAGAATATAGTTTTGCCCTTTAATGTGTGCTTGATCAATTCGAATTATTTATATAAAACCCTTATTTGACAATATAATGAAATAGGAGAATGACATAAATTGATTACTACTATTATCATCATCATGCATTCACCCATTATTATTATTAATAGCAAGTCCTTCCCTCGCTTCGTGGAGCGAACGCGCGTAGGAAGAGAATGACAATGAGTAACTGAAAAGAGATGAACAAAATGTCGTTTATAGAGACAGAAAGGGGACAAAATATAACAAGAAAAGTTGAAAGGGATCTGAATCTATAATTGGTGTCATCTGAATCATCTAAGAATAATCGAGTTATTTTTGAACATTCAAAGAATTGAATTCTTGAGAACTAGAAATCAGACTCGATTTGGGTTTTGCGATCAGAAATCAAAAACTCAGAAATAAATGTCTAAGGACTCAATGGAAGAGTCAGGCACATACCCATTAAATGCGAGACAAGAGCATTATTTAAAACGAGAGTTATTAAAATTTCAGCTTGAACATGAATTTCAACAACTGAATGAAAAAGAAGCCCTACGGACGTTTGGTTATCCATTTTCATCTACTGATCCTAAAGAATTGAACAAAAATGCATCTAAATTTACCAAAACCCAAAAAGATGATAGATCGGGAAATTTAGAGACTTCGACAGTTACTGATTTTCCAATGTTAAGCTATTTATTAAGAGAATTTATTATGACATTTCCTTTATTTGCTAAAAATGTATCTATTGATGAAGCCTTTTGGCAAACAAAAGTTCAAGTATTTTTTGAACATTTCACAGATCTAGGTTTCAGCGATAGTTTTGATCTAGAGCATGATACTAAAAGGAAGAAATTAGGCCAGAAGTTTACAAAATTAATACTATTATTATTTAATTCTGGACTTGGTACTAAGAATGAAGTAACATACTATGAAGTAGATAAAAAATTCAGCTTGAATAAAGATACTAGAAAACGATCAAAGATTGAAGAATTTACAATACCGACAAGAGAAGGGATAAGGGACTTGATTACGAATGAACCCGTTTATATCAATAGCTGGGATGTTAATGTAGTTGCTATCATACATGATTCGACGTTACAAAAAATCACACCTTTGGTAAATGCATCTACGTTACCATCAAGTTCGACAAGTTCACTCTACTCTGTGAATCCATTGAAGTCAACTTCCCGTTGGGTGAAGGATACTTTTGCAGTTCAATCGTCTACTACATCTTTATTCTCTAAACTTTCATTAAATGGAAGTACAAACAATACGACTGTAACATCTTCCTCTGTATCTGTTAAGGATACTATAATAGCCCAGAAGAAATCAGGTAAGAAGCATTTCATACTTAAAATAAAAAGACCTGAAACCTCAGAGGCTGTGTATGTGGTTAAACCATATACTAGTTTTAAGAACTTGGCGGCAGATCTAGTGATCCAATTTCCCGGTAAGAAATTACCACGTATACCTCATAAAATTAAGAAAAGATCTCAATTGCATAAAGTGAGAAGTACAACTAGCATTAGCTCCAAGAAAAGTATTTCATCAAACGCCAAAAACGAATCTTCTATCCAAATTACACCATCAATTGATGAGTCATTTGCCGACGAAGATGAATTGCTAGATCAAGATAAAGAAGGTAATGCTATTGAGGATGATGATGAGGATTTTGGAGACATTGAATTTGGCTATGATGACTTAATGGATGATAAATTACGTACATCGTTGAGACAGTACATTAGATCTTTATGTGATGATGAGGAAATTTCATTGTCATCACCATTGATTAAATTTTTTGATTCAGATAAGATAGCTAAAGTAGATGACCTCCGAGACTCTGAAATTAGAATAGATATGAAGAGAAGAGAAAATATAGATATTTCAAATCTAGAAACTCAATTAGATTTTCAAAAATTGGCTCTTGAACGATCCCTTATTCTTCAGGACTCGATGAAGGAATTTAAGAACAATTTGTTAAAGGATGATGACTATTTACTTGGTTTAGCACATGAAATTAAAGAAAAGACAAGTATTAAAGATTTATCTCCGATATTTCAAGATTTCATTGAATGGTTTAAGATATATTTTGCATCTTTAATCTTTCAAACGTTTATCGGTCATGATAATAGTTATGGTTTTTACACTCAAATAAGACGTTTACATAAGTTAATGCCGTATACTATGATGGAACAAATAGTAAGATTTACTAACCCGATGGCTATGATGAAGGGACTTATTGATTTATTTATGGCTCAACCACCTCAGTTACTAGGAGGAGGCCAATCTCTGTTACAGACAATGTTTTCAACTATTCTAACAGATGACTTGCGTATATATAAAAACCGTGTCAAAGATCAAGAAAATTTGATAATTAAGGAATCAGATGATACCTTAGCAACAAAAACAGTGATAAAATGTCTTAGATCGTTTGTCTTGGACAAAGAAGATGGTAAGAAACTGTTTACAATGCAAGATGTACATGAGGAGGCTACCACTATGAACATGCCTGCAGTTTTAATAGTACTGATGAAATGTGACGATTTAAAATTAATCTCTAATAGTGCAGTTACTCAAGTGATTGAATCCTATACAACATGGAAGATCAACGCAGACAATGGTTCAATGGGTATATCTGTTGGTAATAACTCAACTAGTCCACTTGCCAGTAAAGAAGATGGATCTTTGTATTTCCAAAGAGTGAAAGAGTTGTTTATCCTATATATTAAGGAGCATGATAAACGATTAATGAGACAATTATGGCAGGATTCAGAATTATTAGCTCTTTTAAAAGCTATTGTGACATTAGTATATGAACCAATGGTTCGTTTATTTAAAGTAGCAAAGATGGATGTTGCTCTAAGAAATTTTGAAAAGTTTATGACTGATTTGATTAAATTACTTGATATGATTATTGATGGTCGTGCAGGAGCCTCTACCCAATTCAATGTAATTGACAGTATTTATAATTTAATTACGAAACATCAGGATTCATTTTTTGAATTTTTACATGATATTTATATTAATGATACTGAACAAATTTTTGAAGGATTTATTCTTTGGTTCGGTAAAATTATTAAATTTTTACAAACAAGTAAATATGGATCTGAAAAACAACGTACAGATCTCAATGCATTACTATTAGAGGCACAAGATGATCTTGGAGTTGATATTGACATTGACTTATTAAAGAAACAAATTGATGAAGTAATTGCTAAGAAGTCTAGTGCACGTAAAGTTTATAAAGAGATTGTTGATTTACGTACTCAAAATGATTCCAGCAATTTGAAAGGGAACCAAAAGGGGGTGTCGATAGAGACAAACATGAAGAAGAAATGGTCGGAAATTAATGGAAATATTATGCCAGAAAGTACCATGAATGCAGGGTTAGGAGATGGTGATTTAGTTGATTTAGATATAGATACTAAAGATTTAGATTCCGAGGGATTGGATTGTTTGAAGGATGCAGATGGTACAGATTTAGAGGCCAAATACCATGCAATTCTTGAGCAAGAGATAGATGAAAGTGAAATACATAAATTTACAGACAAGTACACCAGAGACATTCTAAAGTGTACGCTTGGTAATATTTAGTTCATTCGCTTTTTCTAAAGCATGCATCACAGTATACATGTTTACATAGCTTCACGACAAATATAGAACAGCATTACAATATCACTGATGCATACTTTCAAAATCTGGAGCATGTAATCTACTCTATTCCATTCAAATTTATATAGTCAAATATCTATAATTAGAGACAGAAATTTGATCTTTCGGCGCACAATTAAGCAACGACAACAACAAAATACTAGCGGGACAAGACGAGGACAACAATACTGAGCTTGAAAATTAAATTATAATGGACGAAATTGCAGAGAAGGGAGACGAAAGAGGGACAAAGTACCCTGTTTCTGTTAACTACTTTTATAAAGGGAAGTTCCGGATTTAAAATTATAAGGGAAAGAAAGATCTACTATTGCATTAATATATATATATAAGGATATTTCTGTAGTTTAACAAATTGTATTCTTTTTGGAAATAGCAGTTTGAAAAAAAGAGAGAAGAGAGATATCATTTTAACAAACTAAATATGGCTAATTCTAACGTATTCTCGCGTGCACTTGCTATCACCGGTATTGCCACTGTCATGTCAGTGGCTGGTTATGCTATTTATTTTGATTATCAAAGGAGAAATAATACTGAATTTAGAAAGTCCTTGAAGAAGAAATTAAGAAAACAAAAGAAAGAAGAACAAGATAAGAAAGAAGAAGCTAAACAAACTAAATTACAAGATATTAGGGAGTTTTTAAAAGATGAATTAACGAGAAATCCAATTCCAACAGATCCAACTCAAATTCAAAACGTTTTCAGTAATAATGTTGAATTAGGTGAACATTTATCTATGACACCAGGCAATGAAATGGAAGCTGCTACTAAATTTTATAAAGCTTTAGCAGTATATCCAAAACCAACGGATTTACTTGGCATATATCAAAGAACTATTCCTGAAAATATTTATGAAATTATTGTATTGATGATTGCTGTCATGCCTCCAACTAATATTACTGATTTTATTTCTGGTGGTATGGATGGTGCTGATGCATTAGGTATTGATGAAGATGAAGACGAACCACTAATCTCTGAAATTATTGAGGAAGAAGAAGACGAAGATGAGGAGGAGGCTGAAGGTGAAGGTGAAGGTATTATTAACACTGAAGATAATGCAGATGCACCAGTTGCAGAAGAAACTATGGATGCTGAAATTGAGATAATTAATGATGCTTCTCAAGATACTGCAGAATTAGCTGACAGAATTATAGAAGAATTTGCTCAGGAGGTTGCTGCTGATGAAGAAAAGGAAGAAGAAGCTGATAACTGAAAGATCTCTTAATTAATGTGTTTTTTTCTCTTTGAATATTAAGCTTCAAAATATGCATTTTTTTTCCTTTGTTTATCTTGCCCTTCATAACTCTATTATTATTATTATTATTATTACTATTATTTGTTATGTTTTAAAATTAAATCGTGTAAATATACATATACATATACATACTAACAAAATTAGAGTACCATATAATTATTATTAACCTTATTTTGAATTGTTGATTGTTTTAACCTTAGTTTTAAAAGTAGAAAAATAAAGTAGGCGTTAATATAGAGATAAGCAGAATAAAGAAACAATAAAAGAGAGATAGTTCATTATGAATATTATTATTTACAAGTTGACATTAATCAAAATGAAATAGTTAGTACTTTATTGTTCTCTTGTTGTTGTTTTTTCATTTAGGTACAAAATGTAAAAAACCTTTAGAAAGATAAACACCGTAAATTAATAAACTAATCACATGAGACACGTTAAATAAAAGACTAATACCATGAGATTTACCAAATTCTTTTCTTAAAGGTTTATCTAATTCTTCTAGTTTTTCAGGATCATCCTTGTATTTATTCTTAAGGTTTAACCTTTGTTCCTTAACTTTTCTATTCCATGGTAATAACCAAAATAAATTAATTAACCCACTAACGGATGCTGTAGATAAGGCGACTGCTGGCGCCAAAGTCAGTGGCATAGGGGCTGTCAAAGCAAGTAACATTGGTGAAATCCCTTGCATAGTAAAAAAACTAGGGAATACTTTACTTTGTAAAATAGAGAATTGATCCCTAGCTAACACTTTGAACGCAATTGGAGATGCGACATATGAATAAAAAGCAGAACCACCAAAGCTATTTAAATATTATATACACATGTATATGAGTAATGGTTAGTATACAGTTGGCAATAAAAAAGAGAAAGAAAGATATTAAAAGGCACTTACGCGAAGGAGTATAATAATAGATGAGAGGCAGCTTTCACTAAAGGCATTCTGTATATGTGTAACTATAAATTATTGTCGTTACTATTAGTTCTTTTTAAAATGATGGAACGTTATTGTTTTAATATTTTATATCCCATTGTTATTTCGCAGATCATTTAAAGGGGAGAAGAGGTCTCTATCTGTCTAACAAAATAAACCTTCGGGGTCCTTTGTTTTTAATATTCGTGATTAATTATTCTCTAAGGGAGCGAAAGGAAGAGAGGGAAAAATTTAAATATTGAACTTATCTGTAGAATATATTAGAAAGCTCAGTTTCGAGTAACTTAGAAAGGGGAAAGAAAGAAAGTACTGAAGTAACCGTTTGATAATATACTAATAGTAGTTAGCAAAAAGTCTAAATAATAAACGGAAGTATTTATTAAAAAATAAAATGGTTGTTAAAGTGGTTCAACAGGCCTCTATTGCCCGCAATGGTGTCGGTGCGTTTGTTTTCCCTTGTAAAAAGATTACATTACAATATTGCAACTGGGGTGGTTCCTCAGATGGAATGAGACAATTTCTAACCTCTGAGAGATTAGATAAGTTTGCTATGGGGAATCCATACATGCAGTTTGATGTATTGAGGAAACCTGGACATCCACTATTGAGAGCAGAATATACAAATGGTCGTGAGAAAGTTATATGCGTACGAAACTTAAGTAGTGAATGTATCGAGACCAAGTTGAAACTATTAAGAGACTCTAGTGGTGATCAATTACGTAGATGGACCAAGAATGATAATGTGAGGACATTGAATAGTAGTGTGAGAGGTATTTGGTCACCAATCCATGCCGCAAAACAACATAAAGTATGAACTCCCCCTCAGGCCTTCCTAATCTCTCCTTTCTATTAGTAAATATAGGCAAAGACAGAACCAGAGAAAAGCTTTAAAATAAGTTATAATAATATATTTACATGTAAATAATAAAGAACATATTAACAGACATATTCTTATTCTATTTTATAAATCATTCTTTTTATTTTGATTTCATTTATACTTATGATATCAAATAGGTTTTCTGATTATACACGCGCAGAGGGAAGAAAGTTTCAATAAAAAGTGATGAAATTATATATAGACTACGTATAGTTAAAGATGAAACTATTTCCCTCACTTATGAAAATTATTAACATACTATATAGTTATAGAAAGTGTGTGTAGTACTGAGTTAATAAGGCAGGCCTTTTTTCTAACTAAACACAATTAATATAAGCAGAAGGATATATATTAAGTACAGCATGGACTATTTACCGTTTATTGATAACAAGATTCCAAGCGATGAGTATAAGGATAAGGCAGAGAGACTCATACACGATACCATGCAAGAACAAAATACGATAGGTTTACATCCATACGTACAGAAAATGCTTGAAATGCATAAGAAAACGGATCATGTCATACCTGATTCTATGTTTCAAGAATATATACAGAAATTTCCTTCAGAGGATAATCCAAGAGGGCAAAAACGTTCACTCGAGAGTAGCCATCTCGATGATGAAAGTTTCTTACAAGAATTCAATTCAAAACATCCTCATATTGATCTCTTAAGATATAACTTAGAAGATATATCATCAGATGACAACCAATTATCTACAAAAACTAAATTGGCAATCATAGATTCATACCTTACTCATCAAATTATTACTTTAAGAGATTTGATACCGAATACACTGGTAAATCAGTGGGCTATTAATACTGACTTTATCAGGACCAATACGCGGACTATTGACAACCTTTTATCACAACAAATTAAACAATTAGAAGATCTAGATAAATATAGAGAAAAGGCACAAGTAAATCAAGCTACATCGTACGATAAACTAAACTATGATATTAATGAAAAGATTTTAGATATCATAGAGGATCACTTTCCTAAATAATTAGTCAGTATATGTATATGTATATGTAACGACTATAATTGAAAGTAATATTATTCTGCCCTTTAGCAAATGGCAATAACGGAGAAATTACACAAGTATAATTTATCTTTCAATATGATTAGATGAAATGAGTTAAGTTAATTAAAATAGAGAAAAGATATATAGATATAAACAATATTTATATAATTGAATTGAGTCTTTTAAAAATTTAAAATTAAGCTTATTTGTCAAGGACATCAGCATCGTATCTTTGCTTGAACCAAGCGATGGTGTCTTCCTTGGAGGTCTTATGAGAGTTGCCGATAGTAGATTGACATCTCTTTCTTCTGGTGACTCTAGCACCTGGTCTACCCATGACAATGTAGAAATCCATACCGAAAATACCAATGGATGGATCGTACTTGATACCTAAATCGATGTGTTCGTCGATACCGAAACCGAAGTTACCAGTAGCAGAGAAGTTTCTTAGTCTCAATTGGTATTCCTTAACCTTTAGACCTCTTTCTAGAATTTCTTCAGCCTTTGGACCTCTGACAGTGACGTGAACAGCAATCTTTTCGTTTCTTCTGATACCGAAAGTTCTGACAGTGTATCTAGCCTTAGATTGAACTGGAGTTTGACCAGAAAGTTGTTCTAAAACCTTAGAAGCTCTGGTCAATCTGTCACCAGATTCACCAACAGAAATGTTTAAGACCAGCTTTTCGATCTTTAGCTCACGCATTGGGTTTTGGGCTTTAGCAGACATCCTCGGTTATATTAATGTATGTGTAAGTTCTTGGTATGTTAATCTTCAAATTAAACAGAAATTATTAAGTTAATTTTCAAGTATGAGTTTATATATATATCTAGAATCGTATACATTTTTATTTAAACAAGTTGAAGCAAAGATTAATTGCTGCATCATGGAAAGCCAAGTTTACTTTGAGAATTTCCAACAAACCAGTTGAACCATGAAAGAAAAATCGATGATACCAAGCAGGGAAAACTAAGTAGAATGTATTGCAATCTTACACTTCGTTCGGCATGATATCATCACTGAAATTTTTCTACCTTATACACTATCGCACACAAAAACAAATTTTTAGTTTCCCCATTGCGTTCCCTGTCCCAATCAGGAAATTTTCAAGTCATCATATTTTTCATTAAAGTTTTTTGAAGAAAAACAAATAAATACAGCACCCAGACATTTTTCAGCAACAGATTATGGGTGGATGGGTTTTATGGAAAGAATTACAGTCCAAACGCTTTTCTTGATAAAAACATAGTTACCCTCCTTTAATCAAAAAAATAAAATTAAAAATTTCGTTTTTTTCCTAGTTTCGTTAAATGATTTCTTCTAAAGGCCCAAATTTACATTCAAGAGGGAGGTTCAAAGGGTGGCAAATAATCTTACTAGATGATATAAAGGGAACAAACAGTTGTTATTTTTGGTTTGAAAACTTTTTTTTAAGGCATAAGATAGTATAATTGATAATAGTTATTGTTAATTTAGTATTTGTTTTATTCAATTGAAGTATTATTTTTATCTAAAAGATTGTGGAATATATTGATTGTTTCGTTGGTAAGATATATCGTAAGACTAAACTAGTAACAATAAAAGATAAACATATATATATAAGTGAAAAAAAAATGGATGCTATAGCCAGTAGATTTGCACCAAAGAGTGCGTTAGTGAAAGAACTTCAGTATGATAATGAAGAGAATTTAGAACAAGATTTTATTAATGGTAACTCACAATTTCAACGTATGGCACCTAATATTACAATGCCACCAATTTCATCACCTCAACAATTCTTAAGAGCTCATACTGATGATTCTCAAAATCCTGATTGTAAGATTAAGATTGCACATGGTACGACAACTTTAGCATTTAGATTTCAAGGTGGTATTATTGTTGCAGTTGATTCTCGTGCTACTGCAGGTAATTGGGTTGCGTCACAAACAGTTAAAAAAGTTATTGAAATTAATCCTTTCTTATTAGGTACAATGGCAGGTGGTGCCGCTGACTGTCAATATTGGGAGACGTGGCTAGGTACTCAATGTAGATTAAGTGAATTAAAAGAAAAGGAAAGAATATCTGTTGCCGCTGCATCAAAGATTTTAAGTAATTTAGTATATCAATATAAAGGTGCAGGTCTTTCGATGGGTACAATGATTTGTGGGTATACAAAGAAAGAAGGTCCAACTATTTATTACGTAGATTCTGATGGTACAAGACTTAATGGTGATTTATTCTGTGTGGGATCTGGTCAAACGTTTGCATATGGTGTTTTAGATTCTAATTATAAATGGGATCTAACTGTGGAAGAAGCGCTATATTTGGGGAAAAGATCTATTTTAGCTGCAGCCCATAGAGATGCTTACTCTGGTGGTTCTATCAATTTATATCATGTTACGGAAAATGGTTGGGTTTATCACGGTAATCATGACGTAGGGGCTACATTCTGGGAGATTAAAGAAAAAGAAGGTTCTTTTAATAATGTTGTAGGATAGTTTTTTTCTTTATCTTTATATACAAATAGATTCATAAGACATATTTTTTTTTAAATTCTCATATTTACCATAACGATTTCTTATATTACGATACTCTTTACCATCTTGTTTTAGAAAAACGCAAAACAACCGTATTATATAATTGATTTGAACTTATTACAACTTTATATACTTAAAGAATTCGTTTGTCAATTATTAATATACCTTAGTTTATACATATATGTATATAACTTACCCAATATGATGGAATAAGCTCTCCTCTTTATAAAAAAGAAAGATTCCTTCCAACATTATTCCGATACATTAGTATCGATAGATAAAAAAATTTAATACAAGTAGTTAACAATTAATCTCTTAGATAGATGCATCCTCGTTAACAATTGCAGTATTTGCCTCTTCAACAGTTTTAGTAATGTCCTCACTAGCATCCTTCATCTCGATATCTCCATCGCCATCCGCAGTATCGTGAGTTTCATTATGCTCTGTTAAAGGATTCGTATTTTCAGAGATAATCTCATTACTGTGGTCATTTTCGTTTCTTGGTTTCTCCTCTACCTCATCTGCATTATCTTCTTCTGATAATAAAGTTGTTGGCAAATTGTTTTCAGCGCCATCTTCAGCATGTTTTATTACTTTGTCATTTTCCTCTTGTTCTATAGTATTACCTTCGACGTTCTCCTCAGCAACACCATTTGTATTTTCACTGTCACCATTATCTCTAGTAGCTGTATCTTCTTCTTCTTCTGCTGCTTCTTCTTCTTCTTCTTCTTCTTCGTCGTCGTCGTCATTTTCCTCATCGTCATCTTCCTCATCACCTTCTTCTTCCTCTTCGTCGTCTTCTTCTTCTTCCTCTTCATCACCTTCTTCTTCTTCTTCTTCTTCTTCTTCTTCTTCTTCTTCTTCTTCTTCTTCTTCTTCCTCTTCATCATCCTCATCTTCTTCTTCTTCTTCTTCTTCTTCTTCTTCTTCTTCTTCTTCTTCTTCATCATTGTTGCTATCACTTTCACTTTCACCACTTGATGTACTCTCATCGCTACTTTCATCACTATTATCCTCTAACGGACGTTTCTGAGGCGTTATACTTGTAGTAGGTTTTGAATTACTTGAAGGAGGAACACGTATCTGTTGTCTAGGTTGGAAAAACCTTGATAATGAGGTTGGATCAAATGAGGTATCTATACTTTCAGAATCTGCCTCAAGTCGTGATGTATCCTTAGATGATGATGAGGATGATGAAAGTTCATGTTTTTCTGTTTTAATTTTTTGAGAAGAAGAAGTTGTATCAACTGTAGCAGGTCTCTGGATATTTGGTTGTTGTGTCGTGATTTTGGGCTTTTCAATGGTGGGGGGTGTCATGCTAACAAGACTCTTTATTTTACCATTAGTAACTTTAGCGGTTGCTGCATTAACAGCAGCAGCTAAAATAAGGTTTAAATGTTTAGGATTTTTATCCATTAATGCAGTAAGAGGGTTTCCTGAAATTCCCTTATTCTTTGCAGCTTGTGTTACTTGATTAATAGTCATCGCTAACGCTTGAGTTAAAATGTTCGCAATTACCTGTTTGGAAAGGCCCTTTCTGTCCTTGGTCAAAATCATTAATTGTCCTTGTAGGTATTTCATTGTTCTTTGGTGATCAGTTAATTTATTTGCGTTATTGGTCGTAGCTCTATTGGCTGCTAATGTTTGGGATATGCTTTGTTTTTTTGTAGATGTTGTTTTAGCGGTTGTAGCTTTCTTTGCCTTCTGCTGTTGTTGCTGTTCCTGGCGAGCTTGAGCTGCCTCCGCCTTGGCCTTGGCTGCTTCAGCTTGTTTCTGTTTCTGCTGTTCTCTTTCAGCTATGTATGCTTCGTCCAACCCCCATAACCAACCCTTCCCCTCTTTAGAAACTTTTCTAAAAGACTTATTTAGTGAAAGGTTGTGCCTCACAGAGCTTTGCCAACCATCAGGACAATATTTATAAAATGGATATAGTTCTCTGATACCGGCATATATTTCAGAAAGTGACATACCTTTCTCAGTGGAATTCTTACGTATGCATGTTGTAAGCATGGCAGAATAAGAAAATGCAGGTTTAGTTCTGTATTCTTCTGGAATTTCTTCAAGTGTGTAAACTTTCTTTGGTACTTTCACTGTTTTCTTGTCTTTCTTTATAGCTGGCTTTGTCGTCTTTTTCTTAGGTGTAGGTTCCTTTTTGGTGGCAGACTCCTTCTTTTTGCTAATCTCCTTCTTAACCGCAGCTTCCTTCTTAACAGATGATTGCTTCTTGGTGGTTTCTTTTTTTATAGTTGATTTCTTTGCAGGAGTCTTCTTTGTTTTATTGGAAGCTGATTTTATAGATTTCGAGTCATTTGATGCTTTTTCTTTATGGTCATCTTCTATCATATTGTTTTCTTGGTCTGGTAATACGAATTGAAATGGAATTTGTCCGATTTGAATCTTCGTCTTATTCATTAATGGAACTGTCTTACCTCTCTCCACAAAGTTATCATCTACAAATGCACCATTCTTACCAATAATCGAAAGTTCAAACCTTCCCGTACCAAAGTTATAAAATATTTGAGCATGGCGTCTAGATATGGATTTTGAGGGTCCTAGATTCACGTCAACCTTATGGGTGGTGTCGTTTTCAGACCGTCTACCTATTATAGCATGTAAGGTCTGGACATAGAAGGTGAAGTTTTGGAAGTCTAATCTGGCGTATGCAAAAATGGTAGGTTGTTCATCTGGGACACCAGGCATCCCTTGATGAACTCCGCCGATGGCATTTGAGTCACCCACATCCATTGGGGAAATTCCATTCCCTATACGAGATAAAGTACCACCATGTTGTGATATATTTTCTAATTGGTTGGATTGTGGATGTAAATCATTTGTATGGAACATACCTGGTATTATAGAATTCTTTCTCTGCTGCTGTTCCATAGATTTTTCCATAAACAATTTCTGAACAAGATTGGATTCTCCATTTACCACATCTTCTGGTTTAACGATTACTCTATCTTTATCATTGTTTGTAGGACTTAATAATATTTCAGGTGTATTCGTGTATGCTGATAATGTTTGTTTCGAATCTTTTGGCAATGTTGGGTACGGCGATATGGACGAATCCTCCTTTTTCTTACTATCTTCCAATTTCACAGTTGATTCTCTAGTCTTGTCTTCTATATCCTTTGTCGAGTCGTTCTGTTGATCAATAGTTTCTGTAATTTCTATCTCGTTCGTATCCCTATTTTCCTTTGATATCGTTTCCTCTGAGATATCATTTGTGCTGAATAATTCTTTGTCATTTTTCGAATCAAATTCAAGTAATTTAGAAAAAGCCTCATTATCTATTGGGTCATCATTAACATCTATTTTCAATTCATCGGGTTGAGTTGATGTATTCTTCAATACATCTTGGACGTGACCAGTATTTTCAAAATCGGGTTCATTGGCCATCTGTATATCATGATCGTATAACTCGCTTTCTTTTCCATCATCGTCTTCTACTTCATTTTCCTCTTCTTGTATTGCTTTCGTCAGGACCTCTTCAAGAATAGTCGTTTCGACCTCTGCAGGTAGTTCATCAATTTTCGATTGGATTTCACCGGTCAATCCAGTATTATCGTTACTTTGTTTATTCGTACTGTCCTCTAGTGTCGTTGTTTCTATTTCGAGATGTTCATCTTCATTATTTGGGGCCCTTGGGCTTTCTGTAATCACTTTTTCAGGAAGGAACGTAAATTGCTCTTGTACATGCGAACTTAAATCACCCTTATGCACGGATGTATCATTAGTACTTGGTATAATTGGTTTTGATTCCAAGTCATCTAAATCATTGTGTGGTTGTGACAATCCTTCAGCTACAGAATGAGTTGTATTGAACGACATTTTGAAAATATGTCTTATTGTATTATCCTTTATATCAACAGTTCACGGTGTAGAGCCTTATAAAATAAACAATTTGCCTGCTTTGGTTTTACTTCAGATATGTCTTTGATTAAAACCCAGCGTATACTTATGTCAAGTATTAATTAAATAGGTTGTATTAGTCTCAATAAGCTGTTATAACTCAGTATAGAAATTATAATTCTTAAATAATATTGTGTTGATATTATTGCAACCGCTCAGCTATGCTCTTTTTAATAAATAAAAAAAAGCAAGACGATCTGCAAATCTTGCCTTAGGCCTACGGTATTGGTTTATTAAAATGGACTGATAAATAATAGCCTTCAGTTGGCCGCGTTGTGATTGTTATAGTTTTGTATTTAAGTATTGTGACATCTATAAAGTTTATTGATGAGCTTCTATCCGTATGGAACAATTTTTCAGTTTTTGTTTACTTTGACAATATCTCGCTAACATAAAAAAAACTCGGCCTTACAATTCAGGACATGTTCGTACATAGTGAGCGATGAGGCGCATATTATAAACAAATAAACGTGCATAAGTTTGTTGATAAATAAATAATTTCATGGAGCTTAAAATAAGATAACGGTTGGAATGCAATTATAGATGTATAAAGTTATGTTAGAGGTTAGAAACTGTTCGTTTCAGCGCCTTTTGTCCACCATTAAATTACGGGCATTTATTCTTTCTTGGGGTTTCAAAACCCAATCCATTGAGCTGGATATGTCATCTTTGATATCACCACTTTGAATATTAAAGTCATCATCATCAAAACCGAGCAGCAGAACTATTTGACTACATCTTACAAAAGTTTCTCTTAGAGAGTAATTAGTACCGCAGATAGTATTGATGAATAATGAAAGCTCTCTGTCCAGTTTGATTGCACCCAGTTCATTCACCTGCAGTGACCAAATCTTCTTTTCAACCACTTTACTACAATAAATGGCAACAGATTTTAATAGTTTGTCAAATGCGTCATCATGAAGTACATTTCTGAATGGTTGCACTAAAGTTGTCCATTTATTTACAAATTCATTCATATTGGATAGGTCTTCAAAACTTTCGATGTTGGAAATGTAACATTTGGAATCATTCGAGTCCTCTTCATCGCCGCGTTTGTAATCGACAGATTTGTTATCATTAACAAATAAATCAGTAAATAATAAACGAAGTCTACTTGATAGAACTTTTTCAAATAGAACTTTGATCGACCATGTAGATAGCTTTGTGATTTGAGTTAACATTGTCCCTTGACATTTCTCAATCTTTTCAGTAATTAGTAATGCATCATTATTAAATGGGAAATTATCTTGTAATAATCTAGGGTTCTTTTCCAATATTTCTGTTGTTAACAATAATTTAAGAGAAAATTTTGCGAAAAATAATGTGTTGATGTATATTAAGAAATGGTGTAATGCTAAAAGAGATGAACTGTCAGAGCTATCTTCACTGATGACCACAGATTGTAAATTAGACTGGATGTTGGCAAATGCATTTCTAAAATCAAATTTACTTAATTGCGATAATTTACTTGCATTTTGAGGTGAATATTCTCTTCTCTCTGCAGCTGGTGTACCGTTCCTAGAACCTAGCTTTGAATCGGTTCCATCGGTTCCTAATTTGGGGATATATCTTCTTAATGCAATAAAAGATGTGCTGGATTGTACTGGTAATTTGGCTTGTAACAACTTAAACTTTGCCTGAGCAAATTTTACAAGGAATTCATTTTGAACAAAAACAATAAGCTTATCCAAAAAGTTGGCAAAAATGGTAAAGTTTCCAGTATTTAAAGAATAAATCAAACTTTTTCTAATCAACAATGTCATATCTTCTAATACCGACGATATTGGCCAAGAAGATTGGTCCTTATGATTGACTACATCTAATGTGATAAACTCATTCAAAGAGGGCATCTCTTCCAAAGTTATAATTTTGGAAAATGAATCGTTCAGAAATCTAAATAGTAAAAGTTGGAAGTTGGCAATATGGTGTTCTTTATGCAGTTTGGATAAGAAATTACCATTGACAATTGGGTCCGGTAATGATAATGGATCATCTAATGATTTATTTTTTGAGAATTCAACCCATTTCACTGAGAATAATCTCGTATACATGGACCAATTCTGTAATATTTGAGAATATTCATTTATCAAATTATCAAGTTCGTTTAGAGGTATAATTTGTTTCTTCTTTTCCTTTGGAATATCAGTATCAGAATCGTAATCAGAATCCTCATTATCATCATAATCATCTTGTTCATCTTCACTTTCCTCCTCTTCATTTTGATTGTTAAATTGTTTAATTAGTTCAGCGGGTTTCCTCGTTTCACTAAAATAATTCAATACTAATATAGCTTGTAATTCCGTCTCTTTTTCTATCTTTTCCATAATTATCGTTAAATATTGAGCACCATAACATGTGGATATAATTTTTGAATGTTCATTAATAACCATTGAAACTGTCTTGAATAGTTGTAGAATAACTGTATTAAATCCAGCATTATATTTAATGGCACCCTCCACGATTTTTTTATTCTCAGCAGAAATAATTTCACAAATATATTTACTATAAATGTCCAAGCCTAATTGAGATTGACCAATTAATGGGAACAACTTGAAAAAAATTGTTAATTGTTCAATATCTTTATTTTCCACAGCTGCTTCAAATTGTGTTCTAAATATATTGGTCAATTTGTCACACCAATCATTAATTAATTCCTGAGGTTCTGTAGGTAACTCAGCAGATGGTACCACACTCTTTGCAAATTCAGAGACTATAATATGTGGCGGTAATTTACGAATTTCACTGATCGATTTAGCTGCAGTCACATAGTTGGAATCCTCCAAAGCAGAATTAATCAAAATTATATTATTTTTTAAAGTTCGTACATCATTTAGAAATGTGAGAGTCTTATTCAAATATTTGTATTCTTGATCTGTTGTATTGATATCTGAATATATCATTTTTGCAGAATTATTCGAACTTGTAATACGAGACAAAGTAGATTGGAAATCGGAAAGCGTCGTCGTAAGATCTACTCTATTCAATTCATATTTCCTTAACTCTCTATTATATTTCAATTGACTCTCCTCGATATATGAGTTTAGACTTTCGGTTGTATTCTTATGATCTTGAGCAATTACATTAACAAGTTTCGAAACTTGGGATTGTGTAGTCAATTTCTCTAAGACTAAAGAATATTTAGCCAAATTCTTGGATAATTGATCATCCGAAATATCACGAATCCTCTGAGATTCATGATATATGTTATTCTTAGCATTATTATTACTTGCTGGCATCACTTCTAGAAACAAATATTTCGAATAATATATAGCTAGCAAAATATATATATATATATATATATATATTTCTCTGTTAAAATAGGGTATCGAAGATGTTCTTGATCGAGGATTTAACGAGCCATTCACGGTACCAGCCACAATATTTCTGACTTGCTCGAATTCAATACTTTGAACACTAAACCAACGAAAAACCTAATCACTACTCAATGTGATATATCTAGTACACGCACTGTCTTCTTCTCTCTGTTTCCCTCTATGAACGATTTAACGTTTAACTGATTCAACCTATAATCATAAACAGAGCGTTTGAGAGTAGTTCTTCATAATTTATGCGTCCTCGGCCGTGAATTATGATATTCGAAGTTCAAAAAATAAAATGGCCGGAGAAGATTTACAGGAGTAGTAATGAGAAAGAAACCTTAAATAAATAAACAAAACAATAGAAAGTCGATCGATTTTAGTTTGGGTAAGAGACAGTTTTTAATAGTTAATATCAGTTCTCGATTGAATATCATCAAAGTGAAATATTATACTTCTGGTTTTTAATCATTGAATAGTTGCTTTGTTAGGTTATTCATATTAGTTTTATTTACGAGGAGAGTTAAAAAATTAGTTTGCATAGAAACAAGAAAAGAGAGACTTAATACATTTAGCAAAGAACCTATATTATAAATATAGAGATTATTCGGTCAGATTATAATATAAATTATTACCAAATAAAAATATGGATTTTACACCTCCTGCTTCACCAGTATTTAATGTGGATGTCCATAAAAGAAATATCGAAAGACTCCCTATTTCTCCCGTAACTCCAGAACTTAAAAAATTTCCACAAACAAGATTTGGTCCAATTCATTCAGCTAAAAGTTCCATTAACGAAAATAATTTACCAGATTCATCTTTAGCGCATTTGGTTGCAGATCTGGAAACATATAATATCTCTCCATTGAATCCACCATTTGAAAATTCAGCAGAAACTATAAATCTATTAAATGAATGGGCCTATCGTGATATTCAAAAATGTATGTTGTCTTCATCAATAGATTTCTTGCAGGATTCGAGAATGAAATTTAAGTCAAATCGAATGTTAGGTCAAGGTTCTTATTGTTACATATGTGAGATAGATACTACTCAATTGGTAGGAAACCAATCACGATATCTTGTATTGAAATTCCCTCATTCAAAGAGAAAAACTAGAACATTATTAAATGAGGGTTTGATTTTAACATATTTATCTGAGGCGAATAATGGTCTCGGAGAAACATTCATTATTCCATTTCATGGAATCACATACATTAATAAACAGCATTTTAATAAATTAAGAAGAGGAGAATTTATTCCAGCATTGATACTACCAAAATTAAATCTAAATCTACAACAATTTATTAAATTTCTAAAACAAAATTATTTTGAGGATATTGCATTGAAAAAAAACATTTTTAAAAAACTTGTAAATGAGATGATAATTGCCTTAAATTATTTAAAATTAAAACATGTTATCCATGGAGATATCAAGACGGCAAATATTATGGTTGGTTCAATAGATGATAATAATATTTTTTCCTTTGATAATTTCAATTTTTACTTATGTGACTTTACATCATCAATAATTGATGTATCTTCGGATATTAAATTGAAATCAAATAATAAAACATCGAATTCATCATTGTCAACAAATACGAATTTAGACACTACTTTGGAATATTGTCCTCCGGAAGTTATTGAAAGAGTCATAAATAAATCTGAAACAGATGAAAATGGAACTTCAATCTTTACACATGATACGGATCTTTATTCCTTTGGGTTATGTCTTCTTTCTTTCATATCTGGTAATGAACCATATAGTGAATTGAAAAATTTCAAATTTCATAACGAACTTCGTGGTTCAAATAATTCATATTCGAACAATTCTAACAATATCACATCATCTGTTCAGCATACGCAATGGTTAATAAACTCAATTCTAAGGAATGAACCAATTGCGTTAAATATATTTAATTGTGACGATACTTATTATACCAATAATTGGTCGGAAGAGTTATCGTTAGTTTCCAAAATCCTTGTTGATAGAATATCATTAGAGGAATGCATTTCTTTTATTTAGATAATTATTTTTTATTTACGTTTTATATATACCTATAAAAATTTTTCTAAATATGTAATTTCAATTTGACAAAGTCATTTTTAAATGTTATTGGCTAGGTAGCTTTTAAGATATGTTACGTCTCTATTTCACCATTAATAATTGCATTTAATCTTCTTTCTTTTTCTTCATCTAATTTTCTTGTATTAATTTCATGATCTTTCCTAATCTTATACCTTTGCATTAAAGAATCTTGTAAGAAGACTTCAGGTCCAAATTTAGGATGTTCTAAATCACAACTTAATCCAAGAGGACAAAACCCAGTAATATATCTTTGACAAATGGATTTTTTAATATGTCTTTTTTTACAATCAGGACCATCAACACAAAATCCTCTATCGTAATCAGTACATCTTGGAATCTTAGCCTGTGGATCAATGTGTAAATATTGACATTCAGGTGTCTGTGTACAGAAACCATTTTTACTATAAAATACACATTCTGGCATCTTTCTTAAATTATATTCATGTAAATATTCACATTGATCATTTTTCTTACAAAGACCACGTAACCAATGTTTACATACAATCTTATTTCTAAAATTTTGTAAAATATGTTTATAAGGGCATGATTGTCCTCTAGGACATGTTTGTATCCCCATTTTGGGATCATAATCGGGACATATTGGTCTGTCTGGATCTCTAGTTAATTGATATTCCTGTTTTAAAAAGGGTTCAAATTTAAATGTATATGTGTTAGTCTTGGGATGTATGAGAGACATAATAATATGGTATTATTAATTGTATGTCAGGTATTTAATGAGGTTAAACTCTTATATTGAGACTCTAAGGGAAACAGTTATCAAAAACAATAATAATAATAATAACACTGCAAAAAGAGTGGGAGGCTGAATAAACACTATTGTGTGACGATATCACTGGATAGTTACTTAATCTCAAACACTGACACAGTCAAATACACTAACCTCTTGCTTACAGAACTCTAAACTTCAAGACATCGAACTTCTCTTCCCATCTTACCTAATGTGAAATATAGAAATATATTTTATATGCGAGAAGTATTTGTTTTCAGATTATGAGGGTAACTATCACCGAAGCCGCCCTTTTTCTTTTCAATACGCAAAAATCCGTTGGTAGAGATTCGTCTAACTCTGTTCTCTCTCTATGGTAAAACCATTATATGGTTTTTGCCACCCAAGAAGAAACAGGATATTATTCATAAAGAGAGTAGGTTATTATATATTATTGGTGAAACATAGACAAAGAAGTTTAGCTCAATTGTCTTGAGAACATATTAGGAACAATACCAAAAGTAGTAAAAGATGTCTAAATCAGATACCGAGCAAGATAATGAGGATGTTGTTATGGAACCAGAATTGAGAATGGTTCCAAATTATGATGTATCCGATAAATCTTTTTTGTTAACTCATTCTTCTTCCCCTGAAGAGGCTCAACAAGCTAAAGATTTTATATTGGAACAAATTGAAAAAGATGAAATGGCTCCATATTATAAATATTTGACCACCAAATATTTACCTGAACAAGCTGAACAACAGGATAATACAAATAATAATAATAATAATAGTAATAATAAAAGTGAACAAATAATAACGTTTGATTCCGCATATTATGAGAAATTAGTAAACAAGAATAACGAAAACATTAAAATTTTAAAGGATAAATTAGATGTCTTAAAAACTAATGACGAAGGACCACTTGAAATTGCTAATGCATGGATTGAATTAGGACAATATTTTGTTCAAATTGCAGATTTTGAAAATGCTGAAAAGATTTTACTTGGTGATGCATTAAGTTTTGCAATTTCTATTGGTGCAAAGATTGATATCTATTTTATGATGTTAAGACTAGCATTTTTTTACAATGATTTTCCTTATATTAAAGAAAAATTAGATACAGTTAACTCTTTGATTGAAAAGGGTGGTGATTGGGAAAGAAGAAATAGATTCAAAACATATCTTGGTATCTATTCTTTGGCTATTAGAGATTTTACAAAAGCTGCAGAATTATTAGTAGATTCTCTGGCTACATTCACTTCAATTGAATTAACCTCTTATGAAAATATTGCGATGTATGCATCAGTCGCAGGTTTATTTGCCTTGGAGAGAACTGATTTAAAATTAAAAATTATAGATTCACCAGAATTATTGTCTTTAATAACCTCTACGCCAGCATTACAATCTATTTCATCTCTTACAATTGCTCTTTACACATCTGATTACCCAAGTTTTTTCCCATTCTTACTGGAGACACATGATAACGTACTCATTCCATGCAAATACTTAAACAAACATGCTGATTATTTTGTAAGAGAAATGAGAAGAAAAGTTTATGCTCAATTATTGGATTCCTATAAGACACTTTCTTTGAAGTCAATGGCTCATTCATTTGGTGTATCCGTTGAATTCTTAGATAATGATCTTGGTAAATTTATTCCAAATAAACAATTGAATTGTGTAATAGATAGAGTAAATGGTATTGTAGAAACAAAGAGACCAGATAATAAGAATGGTCAATATCATCAATTGATAAGACAAGGTGATGGTCTATTAACAAAATTACAAAAATATGGTGCAGCTGTGAAATTGACAGGTTCAGATTATGTTGGTTAATCTTTAAAACGTTTTATAATAATCTCATCACTCCAAATATCAAAATATAAAGTATATAATGAACAAAAGAATATATTTACAACTTAATTAATCTCTTTTTTATTAGATGATCTTGAAAAAAGGATTTTTTAGTTATCTCCTTATAGAAAAAAAAATTAACGTTTCGTGTGAAATGTCTAATTTTTTAATAATAGTAACCAATGCTAAAATAAAAAAGTTAACAACCCTTGGTAAACAAAAAAACAAAAGTGATAATCTCAAAACAACTATTCAACTGAATTTTAAGAAAAGATTCAGGAACCTACACAAGTAAAATCTGAATATGCTGCAGGAGATGCAATTTCTAGTTTTGGATTAAGGTGAGACAAAAAAAAATTAAAAGTTAAAGTAGTAATATTCTTCTCAAACTTGCTTATACAAGATTTTTGCTGTTGGAAAAACACGTGAAAAAGAGGAACCCTTACCGACTATTTTTAACTAATTTATAATCGGTATTCTAATCTACCAAATTTTTTTGAGAAATGTTCAGTATAGGGTGTTTTCTTCTAATGGACCACTCTGGAGTTTTATCTTCAATATTTTTTATATCGACTCTATCATAGAGTGGTAGAATTAATGTTATAGGCAATGATTAACAAAGTACTTTCTTTAAGGTACTTATACTTTATTTTTTTAAAAGATAACTTCAAAATTTGAAATTCAAGATTGAAATTCAGTCTAAAAAGAATTATTTATAAAATATTAAGTAAGCAAGGAATTTTCACTTAACAATAAATAAAATAGGTCAAAATGATGGTGTTTAACTTACATAATGTTCAAGAAATTCTACTAATGTTTGTAAGACTAATAAAGAGTGAGATCAATAAAAACTTACCTTAATCTATTTAATACATGATATGGTGCTATAAAAGGTCGAATAAGAACCCTACCACAATACACCACAGTACTATTCAACTTAAAATTAACTGATTTGTCAGTAATACTAAGAGTGGTCCAATATATATGAGGTGTGACGGATTTCTTATGTTAAATAGTTTGCTTCTTTTTTACTTTAAGTTGTCATATTTTGAAGCCATAACGCTTAGAGGGCACAGCATATTGATTATAATAAATTTATATTGTTATAGGACCTAAATGCTACTGTTAATAATCAACCTTTTATGTTTAAGCATATTTTCACATCATATCTTGTAAAAAATAAATTAATATTGTTAAATTGTAAACTGTAGAAAACAAACTACAAAATTTTCTATTTCATAAATATTTGGCCGCTTTAGCTTAGTGGTAGAGCGTTGCACTTGTAATGCAAAGGTCGCTAGTTCAATTCTGGCAAGTGGCATTTATTTTTTGCGTTTTTGGATTTTTATCACGTGATAAAATTAATATACTACATTAATTGCCATTAGAAAGGTATTACTTAGGTTCAACCACAGATGAAATAAATAAATTGTAAAGCAATTAACCATTTTTTTTGAGTTTTGACATTAGTTCAATTACCGTATATCACACTTATTAAAGTTGAGTATCAAATTTGAAATTGTGATGTCCCGATCAGAGAATAACAACGAAGACCTAACAACGAGTAGGAATGAAAGTAGATATGAGGATTGTAAGATAGACTTTACACAGCACTTTGTAAATGCATTAAGTCTGATAGGCCATATTGTAATCGTATTACAATTCATTAAATTTGAAAGCTCTTTCTGGATATTGCTTGCAAGGGCAAGTTTTCAGTCTTTACTTACAAACCCCTTTCCAAGCAATGCGCAACTGCGAAGGATAGCACAAAGAACTGGGAGAACTACAACTCCCTCCACCGATGTTGATATGCCAGGAGGATTTACTAATGCAACCAATCTTATAAATATACCTCAAAGTTCAGGTGATAACTCGAATATTGCGAGTACTCAAATTTCCACAGAAGACGAAATAATTGTTGTCAAGAAGAAAATACGAAAATTACTTTTCCATGGCTCTGTAACTTTGAATCTGATAGTATTCATTTGGAATATCTTCCACCCAACTGAATTTGTAGAGAAATTAGACGGATCATATCCTAATGAAAAGTATTTAAAGAATGTCCCATCACCTTTCATTTCTGGAGATGGGTTATTAGGTGGTGAATTTCGAGGAACCGCATCCATCCAGTTTATCGGCGAATCTATACCTCATAGTAATTTTTGGGGAAACGTTAATAAATCTACATACGATTTCCTAATTTTGATTCTCCAGTATACCCTTTTTATCCTAACCTGCATAAATTTTGGTGAAATGGGATATATACCGCCCAATGATAAACGCAACGAAACAGAAGATGGTTACAACGGTACTGTTCATGCTGTTGAAGTAGACTTCAACAAATCAATAGATATTATGGTAAATGACATGAATGATGGGTCTATTTAACGCAAGGAGACCTGAATAAAATAAATAATTTAAAGAGATGCACGTACACATACATATATATCTACAAACACATACCTAATGTATTCATTCGATACCTTTTTAGTTTCTTTTCACTATTAATCTTAAAATATACAAATAATATACACTAATTGAAGATATATGCTAATGCAATGTATAAAATATTCATATCACTGACTGATTGGACAATTCTTTAAATATTCTGCTTTGTTCTTTAAGATTCTTACAGACTTAAAGAAAATTTCTTCAGGTGTCATCGCACCTGTACTTTCAACATTAAAGATGAAGTGATCTCTTACTCTACCTAGTTTAACTTTCCCTTCAAATTCTTCATGTCTTAAAACTTCTCTAGAAACGGTATCCTTTCTAGCATCTTCAACAAAGGCTTCTCCTTTGCTGTTAATACCAATAACACCCTTTGGGAAACATTCTTGAAATCTACGAGCAGAGTCTCCAGTAATTGGTTCAGTAATGTTAATTTGTGGTAATAATCTATAAGAGGCAGTAGATACTGGGGAAAATTTTGCGTGATCACCACCAATACCTAGGATACAATGTGCTCTTAGAGAGATCTCTTGACCGGGTCTTAATTTAGCCAAAAGAATGTCTGGATCACATGCAAGCACTGGACGACTGGCAAATGTTTCTTTTTGTTTACCCTGTGGTTCAAATTTTAGATCACGAGCGTAAACGTGAGCATTCTTGTATAAAATCTTTGGATCAGTACAATCCTTTGGAGCGTCTGGATTTCTTGTACATTTAACATTTAAACTTAAAACAATAGTATTTTCATCAGTAAATTTTTCCTCATCGGATAAAGATTTATCGACCCAAGTCAACATATCAGGATCGACTCTCAATGGGACCAGACCAATTCTGTGAGCAAGAACTTCATCTTGTATGACAGATGTATTGTTCATAAAGTAAACATACTCGGCAGCAACAGATGGCACTTCGGAGATCATAATACGACGGAAAGCATTGGCAATGGATGTGTCTACATGAACCAAATCGAAGTTGGCATCTCTTTCATCTATGCTAGAGATGCGGATATCAAAAGTGTCCTTGAATTTTTGAACATCCCAAGCATTGTCACCATCCTGAGAGAAACCTGGGAAATCAGTGGAAGTTGTGTTTGTAACACGGTTATATTCAATATTCACAATGTTGGACATTATGGTTTATTCCGTTTTATTCGTTTATCTAGTCCTATTTAAACAAATTATCTACAGGAATACCCAGACAAGTTCTATTGATCAGGTAAAACCTCAATATCTTGAAAGGATATTACAGTATGGCATCCTCTAAATTGAAATCTTTAGCTCATCTCATCTTGAAATATATTTCATCAATGTTACATAATATTGAAAAAATTTTTTTTTTCTGAAATTTCCGCTTGAAGATCTTTCGATACGAACCCTAACGCATATGGAAATAAACCCTAACCAAACAGTCAGTCAAATATTCTTATTGTGATGTACTGTGAAGCTGCTCTTGCTGCAACGGTTTAACCAATCAAGAAAAAAGAATTATCTGGAAGATAGCTTCTTCAATTATATATTTATGTATATTGTATGTGATCGGTGTTATATGCGTTTATTTTTTTTTTGTGATTGTAAGGGGGGTGGATGGATAGTACGATAGATAGACTTGCGATGCTAGCAGATTAAAAACCATCTAGGCCATCGTTTTCACCATCATCAAGTTCCAGTCTTTTTCTACCACCGCTACTTCTCAAATTAGACAATTCAGCAGATGTGACCTGTTTCTTTACCTTTTTGGTCATTCTAGCGATTTCTTCTTCGGCGTTTTCAGCATCTTGTTGAGCATATTGCATAACTAATCTACGACCTAACAAATGGACACCTTGTAATTGATCCATTGCATTTTCAGCTTCTTTTGGTAACAAGAACTCAACAAATGCAAAACCTCTGGCAGATTTGTCGAATTTCTTCGGTACTCTAACAGATTTAAGTTGACCGAATGAATTAAATAATTCGAAGACATCTTTCCTTGTGGCTTCAAATGGCAAATTCTTAACAATAATTTTACCACTTTTACTGCTCTTCTTCTTACCATTTGCGCTATTATTATTATTATTACCTTGTCTATGAGATAATTTCAATTGGATTTTATGTCCATCAATTACAGAGCCATCCATAGCTGAGATAACAGCATTAGCTTGCTCTTTAGTCCTGAATTCAGCAAAACCGAAACCCATCGACAAAGGTTTATGTGTATCCTTTGGATTAGGCTTCGTCTTCACTTGAGCCACAACAAATCCGTTAAATTGCTTAAATCTATCACTTAATGCAGGAGTTGTTGTTGTGAAATTCAAATTCTTAATGAAAATTGACACAGTTGGACCATCAGCGATGGATACATCCTCATCTTCTTGTGTACTCTTAGTTTCGTTAGTGGTATGGCCTGTAGAATTTGTATCCATCAAATCATTGACAGAAGCTTTAACCTGCTTTGCATTAGTTTCTTGTGATTGTTTGTCTTCTTCTAATGCTTCATCTGTATTAGCACCTCTAGTGAAACAGTCCTTAGGACCTTTTTCCAAGTAAATAATACCATCCTTGTATCTCTTGAAGGATAATTTTGTGAAAGCTGCCCTGGCAGCTGTTCTATCCCTATATTGTACTATGGCGATCGTTCCTGCTGGTGGCATTAAGAATCTCTCCAATTTACCGAATGGTAAAAACAATTCACCAAGATCTTCTCTTGTGGTACCATATGGGAAATTCTTGACTAAGATAACACAATCATCTCTTTGCTCAGGTGATTTTAAGTTCCCAAATTTAGTCAAATCAACACCTTTACCCTCGAAATATTTTCTAACGTCACCAATAACGTGAGCTTCCGCTAAGGCTTGTTTCACAGCAGAATTTGAATTTTCAGCATCAATCAATTCTGACTTTTGCATACCAAGTTTAGAGGCAACACTACTTAAAACAGCATCTTGATTCATATATAATGAATTCCAAGCAAAAGTTTGTTTTGATGCTTGGGCTTTTTTCTTCAATTCTCTTTGTTTCTTTAATGGCATATTCTTCAAATCAAATTCATCAAGACGATGTGTCTTCTTTTCGTCTGCTGGTAAAATATGTAATAAACGTCCTTGAAAGATTTGTTTATCCAATTCGATGTAAGCACGAATAGCATCTTCTGGATCCTTGAATTGAATATAAGCAAACCCCTTTGACTGTCCCGTTCTAGTGTCCAAAGCCACATGGACTTCATTCATTTCACCAAAAGGTTCAAATAATTCTTTGAAATCTTGCTCTGTCGCAGAATAAAGAATGTTACGCAGGAATAAACGTCCTGATTCTTTGATCTTCTCCATTGCAGTTTCTTCTGCAGATTTTTTCTCTTCTTCTTCCTCCTCCTCCTTCACAGCATCACTATCGTGGATCTCTTCAGTTGCATTCTCGTCAGAAGTTGTCTTATTTTGACTTGGTCTAACAGGTTCGGATTCACCGTCTCTAATTCTGACACGACGCTGTTTTAACCAATCTAAATCTGATACAGCATCGTCCCTTGCAAGTTCTCCATCTGCACCAACGGTTTCTTTATCTTCAGTGACCACTTGATCAAGTTTCATCATAGGCTCATCCTCTTCCTCATCCTCTTTCTCAGCATTGAATGCGTCGTATTCTTCGTCACTATTATTTTGTTGTTCTTTGTTATCATCATTATCATCACTATCATTGTTATTATCCTTTATTGCTAATGCTTGTGCTAAAAGTGAATTTCCAACAACATTTCCATTTTGTTCCTTAGTATCATCATCATTATTTGTCGTAGATTGTTCCCACGAGGTTACTTGACTACTAGGTTTCATTGTCTCTATAAATTCTTGCAATTGTTTATTCTTTTTAATCTCAGAGTCTATATCTGCATGTTTCTCAATTCTAGCTTTCTTACCATTATGACCTGATTCTGCTTCTGATGCTAATAACAACTCCTGTTCCCTTTGTCTCATTCTCTTATAAGCTTCTCTCTTTTTCTCTTTCATTGCTTGTGGAACTGTTGGATCTGCAAAACTCTTTGCAATAGCAACTTCCAATTTAGCAGTATTAATGTAAGATCCATTAAAATATTCAACCGCATCCCTAGCATCTTGATCATCTTTAAACCCCAGGAATGCAAACCTCCTACTTTGTCCATTCCTATCACGAACTACTTTTGCATCTGTAATCAATCCATTAATTTGAGATGTTTGATGAGTCTTTACTAGTCTCTTTGTGAAATGTTCACGCAACTGATCGTCATTAAGATATATCGGTAGACCTTTAACAATAATACGTGACATTATATATGATTGTAGATATATGTGCTTATCTGTGTGTCCCTGTGATCTATCACCTTTATAGTTCTCTCTCTGTATGTCTTTCAAATATTCAAAATTTCATAGCTCTTAATATATAAATTTTCAGTAAATGCGATGAGATGAGATGAGCTTCTTTAATTTTGAAAAATTTTCATGCACTTTTCCTCCCATACAAAATACTTACATTGAATACACACACCGCATATAATACCATTTTGATCTTTTTCTTGCCACGCCAGTAAAACCCAGCAGCAGGCGCATAAGTTATATACTAATATAAAGAACAAAAGGTAATTAAGTAACTACAGCTGCGCATTACTTTGCATGCTCTCTGTGTATTTTACAATTGGTAATACTACTCACTGGATTGGATAGTATAGTATGCTACCAGATAAGATAGTATATAAAATATAGTTGCTCTAAACCTTTTGCTAAAATTACAAGGTTTAGCATTAACTTAGGGATCCCGCTCAGCACACATGTTTCTACAGCTCATTGTCAATTCTTTCACCTATCCACACAGCAGTTGCCAGCCATCCCTACCTTAATGTGTGAAAACAAGACTCTTAACATAAATGTATCAATATGTAGACATATATATATATATATATATATGTTTAATCTTTTACAAAGAGGGCTCTCTTGTGTTGACTTCTTACAGATATTTTATCGCAACTCTTTTTTTATGTCAACGAAAACGAAGGAAACAAAAAAAAAATTTTCAGTGCAACGCAGACGAAAGTTTAGTTGATTGTCGAGCTAAGTGAGTCAATCAAGCGATGTATTGTTCAATTACATACAGGATAAAATTTAATTAATGGTTTAAGTTTTGATTGAGAAACGGTACAGTATTTGTAATCTTATTTGTAAATTTTATATATATATATACTTTTTCTGTACAGTCTAATAAGAACATACAAAGCAATTATGAGTGATTTAGATAATTTACCACCAGTGGATCCAACCACTGGAGAAATCATCATTAATCCTTTAAAAGAAGATGGATCCGCTAAGACTCCAAAGGAAATTGAAAAGGAGAGAAAGAAAGCAGAAAAGTTGTTGAAGTTTGCCGCTAAGAAGGCTAAGCAAGCTTCTGCTGCTGCTGATAAAGATGGAAATGCTGCTGCTAAGAAGGCTAAGAAACCAAAGAAGAAAGAACCTGAAGTTATCCCAGATTTTGTCGATAACACTGTTCCAGGTGAAAAGAAAATCTTGGTCTCCTTGGATGATCCTGCTCTGAAGGCTTACAATCCAGCTAATGTCGAAAGCTCTTGGTACGATTGGTGGGTAAAGAGTGGTGTTTTTGAACCTGAATTCACAGCTGATGGTAAGGTTAAACCAGAAGGTCTATTTACTATCCCTGCACCACCTCCAAATGTTACTGGTGCCTTACATATCGGACATGCTTTAACCATCGCGATTCAAGATTCCTTGATTAGATACAACAGAATGAAGGGTAAAACCGTTTTGTTCTTACCTGGTTTTGATCATGCTGGTATTGCTACTCAATCCGTCGTTGAAAAACAACTTTGGGCTAAAGAGAAGAAGACTAGACATGATTACGGTAGAACCGCATTCGTTGATAAAGTTTGGGAATGGAAAGAGGAATACCATGGTAGAATTAAGAATCAAATTAAGAAATTAGGTGCCTCTTATGATTGGACTCGTGAAGTCTTCACTTTAGATCCAGAAAGATATGAAGCTGTTGTTGAGGCCTTCGTTAGGTTACATGATGATGGTACCATTTACCGTGCCTCTAGATTAGTCAACTGGTCCGTTAAATTAAACACCGCCATCTCTAACTTGGAAGTTGAAAACAAAGACGTTAAAGGTAGAACTTTATTATCTGTTCCAAACTATGACGAAAAAGTTGAATTTGGTGTTCTTACCTCTTTTGCTTACCCAGTAGTTGATTCCGATGAAAAATTAGTTATTGCCACTACAAGACCAGAAACTCTATTCGGTGATACAGGTATTGCCGTTCATCCAGATGATTCTCGTTACACTCATTTACACGGTAAATTTGTTCAACATCCATTCTTGCCAAGAAAGATCCCAATTATTCTTGATGTCGAAGCTGTCGACATGGAATTCGGTACCGGTGCTGTTAAGATTACTCCAGCTCATGACCAAAACGATTACAACACAGGTAAACGTCACAACCTGGAATTCATCAATATCTTAACTGATGATGGTCTATTGAACGAAAACTGTGGTCCAGAATGGGCTGGTATGAAGAGATTCGATGCTAGAAAGAAGGTTATTGAAGAATTGAAGAATAAGGGTTTGTACATTGGTCAAGAGGACAATGAAATGAGTATTCCAACATGTTCCAGATCTGGTGATATTATCGAACCACTATTGAAACCACAATGGTGGGTTGCTCAACAGGACATGGCCGGTGAGGCCATTAAGGCTGTTAGAGACGGTAAGATTACCATCACACCAAAATCTTCAGAAGCTGAATACTTCCGTTGGTTAGAAAACATCCAAGATTGGTGTATCTCTAGACAATTATGGTGGGGTCATCGTTGTCCAGTTTACTTTGTTAAGATCGAGGGTCAAGAAAACGATAGAAACGATGGTCACTATTGGGTTGCTGGTAGAAACATCGAAGAAGCCCAAGCTAAAGCTGACGCTAAATTTGCAGATGTAAAATTCGAATTGGAACAAGATGAAGATGTTCTTGATACATGGTTTTCTTCTGGTCTATGGCCTTTCTCTACTCTAGGCTGGCCAAAGGATACCAAGGACCTAAAGGACTTCTACCCATTCTCCATGTTGGAAACTGGTTGGGATATCTTATTCTTCTGGGTCTCTAGAATGATCTTGTTGGGTCTAAAATTGACCGGTGAAGTTCCATTCAAGGAAGTTTTCTGTCATTCTTTGGTCCGTGATGCCCAAGGTAGAAAGATGTCTAAATCTCTAGGTAATGTTATTGATCCATTAGACGTCATCGGCGGTATCAAACTAGAAGATCTACATGCTAAGTTATTACAAGGTAACCTGGATCCAAGAGAAGTCGAAAAGGCAAAGGTAGGTCAAAAGGAATCATATCCAAATGGTATCCCACAATGTGGTACTGATGCTATGAGATTTGCTCTATGTGCTTACACTACTGGTGGTCGTGATATCAATTTAGACATTCTTCGTGTTGAAGGTTACAGAAAGTTCTGTAACAAGATTTACCAAGCTACTAAGTTTGCTCTTATGAGACTTGGTGATGATTACAAACCATCTGATGTCGAAGGTCTAACTGGTAACGAATCTTTGGTTGAAAAATGGATTCTACACAAATTGACTGAAACTGCTAAGATTGTCAATGAATCTCTAGATAAACGTGATTTCTTGACCTCTACTAGTGCTATCTATGAATTCTGGTATTTGGTTTGTGATGTTTACATTGAAAACTCCAAATATTTGATTCAAGAAGGTTCCGCCACAGAACAAAAATCTGCCAAGGACACTCTATATATCCTATTAGATAATGCGCTAAAGATGATCCATCCATTTATGCCTTTCATTTCAGAAGAAATGTGGCAACGTCTACCAAAGAGAGCCTCCGAAAAGGCTGTCACCATTGTCAAGGCCTCTTACCCAGTTTACACTAAGGAATTCGATAACGAAGCCGCTGCTAACGCTTATGAATTGGTTCTAAACATCACCAAGGAAGCTCGTTCTTTGTTAGCCGAATACGGTATCATCAAGAACGGTAAAGTCATTGTTGAATCCAACCATGATTCTTTCTTTGAAACTGCTTCTTCTCAAAAGGATTCCATTGTTTCTTTAATTAAGGCTATCGATGAAGTCACCGTTGTACGTACTGCTGCTGAGATTCCAGAAGGCTGTGTCCTAAAGGCTGTCAACCCAGATGTCAATGTCCATTTATTAGTCAAGGGTCATGTTGATATTGATGCTGAAATCGCCAAGGTCCAAAAGAAATTGGATAAGGTTTCTAAATCCAAGGCCGGTATGGAGAAGACCATGAACTCCAAGGATTACGAATCCAAGGCTAATGCTGAAGCCCAAGCTGCCAACAAGACTAAGCTTGAAAATACCGTTGCCGAGATTGAAGGTTTAGAGGCCACTATTGAGAATTTGAAGCGTCTGAAATTGTAAGAACGTCATTTTCTCTTCTTACCCATTTAATGTATACCACTTAAAAAAGAAACATATATTTAAATATCTGTATAACTAACTACACAAAACGATAAAGATTGAACTACAATAAATATATTTGTAAAAATACTGAAGTTGGTTAACTTCTTGGACACCAATACTACCGTGCATCGCGATACACCAAATAAATATTTTTAGTGAGGCAAATGCGGAAATGCGTGAAATTTTCACTCAAACAGCTGACATAAACAAAATAAACAAAATCTCAATCAGAGTCTGCTTGTCAGTGAAGGAGGGAGAGAAAGATGTTAAATATTTAAAAAGTTTGATCTGATCTCGGAAGTTCTTTTATTTATTGCTTTTTCAGATAAGTTATATATAGATATATTTTCTAGATTCTATTTTTATTGGCATATTTCAGAAGTTAATTATTTAAAATTAATATCACAACAGCAAACAATAATTATAATGAGCTCAGAAAGTGCTACCGTTCCGGCTGCTGAAGTCACAGCTGAAGATGTATTATGGTACATTCCAAACAAGATCGGATATGCCCGTATCGTCACTGCGGTGATATCTTTCTTCACTATGCAAAATTGTCCTATCTCTACTGCCATAGTATACACTATCTCCTGTTTATTAGATGCCTTAGATGGTACCATGGCTAGAAAATATAACCAAGTGAGTCGTCTAGGTGCTGTCCTAGATATGGTTACCGACAGATCTACCACTGCCGGTCTACTATGTTTTTTGACATTGGCATATCCAACTTGGGGTCCATTCTTTCAAGTTCTATTAGCTCTAGATATTACAAGTCATTACATGCATATGTACGCCAGTCTTGCTATTACCGGTGGTTCTCATAAGAACGTCACTAAAGAATCTTCCCCATTGTTACACTTGTATTATTCTAGAAGAGATGTTCTATTTACAGTATGTTTCTTTAACGAAAGTTTCTTCGGTGGGTTATACTGGATGGCCTTTGACAGGTATTACACTGCAGGTAAATGGATTGCAATCATCAGTTTCCCATTGTGGGCTTTCAAGCAATTTGCTAATGTCATCCAATTACAAAGAGCTGCTGTTTTATTAGCTACCGAAGATGCTAAGGACGCTAACGAAAGAAACAAGGCCAAATAGACATATTATAACGAAAACTAATTTTCCTTTTTTGTTTACGTATATATAACATATATAATTATATATATCTACATAGTATATCCATATAGTATATCTTACTACGAAGTCATGAATATTGTTTTATTAGCATATCTGCTTAAACCAACTGTTCAAATTAAAAATTGTCAACTGTTGGTGCCTAACCATGTCAATATGTATATGTATATGATTATATAAACGGATCGCTTCTTCGAGAAGACAAAAGTCGCGCAAAATTGAGTGCCCGCTTGAACTTATAGGCGTTTGATATATAAATATGCAATATCCAACCGGTCGCGATCATGTTTTGGAGACTGACTTACACGTCATAATGGATATATAAGGAAGTAAGATATACAAACAGACAATCAGAGGTTGTACTTTTTGGCGTTATAGACAGAGTACACCAAAGGAACGTACTACAACTACTATTATTTCTAAATAATAATATTATTTTTATGAATTTACTAGACTGTTTGATTGAAGGATTGCTTGCGATTCCTGCACCTGGAATTTGGACTACGAAAATCATTCCAGGATTACGTTCCTTTGGAGTGATTGAATCGGATGCACTTCTAAACAACTTACACTCCATTTTGTATATTACAGCATTTTATCATTTGGTTTTCCTATTAAGTGCATGGTTTTTATTTCCTGGTATCTCTCAAAGGAAAATAGATTGCCTATTAGCTGAAGAGAAAGAAAAAGAAATTAAAGTAGAGCACAAGTATTCTCGTACTCAACGTGCTAAATCACTAAGTAATCAAGCGGCTCTTCATTTAGTGTCTTTTTTACAAACAATAATTGTATTATATTTATCAATTTCATTCCTTATTTCACACGAAAGATCAGTGATACCATATCCAGATCCAGAATCCCGTATCTTTGGTGAAACACGTGAGACTAGAGTCATCTGTATCTTTGCCATAGGTTATTTCATCTGGGATGCATTGATTTCTTCTGTCTACTCTACTTTACCATTCGTTATGCATGGTGTAGTCTCAACAGCCATGTATGCTATTGGTATTAAACCATATTTACAATATTATGCACCTGTTTTCTTAATTTTTGAATTATCAAACCCTTTCCTAAATATTCGTTGGTTTGCATTAAAATATTTACCAAGTGAGAACCACCTCTGTAGTCGTTTCCAACTATTTAACAATTTAATCTTTCTAGTGACTTTCTTCTTAGGAAGAATCGCATGGGGTTGGTATCAAATTGGCTGCTTATGTTACGATTTCTACATGGTAAGCGCAGATCCAAGATATTTATACTGGGACTCTTTAATAATCGTTGCTGGTAATTTAGTACTAGATGTATTGAACGCATACTGGTTTAAGACCATGGTATGTGTTGCCATCAAAGCCATTAAGGGTGGTGCCCAAAAGAAACATGATGACGTTAAAAAGGCATGCTAGTCGGTTAGAATGAAGAGACATAACTACTGTACTTTATATTACCCATTTTGCTAGTTAAAACGAGTAACCAATATATCCGCACACATCATAAATACGTACTACTTTAATATTACATTATGTATAACTTGCGCTAATGAAAAGATCGTGCTCTTTCTGATCTCTCTCTCTCTCTCTCTCTGAAGAAGCTTCTTCGCTGATAGGAATAGTTTTTCCCATTATATGTCCCTTTTTACCTTCCCTTTTAAAATGCTGCGCGGCGCCCTGCATCTCCTGTTTCCTTCTACGGCAAAAAAAAGTTGGCATATTGTTGCCAAGGAACCACCAACAATGGGAGGTAGGAGAGATGAAGAAAGACAAGATCCATATGTGATAGGCTCACTTTCAGAATAATGCTGGCTTATACTGTTTGCAAAATTTAGATTGTATATTTAGGGGAGTGACCTTTTTTTACCCATTTTCAGATTTGAAAGAAGTTATGGGGAGAAGGATATATGATCATGTCAAAGAAACTGCTTTATATATAAACGACGAAGTACGATGGAATGATTATTCCAATATATATTAAATTATAATTCTATCTCTATATATGCCTTGGTATTGTTATTACTTCAGTACAAAAAAAAATTCCATTTTAGAATGCATACAAATATTTCCATACCTGAATTTGTACCTGTGCCTTCTCCAAACCACTATTTCATAGGGAATGACGCTAAATACGTTGATGAACATCCTATTAGACTAATAGAGGACAGGTTCCATAAGTGGCATGATATTGTTACTGGATTAGTCGTTTATCTAAGAGAAGTAGCATACGCACATGAACAAAGTGCTCGCATGAATCTTAGATTACAGGAACGTGCAGTTAATTTGCGTTGTTTAACAGACCTTAACGATCAAACCAATGCGATATACGAACCAATTGAGATAAATCAACCAAAGAAAAGACCACAAAATGTACCAATTATTCAACAAAAACAGCAGCAGGAGCAACAAACGCAACAAGAAGAAAAAAATTCCATTAAGGGTATTAATATTGTTGAAAGTAGAAGAGGATCTGCATTATCTGGTTTTATGGAATTCGGTACTGGCTCCATTCAGGATTTACAAGTTGTTTTGAAGAAATATCATGGGTCTATATCTAGCCATGAATATAAGATCTCCAAAGAAATATTACAATACGTAGTTCCAAATATGGAATCCCTAGCAAAAGAGCTTAGGAAATATCGTAAAGAGATTATATTATTATCAAGAGATTTTAAAACTAATTTGGATGAACATCGAGCTACTATAAAAAAATCAGTGAACAAGTATCGTGAGATATGCAAAAACGATTTTACCTGTATGGAACCATGTGCAGATCCTTTCCTCGTAAGAAAACAACTCAATAAGAAATATATTGGGCATCGATCTGAAGAAAGATATCTTCGAGAAGCATATATCAATTTGCAAAGTACAGCGATGAATCTTGAAAAGAAAATTGTTATCAAAGTTCAATGCGCTTTAGAAAGGTATCATAACTTAATTGATGCAGAGGCAAGATTAATTCTAAAGAATTTGTGTCACGAATTGCAACAAGGTATACTTGATAGAAAACCATTAGAAGAATGGGACCATTTTGTAGAAAATCATCCACATGCATTGTTGCCTTTGAAATCTGGAGTAAAAGTTGATAAACTTCGTGAACGTTACAGTACACATTGCTTGAGGAATATGGTTCCAGTTTATCCACAATCAAAAAATATTAAGCATGGATATCTTTTATCAAAAAAGTCTGCTAACACAAGCATCCACACCCAATATCGTAAGTCTCTGTTTGTCATAACAGCAAGATTTATTCATGAGTTTCCAATAGATCATACCAAGCAGCATCATTCTACAACTCCTAAATATAGTTTCCCCTTAGATAATTGTAAAATAGAATCACATACAACAGAAAAATTCATTTTAACAACTGATACAATGTATTGTTTGAAAAATACAAATAATCGTGAACAACATGGTAGGTATCGAAATATGATAATGTCAACGTTATTTGGGAACCAACCATCGTCCGATATCAAAAAAGGTGAGTATACAAGAGTACATATGAGAGCTGAACCAAAGAGTATATCTTTTAAATTACCAGATTGCGACTCAAATAATGAAGAAGTGTTAAAAAAATGGGTTAATTCAATCAAAAGATTAACATCATTTAAGGATGTCGCCTCTAGAGTGGCATATCTCAATGGAAGGATGGGTGATATTAATCAAATATATGATCGAACAATTGATGATGCCGGATTAGTTAAAATGCAAAACTACATCTTCAGTGAAATTGTTAGTGCAGAACAAGAAGAAGGAAATTTGAATGACCTTTCTGATTATGTTGTAGATCCGCTCAAGGCTCCAAACGAACCAGAGGCTCAATCGACTGCATCATACACTGAAAGTACTACACATGTAAGGAATAGTTCGTCGTCGTCATCATCATCATCATCATCATCATCATCATCATCATCATCATCATCATCACCTCTTTTATCTGAGACGAATTCGAAGAATACTACCAAACCTGATGATTCATTTGTTCAATCTGTAAAAGCTGTTATTCATGAAAACAAACATGAATCTACCAATGTAATCGGTAACACAAAGGGGCGCCTTCCTTCTAAAACAAATAAAGGTATTAAAATTAAATTGACAAAATCACTTTACTCTTAAATTTTAGAAAGAATACTGGTGACTATCCTCTTTTTTCTATTTTTTTATAACTAAGTAAATTAATTTTTGTAGGCAGTAACTTTAATTTTAGTTAATTTATGTGAGCGCCAGTTATTGAACAAAATTAATAATTTTAACTTTTACAAAAGAGCCAGTGCCAAAGTGAAGAACGAACAAAAAAAGGGAGTGAAAGTAAACCTCTAAGAGTTTCACACCTATACAATTAATAACTATTAGAATAAGAAGGTTTTTCACTTTTTTCCACAAATGCCTTTTGATACTAGTCTTCTCAAATCTTTACAAATAGCAAAAGTTGCAAAGAAACCACAAGCTCCATTACCTTTACGAACGTCACCACTATTCACCCATTTTGAAAGATGGGCCGGTAAAACACGCAGATTGTTAATTAAAGAACCTAATCATTTGTCTATGTTAAAATCCTTTAATTTGAGATTGAATGATAACCCTTTTGCTCATATATTAAGTTCTCCTTCAAGATTAGATAGAATTGGTAAAATAAAATTGCCAAAACAATTATTAATCCAGGTTAAAAATAATATCAATGAAAAGGGTTTCAATATCTTATTAAACACAATGGTAGATAACTCTATAAAGGATACTACTGCATCAAAACATTCATACATTTTAAATAAAATGAGTATGTTTGATAAAAACGTAAAGAATGTCAAGAGTATTCTCCCGCTACATATTTTATCTGAACCTGATATCGGTAAGAAGATTCCGCTTATACAATTTGATAAAAATAAAGTACTAGACGAATACTTGGTGAAATCAAAAGAAATCATCTGGGATCAATTGATTCAATTACCATTAACTGAAAAATCCAGAACAAATGCAGAATCATCGTCAACTCAAGTTATAGTAACTTATGATAAATCAAGCCAAGACATATTAAAATTAAAAACAACAAGAGACAAAACGACTAATGAGAACAATTACATTATTACATTCAACTTAGCATCAATTAATGAACCAAAATTCGATGAATTATTTGCCCATGGGTCCAAGCAATTGCATCTAACCCAAGAACATAACAGCTCATTGATCTTACAAATCTACAGAGTTCTAATGCTAATAACCTAATGTCAAAATAAAAATCCAGTCAATCAATTAATGGACCTGGCGCAGTTTACAGATGAATGACCCAAACAAGATACTGATTATTTACCTTTTCATTTAGTTATGCAGACTTCAATGGGCCCCCCCATTAAAGAGTCTTGCTAACCAAAGCAAGATCACACTCTCTCGGCTTATATCCGCGTAAATTTTTTTCCCTCAAAATTTGGAAAAAACCAAAAAAAAGAGTGAATTTTTCATTGAAAAACTTCAAAACAGAATGTTACAATCTTTCACGACTTCATTCCTGCTGTTGTTTCTTAGATCTCATGGGCCGTTAGATGGTATCTATCAATGCTTTCCCTAAAACATCCTGTATATATTCCTCATTTTTCTCCACATTACATAACAAACTCAAATATTCAATATTCACTTTGATATTCATCACATAATCACTAATACCATTATATATCGAGATCAACGACATCCATACGCTCTCATCGGTTAGCCGTGTTACTATCGAAGCCATTCTACCAATGTTCCCCACGATACAATGACAATCAGAGCAAAACCTAACAACTCTTCAAACTTGTATTCTTTCTCCCCCTCTTGATCCTCTTTGGTGAACTTCAAATTAAACAAATATAAATAGCACAAGTAAGTGTAATTCACCTCAATTGTTTACCTCGATATAGTTCAATACAATACTTGAAGAAAACCCTCACATATATTATACATCTATAATTTTTTTACGCGGAGATTAGGGTTTTTGTTTTTAATTTCCATATATGTATATATAAAATAAAGTATTTTCGTAATTTGTTACTAAATTCATATTGAAACTCATTGATTACCTAATACATTGAAGAGAGTACGACTTTAAAACCATATCGATATAGGCATATGATATAGATATTTAGAAGTATTAAAGAACTCTGATTACAAATACCATTAAAATCTTAATTACTCACCCGTTTTTTCGATTAATTTAAGGGTTCTGTTGTATTATTACTATTACTATTATTATCCCCATTACAATCTTTTAATATTTTTTTTATTGATTCTTAGATACCAGTAAATCATTTCCTGCATTTTGTGTTCATATTACTCAGTTTTCTAATTTTATTTTTGGTACCCTCATCAATGTTTGAAGAACTTTGGGTACAACTTTACCAATCTTTTAAGATTACTGTAATACTATTAATATGTTATATTATACTACAAAAATTAATAAATGCAATTATTATAGGATTTATACGATGGAAACAAATAAATATAAAACATTTCTATTTTAGATTTTTATTAGGTACAACAATATATGGTATCAGAATCACAACACAAAAGTTTGATTTAAGAATAGCAAGATTATACTTAAAGATTGGTTGGAAACCTTCTATTAATTTCCACGGAATAGACCTATCAATCTTCGATAATAATGATACAGATTCAAAGGAAACACTCAAGTCACCCAATGACACTAGAAACAGTTATTTTGATGCTATTAATGAAACGTTCAACTTTAGAGTTCATAAACAATATTTACTTTGGATACGTCGGTTATTATCCCTCAATACATTCGTACGATCTGCAAAAATTACAGGCCCTTCTAACGAATCATTCTCATTTAATCTTTGTACATTGACCATTATACATAAACAGGATGATAGATTTGTAATGGAATATTTTCTTCATGGATTATCGAATATAAAGACAAATGAAACAGTGAATTATATTGGATTTCATCTGAGCTTTAAGATGGCACAGACAGAAGTTGAAAAGGATAATTACGTGAAACTATCAATAAGTGAATGGCATTCTTCATTGAAAATTGGTGATGCTCATATTAAAGTTGATAAACATATGATAGATAAACAACTTAAACAAAATACGGAACAAAAAAAATTAAACTATATACAAATGAAAAAATTAGTACATATGAGAGCCTCAAAAATTGTGAAATCTTTGAAGAACCCTTTGAGGAGTCTTAATATCCTTGACGTTAAGGTAGAAAATTTAAGAATTACTTGTAAACAAATTGCATCAGTAAATATTTCCAGTATCCAATTGTACTTAGAAGCTGTCAATGTAGCAAATTATGATACCGCTTTAGATATTCTTCCACCAAACAAACATATGTGGGGGGACTACGAGATTGCAATCTCTGCTAACTCAATCTTATTTAAAGTTGGAGAATTATCAACATTTAGAATTCCATTGGTTAATATTATTATTACCACTAATATCATATTACATTATGCAGAAGATTTCCCATTTAATCAAACAAGTTTATCGATTACCTCCAATATCGTTAACCCCTCAATATTTTCAACCATATCTGAAATTACCAAGGCATTAAAATCTTTAAATTCAATCGGACCAGAAACCACTTTAGTTACAAAACATAACGAACAATTTCCTAATCCATCCATTGATTATCTAATCGCCATATCGAAAGATTTAACAAATCTTCCAAACGTTATCTTCGAATTTAATATTGCAAACTTTACATCCACTTTTCAAATTTCAGATAATGAGAATATAATTTTGAAAGTATTAAATGTTCAATCACTATTGGGACGTAGCCATACAACTAATGTAAAAGTCAAAGAGCTGGTTTCTTTGGAAGGTGAACCCATGCCTAATGTGAAATTTCACGGAAAATCTTCGTTTTCAAACTTTGTTAAAGTTGTTGGTACTGAATTTTCATATTTAAAATTATCACACAATCAACTAGGTGAGGCAATTAGTATTCCAATATGTGGCTTTGAAAGATTAGACCTATTTTTGGATGAATTTTCAAGAACAAAAATGGCTACCCAATGTACATTAAGACATGCATATCTAACATTTGATGATAAAATTGTGTTGGAAAGACTTCATTCATCTTCAACTGCATTGTTACAAATGATATCAGAACACAAGAAAATGGCTACAATGAAGGATGGAACACTACATAGCTCTTTTATGTCTAAAAATAACATAGATTTTGCTCTAAGATTCAGAATGAAAGATTTTACTATCTCTGCTGTAATTGCATCCTATATTCCAGATCTTTTGGATCCATTAGCAACAGATAGTTTTAACCTGAGTGATATTGATAGAGGTATGAGAATTATTATTCAAGAATCAATCATAAAAATTACCAACACAATTAAAACTGTAGAAATTAATGATGCGTCCGTATACCGTGTTATGGATAACGAGTCTGCGCATGCGGTCTCAGATTCTATAGTAACTTTTACAAACTTGAATATAGTCAGAAATATGGATGGTAGTACCACTTTCAATTTACCTGCAATCCGTTTCAAACTTGATATTTCCTTGGTTTGGTTATTTTTTTACCTTAAAAGTATTTTCCAAAAGTATGTTCCTAAGAGGAGTGACCATCCAACTTCTAAAATTGGTAGTACAAGACTGCGCAAACTTAATAAGATAGAAAAGATATTAGAATCAACAACAATAAATATTGATAAAATAATTATCCAGATAACTTTACCTGAAGAAGTCCCTGTTCTATTCGTTATCGAGAATACACTTTATTCCAAAGAAAATACAACACTTTACACAAGCTCTTTGTGCATGATGGTTGAGTCAGTTTATGTAGCTGAGTCAAGAGTCTACTTTCATTTAATGGATATGCGTGATTTAAAGATGAACATTAGCAGTATATTAGATTCTGGTATGATCGAACTTGAGACATCATCAATTACTTTACACACAGAATATCACTTTAAGTTTTATATGGTTTTAGACAATGTCATTACAGCCTATAAATCATTCAAACAGCTCAGGACTGCATTTTCTGATCTTAATGTATTTAATAGAGTTTATCCGTCCATACAAAACCCTGTTCAAATTCCGCATATAAGATTACTCTCAGATAGTGTATACATTAACGTTGAAGAAGATCTTTTTGAACAGGAATTAGGACTAATTTTAAAAGTAGGTATCCTAGAACAGAGAGAAAGATTAGCAAAATTGAGAACACTGAATGCAGAAATAGAGAAACTACAATTACAAGTAAAAAATAACAATGATTCAGATTTAAGGATACAAGCTCATATGGAGAATACAATCGATACATATAAAAGAAAATTAAAGGAAAATTTCTCTACTTCGTGGATATCTAGAATAAAGAATGCAAGACTTGTATTCCATGGATTACCTAATACTGTTCAAGAGAACGAAACACTGAATTTCCACTATCGATTTTTTTCCAAAAAAGAAAATAATACAGTCAGTAGTTTAGTGATCAAGGACTTGGATGCAAAAATCCAACCACCTTCGTTTGAGGTAAACAATTACGATAATTTTATCTACAAATATGGTAAAGGAGTTCCAAAGGGAAAATCATACACATTACTTATTCTTTCCGGAATAGATTTTAAAACATCTCTATGGGAATTAAGATTGAGGGATTACCCAATCCCGGTACTGTCTTTTCCCGATACACACACGACTGGTGATATAGTGTTCGCTGAGAAAATGCCAGAACAACATAAAGGTCTCCATACAATATTTGTCCCGTTTGTCCCGACTACGGCTTCACAAAAATACTTCGATGTTAATTCAATATATTGTTCTAACATTGTACGTACCATGAACTCTGTGAAGACATACTTTAACATTAAGACAAACGTAGAATCACCATCGCCAACACATATTACCTGGGGTAAATCACTTCAACCCGGATTTGAATCTTTTATGCTTTGGTTTGACTATTTAACTAAACCTAGATTGGATCCATCTGCGAAACTCGGGTTTTGGGATAAATTCAGATTTCTTTTCCATGGTAAATGGATATATAATTTTTCAGAAGACAGTGACCTAAATATTAATATCAAGGGTGCGCATGATCCTTACAAAATTGTTGATGATGGAGCTGGACTAACATTTTGTTGGTCAGGTGGTACAGCATTGAAAATCCATAACTCTGCTGATCCTAAAGAGTTTTTAAAATTCCAATCTAAAAGCTTTAAACTCGGTGTAAGGGACTTCACAGTAGCCAATAAATTCGAAAAAATATTCATGCAATTAGATGGAGATGTTATCTGGAAGATGGGTTTATTATTTGAAAGTGGTGATTTTTCGAACCCTGGGGATGCTCCTCGTGTTCCACCAAGCGTACCTCACTATAATGTTCAATTAGTGAATCCAGAAGAAGTCCAAGATATTCCAAATTATGATTCATACGAAGGTTTCAGAAGTAACTTTATTCACATGGCTATTGGGGTTTATTCTTCTGGGAAGGATGCATCTAACCACATCTATCTTGGTCCAGTGTCAGTTGGTCACTTTTTGACATGGTGGGAATTATTCAATACATATACGTCTGGTCCCATCAGGCAGGGTCCATTGTTTTCTGCTTTAGTTCAAAATAAAACTAAGTTTACAAGGTCCCTATTTAGTTTTAAATACCAGTTACACCTGGAGCCATTGACAGTTTCTCATATATATAGACACTTCACTCCACGTGATTTATCTGATAAAGATCAAAAGACTGTATTTACAGGTATTAAAGCAAGAATAAACTCTTTGAAAATTGATTTACATCAGAAGAGAATAAAACTAACGCATAGGAACGAAAAACTAAATAAATCCAAACCTGTTTGGAAATTTAAAATGTTTACGGGTGAAATTGATTGCACTGAAGTAGATTTAAGAGTTATTTCAGCTACATTTGACGAGACGGACTTAAAGGAGGCTATTACGAAATCAGCGACAACTAGTATTCCGATAGATGAAGGAGCATTCCGGCAAAATGATTGGTTCAATTATGAGGATTATCTAGATCTAGATCAACTTTCATTAAAGTCTACCATTCCAACCAGGTTTGATGCAATTCCTGTATTGTTTTCACCGAAAGTTTCGTACTTCAGAAAACTAAATGATGATGGTTATCCAGTGAGCTTCCCATTCGGAGGTGAACAATCGCATGACTGTATGATTGGCAAGAATCATCCAGAGAAGACACAAGCAGTGCTTGCACAAAATCGAAAAAAAGAGATTGAAAGCCAAATAAGAAGCTTGGAGCTATCGTTAAGCAATCTTGAATCTATTCACGGATCTAATAGGGAGAAAAAGCAGACTGTTGAAACGTTAAGAAAGCAGCTACACGAGTTAGAACATCGTTTGCACATAATTCATGATATTTTGAATGATTTACGTCTATCTGAAGTTGTGAGCCACACATATGACAGCGACTCAGCAGAGAGTTCATTAAGCAGTTCCGTTAGCACAGATAGCAACTCAACTAAGGGTGAACTAAAACCAGTAAACCTTGATCTTCTCAGAACAAATACGATTGACTCGTTTATTTCAATGAGAAGAGCCTCAACAGTTCAAATCCAATCCACTTACGATAACAGATTCATGGTTCATAATATCCAGTTGAAGGTGGATAAAACAATAAGGGATTTATTGTTAGAATACGCTTCTAAAGTGTTCGAGAGGAGAACTGTAAGTTATGCTATTACCTATAATTCAATTAAAATTTTCAAAGAACTTCTAAGTAACGTATTAACTACTGTCAAAACACACATAGATGATTTTGGAATATTTGATGACGATGAAACTATACCTAACAAGGAATTTATTAGGAGATTCGATGAGTTGGTTAAAGATGTACCAGATGATCGGTTTGAAGCCACCGATCGTTACCTTTTCCGACTGATATCGCCACAGATTCAAATTACGTCTGAACTGGAACGAAATACTACAGTTCTTGTATCTGCTCGTGACATTGAAGTCGGAATAATCGATATTAGCCAAGTTATGAGAAAGTCAGGAAAAATGCTGGCAATGGATTTAAACACAGCAGTAGAAACCCGTTATTGTGCTATTGCGAAGGATCTTCAACTAATAACTTTATACAAAGAGAAATTACTTAATTCTGAGACAAGATTTTTCCATAAAAATGGCTACGGTATGGATGCATGGTCTGATTTTTGGCCTCCGTGGATCCCTCTTGAAGTTTGCTATGATGGGTCCTTACTCTCGGACCACATATTTTTAAAGAGAAGATCAATGTTTTTAACATTCACTCAACCGAATCCCCTATATTTTGGAGATGAGGATATATCAACTTTATCGAAAGATTCAAAATTTAGAATTGGTTTTCCTGGTTTGGTCCTAACCTCAAACTCAGAACAATACTGCTCTGTGTACTCAATTATCCAAGATTTATTATCTTTCAGTTCTGAGTACGATGAGAAAGTTGAAAAACTTTCAAAACTTCTATTAGCAGAAGAGATTAGAAATAACCTAGATAAACTTGACGTGTCCGTACTGGCGGATTTACAGAGACAGATTAAGGAATTGTATTATACAAGAGCCTTCTTGAAACAATATAAACCAAAAACATATGCAAGGGTAGCTGATCAGATGAAAGAGCAGGTTCACATGACTGCTTTGAAATTAACCGTATTAATGACAGCTATAAAAAAGAATTATGATACCATGTGTGGTAACAACAACTCAACGAATGGCAAAAAATTGACATGGATTGTTGGAACAGATGAATTGATATGGAAGTTATTTGATGATCAAAGCAAACCGTTTATTACCATTGGATTAAGCCCATCGACATTTACAAGAACCGAAACCTCCGATGGTGTTAATAGGAATAAGGTTAGCATTAACGCGCTGAATTGTTTTAATCAACAAGAAAATCCTGTGTTCTCTCAGTTATTGGCGCCTTTTAAAGAAAATAATCTATATGACGAATCCATCCCTATGATTGAGGTCTTTTGGATCCAAGGTCCACCAATTGGTGGTATAACAAGCCTTGAGGAGTTAGTTGTTAAATTACAACCCATTATTTTTAAAATGGATAATAATACTGCAACTAGTATTCTGGAATATCTGTTCCCAAATGTCGATTCAAATGATAGTGATAAAGCCTCACATAGCAACGAAAATTCACCTTCAATAAGAGGAACAACAATAATATCCCCAAGATCGAGTGGTAGCTTTAGTAATATATCAGGTGTTACTTCTGCAAACAAAGAGCTTGTTTCGTGGGATATAGGCAGTACTACCAATAATAGCACTAGGAGTCAACATAATCATCTTAAAATATTAAATAACCCAAAGACTAGTACAAGCTCGATTTTTAAAGCTCACGAGTATAACATCGATGAAATGCTGAAGCGTTCCGGAACATATTTTAATGTAAAATTTATTAAAATAGAAAGAACAATAATGTCTGTTTCATATAAAGGTAGCCACCATTTGTTGACTGACGTAAATCGCTTAAATGTCAGAGTTCCAGATTTAATATACAAGGATAAGCTTTGGTCAAGAGATGAATTCATTGCATCTTTAAAACATGATATTATAAGAGTTGTTATGAGAAACATGGGTAATATTATAGGTAATAAATTCCTACCCCATAAAAAGGAAGATAGATCAAAAATTACGGATGACATGAATAGTATAATCGATGCAGAAGAAAGGGACTCACACGTGATACCAACACTATTCACTGAAGCAAATAGATCAAATTATTCCATTTCGCTATCCAAAGGATCATCATCTCATTCGAAAATTGTGAATTTCAAGAGATTAAAAGAGAGCATATCTCGCTCGAAATCAGACGAAACAGATGATTCAAATATTAAATCATTTTTCCCTTCAAACAAACAATAGAGAATAACATTAAGTTAAATGTTCATGTACTGTCAAAACTGTTGAACTACTTTTCTCTTTTTTGAGACAGAAAGTTGCATTATTATATTGATATCATTCGAAATATACATTTTTATAGATAACTGATAAATACATAATTATAATGGAGTCTTATACAAATTGATCCAAGAACGCAAATAGCTTTCATTTGAAAGTGTGTAAGTCAGGTCTCTGTCCTGTGCATCTAGAGGTCCCGTATTTTTTAAGTGCAATTGTACTGTTTCTAAATCATCTGCCAGACTCGTTAATTTTTCAAAATGTTCGCATCTTTAATTAAGCGATGAGCTATTGAAAAATTTCGAAGCCCTTGAAATATGTATAAGTAGAGTGAACTAATATTATAAAACATTTTAGCAGCTACACGATACTAAAGTAATTAGGTGGACATTATTTTTAATTTTTTTGTTATTATTGAACACACTAAGTATAAGAAATATCGGTCAACTGTGTATTTTAAAAGAAAAAAATGTCTTTGGAAGCAATCAAGTTCAACAAAACCGATAAGGACAATCTAAGTGTCGAAATTCTAGATCAGCTACTGTTGCCATACGTCACAAAATACATCCCAATTTACAACATTGATGATGGTTTTTCCACTATAAAAAATATGCAAGTTAGGGGTGCTCCAGCTATTGCAATGGTGGGTGCATTATCTGTACTATTAGAGATACAGCTTTTGAATTCCAATGAGAATATCGCAAGTCAATGGTACGAAGATTTATCAAACTGGGAACGTACCAAAATTCAATTGAAGGAAAGATTAGAATATTTGTTAAGTAGTAGACCAACTGCAGTTAATTTAGGAAATGCATTAAATGATATTTCAAAAATATTAGAAAACTCAAAAGATATCACCACGCTAAAATATGACGTTTATCAATATACATGTCAGTTGTTGGAAAATGATTTAAAGGATAACATAACAATGGGAAATAATGGTGCCAATACTCTTTTAGCCTTATTGGAGAAAGAAGATTTCCATTCCAACTTTGGTGTCTTAACTATTTGCAATACAGGGTCCCTAGCTACAGCAGGCTATGGTACTGCTTTAGGTGTCATTAGGTCTTTATGGGAAGATAGTAGAAAGAAGATAGCTGAAGGTAAAAATGATTGTGCTAAGATGACACACGTTTTTCCATTAGAGACTAGACCATATAACCAAGGGTCACGTCTTACTGCATATGAATTAGTTCATGATAAGATCCCAGCAACTTTGATTACAGACAGTTCAATTGCTTATAAAATTGCAACTAGTCCATTGCCAATTAAAGCCGCATTTGTTGGTGCTGATAGAATTGTGCGCAACGGTGATACTGCTAATAAAATCGGTACTTTCCAATTAGCAGTTATTTGTAAACAATTTGGAATTAAATTTTTTGTTGTTGCTCCAAAGACTACAATTGATAATAAGACTCCAAGTGGTGATGGTATTATTGTGGAAGAACGTAATGCCGAAGAATTCAAGTTAGTTAGCGGTACCCTTGTTGATGCAAATACTTTCGAACCATTACTGGATCAAAACAATAAACCAATCTCTGCTAAGGTTGGTATCGCTCCTCCCGAGGTGAAGGTATGGAACCCATCATTTGACGTCACTCCTCATGAGTTCATTGACGGTATTGTTACTGAAGTAGGTGTTTTCACCAAAAATGAAAAAGGTAATTTCACTCTGGAAGAGTTGTTTTGAGTTATGCATGAATAAAACCCAAAATACACACACAATAAAATTCAACTAAAATATATAAGCACCCTATCGTTAAACAGATAATTGAACAAAGAGCACACTAAACAAGCTACCAATTACGAAGAGAGTAAGGATAGAAATTTACTGTAGAGACAACTTAATCATGGAAGATATATAGCTATATTTACATCCAGTCTCCCAGGCTAGAAAACTAATTAGCCTTACCTTTATATACATATATGTACTTTTAAGCTCTTCTGTTATTTAGAATATCCCTGAAGACCTAATTTACCCTCCCACAGAAACCCTAATTCATGTGACACAATTTTTTCTTCTGTGCACCTCCCACACACAGCAACATCATCTTGAACGATTGCTTAATTTGGCGAAAGAAACTTCACAAAAAACAAAGCACAAATTTTTTATCGCTATGTACGGACAATAAACACACAAAAAAAATAATTGTAGTAAATTCCTAATGAGGAAATAAATAAACAAACGTAACAGGAAATTGATCAACAAATCGAATTGTCAAGCTGTATGTGTTTCAAAGTGACGCAGAAACAATTATAGAGAATACCAAAACAGAAAATGGATATTTACCATCATTGTTGTGATGTTCTACACTTTAGTTGGATCGATGAAGGAGCAAGGAAGCAACTTAGTGAAAGAATTCTATTTTGACTTTAACTATTGTTATTGTTTTCACTTTTTATAGTAATCGAGGATCTATCCCTGTGATTACTTGTAGTTAAAAGAATTTTGTTATTATTATTTTCCTTTTAGCAATCGGGGAGGTGGTCTTATGTTTTCATAGAATAGAATCCTTATAATTATTGAAATAAAGAAGTTCTAGTATTTATTAAAACAATTTTTTAAATTTTTTTTAAATATATTTTATTTAATTCACTTTAGTTTTTATTACAAAACACGGACCTTTTTTTGTTATTCTTTTTAGGTTTTAAGAGCACAAACATCCAAATCATCGTCATTACACCAGAAAACCTACTCACCTTTGGATTGTTAAACGTTAGAATCGATACATATTCTCTTTAACTCCAGAACTCTCCATTCATTTTTCTACTGTCATAACCGTTTAATCTCTAGTTTTTTTTTTCCATTCTTTTAAAAAATTCAAACATTCTAAGATTAAATTGTTATATTCCAAATCAAAATCAACCTCATTAACTGAACTATAAGATCAATTTCGTCCAACAAACATATTTCTTATTTTATTTTCCAATATTCTCTCATCGTTCATTTTACTTCTTTAATTTACTCCTTTTTTCACGTAACCTCATTTCGTATCATCCACTTTACACCGTTTGGTTTTTCATTTTGCATATCTTTCAAAAGACATCATTTTTTTATCATTCTAACATTTAATTTCAATTCATTTTAGTCATATTGCAAGAATTTAATTATTAATATCAGTTTCTTTTATTTTTCATTCCTTCGATTTAACTACTTCAATTAACTGACCTCCTTAACCGCTTTTTTGATTTATTCATACATTTTATTTTTGTGTTTATTATGTCATCTTCAGAAAACGTATCGACAAATAACAACAATAATGGTAACAATAACAACCCTAGAGTAGCAAGGAACGCCCAAAGATTAGCTTTACACAATGTTACAAACACAACTCTTGCACAAGAGAACGTTCTTCAAAACTTAAAACCAAGCATCGCCTCAAAGAAAGAAATTTTAAAAGAATCAATTGAAAGATCAAATTTTCTTTCAACATCTTCAATTCCAAGTTCACAATCATCGAATACTTCTACATCAACTAATGGAAAATCATCGGAATTAAATATTAAACAAAATCCAATTAATCAATCTAATTTAGATGATAAAGAGAATCTGGATCCTTATATAACGACAGGTAAAAGCTTACCCTCCATTGAAGAAGAAAATGAAACAATCGATTCTCAACATATTCTTAACGAACAACAATCGATCATTGAGAAAAAAGATGTTTCTACTACTAATTCAACAGATTTACAAGAAAAGATGGATGCTGGGAAAAAGAGACCAATCTCCACTGTTGTAGAACAAGATGAACCTAAAAAATTCAAAGTATGTGACGAAAATGGCACTGAAGAATATGAATGGGAAGATTTAGATGCTGAGGATGCTAACGATCCATTTATGGTTAGTGAGTATGTAAATGATATTTTTGATTATTTACATCATCTGGAAGTTGTGACATTACCTAGAAAGGAAGATCTTTATCAACATAGAAATATCAGACAAAATAGAGATATTCTAGTTAATTGGTTAGTCAAAATTCATAATAAATTTGGATTATTACCGGAAACATTATATTTAGCAATCAACATCATGGATCGTTTCCTATGTAAAGAACTAGTACAACTTGATAAACTACAATTAGTTGGTACATCATGCCTATTTATCGCATCAAAATATGAAGAAGTTTATTCTCCAAGTATAAAACATTTTGCCTCCGAGACTGATGGTGCATGTACAGAAGAAGAAATAAAAGAGGGTGAAAATTTTATTTTGAAGACTTTAGATTTTGGTCTCAATTATCCAAATCCAATGAATTTCTTGAGAAGAATATCGAAAGCAGATGATTACGATATACAATCACGAACACTGGCTAAATTTCTTCTCGAGATATCACTAGTAGATTTCAGATTTATTGGTATATTACCTTCGTTATGTGCTGCAGCTGCGATGTTTTTATCCAGAAAAATGTTAGGTAAAGGCAAATGGGATGGAAATCTAATACATTATTGTGGTGGCTACACAAAAGACCAATTGGCTCCGGTATGTCACATGATAATGGACTATTTAGTTAGCCCAATTATTCACGATGAATTCCATAGAAAGTATCAATCAAGAAGATTTATGAAGGCTTCAATAATATCGGTACAATGGGCTCTAAAGGTCAGAAAGAATGACTACGATATAATGACACTGCATGAATAAACATCTCTCTTTTTATAAAAAAAAGTTCAAATATGGAGAGACAACATATATATAGTTGGAAAAGAAACGAATTGATCTTCAACTGTCCTAGTATAGACCTCGGTTAATGAGTTATATATCTAATACGTTTTCTGAGACCATTTTTTTTTAGTTTTCCAAATATTTTGACGATCATTGTGATACCCAAAGCATAAACGCAACAATGAAATGTCACAACCCTCTAAAATCAACTTCTGAATTGAAATTTCAAATGCACTTTCTCTCTTTTCTTTTGTTAACTTTTGATCTGACAAATATTAATCAATGGCAAAAAAAACTACAGCCCATAGATTTCTAACGACGTAACATAATACAACATAACTCACATTCTACTCATCATTAATAGCTAATACTACGAAGTTGTTTCGTATCTATAATATAAAGTGTAATAATGTATATTTAATTTAATAAAACTTAATTATTCGTAACATAATGAAATTTTGTTTTTAAGGTAAGAATAGTTATATTATTTCTTTTTTACGTTTGATGTATACATAAAATATAGACAATTATATGCATAAAGGTGAAATGCGTTTGTTTTGTTTTGTTTTGCTGTTTAATGTTACAATGCGAATAAAGTAGAGAAGTCATAATTGCTCTCTTTAGCACAAAACTGAAGCACAGTGTCATGAATACCATTTGGATCATGTTCATTGTATTTCATTTTTAAAGAAGGTAATCTCGTACAGGGATCATCAAGTTCTTTCATCAAAATTTGGCAATCTGAACGAAAGTTCTCATTTTTTAAGGGATCAATACCTCCACTGTAATGAATAAAACTATCATCCCATTTTTTATCCTTTGATTTTATTCTTCTAGCTATAAAAAATGCAATAGCACTTAAATAAGATGGGCTTTGGCCTATAAAACGCGAACAACAAAATGCATATTCTAGTAAAAATTTTGCCATATTTCTTGTTTCAGTATCGTATCCATCTGCCTTTGATAATCTTCGTAAGAAATTCATTGGAGTTGGCCATGCCAATTCAAATTTCAATCTTGTTAACATATAAAGTTCTGCGGTCTTTATATCATCTTTTGTAGCAGCTCCATCTGTAATGTATGCATATTCGGCTAGCTTAGGTAAATGAATCTCTTCAAATTTTGCAGCAATAAATAATGATGTAACAGCTAATAATTGTAGTTTATCTGTATTAACTTTATTATCTGCTAAGAATCTATCCATTATATTAATAGCCAGATATAGTGTTTCTGGGAAGCATTGAAATTTTTCATGAACTTCTACTAACCAATCAATCAATATGGCTCTAACAGAAGGCCTAACTAAAGGTGCAGTACCATCTCTAACGGTATAATTACGTGAAGGTGATAGCTCCGATTCACGTTTATAAAAATAATCAAATATATCATTTGAATATTCATAAACCATACTGGGATCATTTTTATCCTGTTCATCTAATCTCAACCAAGGTGACTCCTTTTGAATGATTTTGACATTTTGATCAATATTTATCATGTTTTCGTCATCATCTTCATCTTCGTCGTTATATATCTTTCTTTTCTTTAAAATACTTTGATCTGAATCTTCCAAATCTTTTCGTACCCTTGATATAGATTGCGTTATGGGGATCGTAAAATCATTATCTTTTTTTATTTTATTTATTCTCTTTGCATTTGCATTAACTTCTACTAGCGCACCTCTACTACTACTATGCTTTAATGGCTTCAATTGTTTCCCTATTGGAATAAATTCCACCTGTGATAAACCCATTTTTGGCGGCAATTGGGATGTTTCCTCATTATTATTCATCTTAAAATTGAAATCTGTAGGCTCAAAAACACACAACTTTTTTTTTTCTCTAACTGTATATCTTATCTAAAGATTTGAAACGTTTTTATCAATTCAATTGAGCGTGTTGGAAATAATTTTTCTTGATTAATTGGTTTTCTCTTTTTAGGATTGGAGTTCTCAATTATTATTATCTAATACCTCTTATGAAACAAACTTGAAAGATAGTAACAATTAAATATGACAAAATAAAATAGAAAAACAAACACAAATAATTAATCTTGTATTACCTCACAAAAACCATCAACACTTTTAAATAAAAAAGTGAAAACCAAGTCAAAGCTAACAAAAAAAGATATTTGGATTAAAAAAGAATTAAACCCTGTATGGATGTATCGTGTATCGAATCTACCTTACTATAACACCTGTTTTTTTCTTCACCAACTCACGAACCTACCAAATACACAGCAATTGCATAAGCTTACCTTGTAAAATAAGTCCAGTAAAAGAAGGAACCCTTCCAAAAGTTATCGATTGCAGGTTACGTTCCATGGTCATCGCCAAAAATATTTCAGTTCTTAGACTTGTCTTTGTGACGCGTCTCTCTCTCTTTCTCTCTCTCTCTCTCCGTGGATGTCTGTACACATATAATCGAAATCTATTAGAAGAGCGAACCAAAAAACGCGGCGCGTCTTTCCAAATATATATTCAATCGACGCGTCGAACGTTACGTAGAGAAGTCTCTCTACGTATAATACTAAGAGGAATATTCTTTAATACTTGATATATCAATAGAGGAACAAAATATTCGAATAAACATAAACACAAGTTGAGTCGCACTAATCAAGAAGGGCACTAGGGGATCTTTGCAGTTTTGCTCCCTTTCATACCAAAAAGAACCCGCGTTATTCACAATGTATACTGTTCTGGTATTAGTAATGTAATATGTGAGTGTATATATATATAAAGATAAGTACTTAAATAAATAATGAAATATAATGACAAGATGGAATGGGAAAAGTAACTGGTAATATGAACAATGATAAAAGTAGAAAATAACTTGAAAAAGAGCAAGAAAAAAAGAACGATCTTTGGATGCCCTTTTTATGCTCATTCGGGTCATTTGCTTGATTTCTTTCCCTTTAGTTCTTTATCCTTAGCCAAGATCGACTTTACGCTCTCTGTAGCTTCTTCTTGAACTTTGTCAATTGCATCTAAACTTAGACTATCTTTAACCTTCACAATAGAACCTTCTTCTTGTTCGACTTCTTCCTTCATGATCTCATCTTGTTCCTTCAAATGCTCCAACTTCTGTTTTGCTGTAGCGTCGTCCTCTTTAACCACATTAACTTTAACTTCATGGTATAATTCATCTGGGATAGCACTCAAAACATCGCATAATGAATCATATAATGATTTCTTCGATGAAGCATCACCATAATTATATGATGTTGCCAGAACCATTAAAGTCGATGGAATCTTATCCTTAATTCTCATATTTAACCATAATTTTAAATTTTTTCTTAAAGTTGCATCTGAAGTATCCTTAATTCTAATACCTCTAGAGGCACAAGCACTACGTAATTCATTGGAATTTAATTGTTCTGCATCCTCATAATATAATGCAAAATCATCTTTTTTCAAATCTAATAATTTAAATCTAATTCTATATCTAAGCATAACATCTGTTCCGAAAGGTTGAATATTAATATATTTAGCCAACGCAATTAAATGTGGTCTACTCAAATTATCCAAAACGGTATCATCACTAAATAATCTAGCTACTTCAATTAATTGACTACGTGATTCACTTTCACCAGTGGCTCTCACATGTTTATAAAATCTATTAAATAATATTTTTTGCTCTTCGGTGATACCTTGAGGTTTGAAATGGGATTTATTATCTTTAATGATACTTGTAACTAATTCTCTTGTCTTTCTTAAACTGGCTAATTTTGTTTCTTTGGATTGAGTAGATTCATATGTAGATGGTAACAAATTTGGGAAAATCTTTAAAGCTAAAGGTAATAATAACTCGGCAAATGGGATCAATACAAAAGCAGCAAATGGTACTAATCTAACTACATCTTGGGTGGTCCTCTTTAACTGAATCATTTCTCTACGTGTCAAAGTTTTACCAGATGACATTTTCATCAATAATCTTGAGGATATCTTGATTTCAAATCCTAATAACTTGGTACCATCCCAATAATGACTTGCACCTTCTTTTATGACTGTCCATAATGGTTTCTTCACTTTTGGTTTAGCAATCACAGATTTAGAATTATCTTGTTTGGTAGAATTTAAACGAATAGATTGATAAGATAATGGCAACTTCACATTATTATATCCTGTTGAATTCAAACCAAGAAATTTATGGGTACCCCAAGGGGTCCCATATTCGAGTTTAGTTCCTCTTTTTAACAATATTTGGGATCTAAATTTCAACATGATCCCAGAATTATGAAATATTTTTTTAGTTGAACTAACACATCGTTCCAAACACAACTAACAACGAAACAATAATGATGTACAGTTAAATCCTTAACCAACAATCTTTAGTTTATTTATATAGCTGTGTCACTCCCTGAGTCACCAATGGAGGACCCTAACCAAGTTCGTAACTATTAGAAAGTAATGTTATGATTACGTGGATTCTATTATTACTGACAATTAGTTACCTCATCTTGCTAACGTAAAAACTGCTATACCCACTCAACATATCGAAACCATCTCAGCGAAGAGAAATCCCGCACAGAGCAGAATCATTAGTTGATCTTCCGAAACTTTATGGCCAATTTTAACGCCTCCTCCCCGAGGGGACAGGGAAGGGACAAATAACAGTGCAACACGATCAAATTTGTTAATCAGCGAAAGAACCAATCAGGAAGACGCAGAAAGCTGAGCTCGATAGTGGGACTACAGCTAGACAGTGCATGATTTTAAGTACTATGCAATATGGGTTGTTACTATTATTATTATTTTTATTATTTTCTTAAATTACAATTAAACCTGTAATGATTATACACAGACAGTAAATATGGGCTATATAAAATGGCATACGTGTGCCTATTAGATAGGGAAATAAATATAGAAAAGTTGAGAGAAACAGGGAATTTTTATCTACGATGTTCCTTCTATTTTAAAATATTGTTTCCTTTTTCCTTTTTTCATTTTTTAGTTTTTAATTTTTTATGGGTTTATATGGGTCATGAATATAACAGACAATATTAGTTCTTCGTAAGGTTTGGTCAAAAAAACATAAACAAACACAGATCAAACGACTAGAAGAATTATGCTCTATTTCTGTTTGATTTCAATAATGTCTTGAAACCGTTACAAAGTTGAACAACACTTGGATAATTGTAGTTAACTAAGTAAAAACCAGTGTTGGTCAATCTAACGTTCCATGTATAAAGTTTACCACTTGCATTGATCTTGAAATTGATAAAGAACCACCCTGGATGTTCATAATTGAAACTAAAATAATACACTGATTTCTTAGGATTAACCTTAGAGTAATCTTCAATGAATTTGATAACTTCCTTTGGTGTACCGGACTTGAATTTCTCATTTGAAGTCATCTCATTCAATAATCTGACTTTATTTTGCAAATATTCAACAATTAATTGATCTAAATCATGATATCTTTGATTTTCAACAACAAGAACCTTACCTAATGCTAATGGATTTTCCTTTTCTAACTCCTTGATATCAATATGTTCAAATAGATCTTTATCTAATTTCCATGTAATAGCAAGATGATCATCACCCCGACTTGATTGTCTAATGACGAAATCACCACGGTTCTTGGATCTCAAATAATCTTCCGCTTGCTTACTGTTGAATGGGAAATAGTAAGGGTGATTAATAACACGATGTGCTCTTTTAGCACGAGCTCTTTCTGCCGATATTTTCTTTTCTTCTTCGTTATCTTTCAATTCTTGTTGTAAGTCCCATACAGATGGATCTTTGCTATAACTGATTGGGACGTATTCATGTTCGACATCTTCTTCCAATAGAGACACCTCAGCAGATATCTCACTATAGTCAATAAATATAATTTTAGCAGGATATGTCTTACCAATTTCATATATTTCGTTAGCAGCTCTTTGAATTTGGGCACCTACATGTCTTTGCGCATTAACAATACAATCAACACCGGAATTTGTAATACATTTAATGTCATTATGCCAAAATCTTTCAACTTTAACAGGAATGACACAACCTTTGTAAAATGTCTTCTCAGTTTCACCCGTTAAACTATGGAAAATTTCTTCACCTTGTAAAGGATGGAAATCATTTCTTAGTTCTTCGAAACCATGAAGCAATTCCAATATGATTGTGCTCAAATTATTTGATTTTCTTTGTCCAGTCTTCTTCTCCAATTCTTCGGCATATGACTCCAAATTCAAAGACTCTAATTTTGTTCTACGATCTGGGTCGTCTCTTAGGTATTCTATAAAGTCACTCATTGTACCTTGGTCTTCCTTTTCGGCAATGGCATCTGGGTCGTATTCCAACGCATCTGCAGCAACTTTTGTGGCTAAATGATAATCTTCAGGATGAATTCTTGTGCTATCAAGTTGATCATGCTCCAAATCCTCATATTTTTGTCTCTTTTCATTCCAAGAAATATTCAGGAACCCAGCTGAGTTCATAAATATTGTCTTGTGTAAGATATTATGGGTAATTAGTTGCTGACGAGCTAGTAATGGTTCATTCAATCTATGTAAAGATTGCAGAAAATCAGCAGCTTTACGTTTACCGAAACCTGAAACATATTTTAGTACAGTAGCATAGTAGTCGTTATCAGTAGCTTTATTTACATCAACACCAACTAAGTTGACAATATCAACAAATGCAGATTCTAAAGCGTGGGCTAAAATTTCTTTAGGTAATAATGATTGATGTGGATGGATTGCTAAAGATTTCAATTCTTCGGGTAACAAATTTGCATATTCTAATAATGGGGAATGCATATAACGGGCAAGACCAATACAATATTTGATCAATGGTGCTTTATTAGAGAATTCTTCCTGTGCTCTCTTAGAATTTTGGAAACGCAGAGCGGTCTCATCTTCGACATAGATTACAGAAATCAAGTTACCCTTACTATCCACAACTTGTTTTCTTTGAATAATATCCTGAACCTTTTTGAAGAATTTTTCAGTCTTTGGGTTTGGACCATTAATACCAATGGCGTTAGGTTGACAAGTAGATATAATATTTTCCAATGTGTCTTCAAAGGCCTCAGGACGGGATCTGTCAAATGGATTATCCACAATCTTGAAGTCCTTTACAAACTCACCTTTACGATTAACAAAGACACCAATAATAGCATCGGCCCCAAACTTACCTTGACCACATGATAATGTTAGGATACGTGGAATCTTCGATTCTTTTATATTCGGAATGTAAGGAGCTTGATCAAGCTTAGCCATAAACTTGTGACGAACTGTAAGAGCGACCAATTTTTGACATGTCTTAGTCAAACCTTCCTTAATTTCACTAGAGATATCAAAGAAAATTTGGTTCATTGCTTCTTTGAATGCCGATTTACGGAAGTTGTTCCATTCAGTGGCTAATTCTGATGTATTCGTGGTTTCTAAAACAATCTGGAATAAGTGATCTGTGTATTGATCTTGAGAGGACATGTGGATCTTTAAGGTCATTAAATTCAATGATTCTGCCTCTAACATCCTTAAGAACACATTTGGATCTCTACGGAAATGTAATGGTGTTCTGTTGATCGCATATTTGATATCCTCGTATAAAGATCCTCTTTGGATTTCGTTTTTACCTTTCTTTGTCAACACAACATCAATCAAATAATATTTGTAAAAATCAGATCTAACCTTTTCTCTAATCTTGATATTCTTAGATAACTCCAATGAGTAGTATTTTCTCACTGTCTCTACAGCCAGGTTCATATTTGTAGAGAAAATTTGTAATCCAGATGGATTTTCCTGAACAATGGATTCAATAACTTCGTATGGTTTCAAAGATTGATGATCTACCGGAGTATTGATTTGATGTAACGAACTTAAATTTTCACCTACCTTATCGGCTGTAATACCAATTTCGCTAACAGCATGATATAAGGGACTGTTCTTGAACTTTTCGTAACTAGAATTTTTTAAATGTCTTTTACCAGAATGTTCTTCATTACCTGATATGGTCTTGTTAATTTCCTGGGAATATCTAAATTCTAAGAAGTCATGAATATCTTGAAGAGCATTCAATTCAGCGGTAGATGCACTGTTTTGACCTTGGAAATAATCTTCGATATCACTATCATGAATATTTAGTTCTTCATAAAATTTCTTGACATAATCTCTCTTACTGATGATACTCTGGAATTCCAAATCCAGTGTAATGATCTCCCATAAATCATCTTCACTTAATACAAACCCACCACTTACTCTGGAAGAAATATAATTACGACGGTAAGCATATATGAATGGTACTTCAAGATTATCTTGTGTAATAAATCTAATTGCATTACCAATAGATTCTCTAAATTCAGTCATATCGTATTGAGCATCAAAGTTTTTATTTACGGCAATCTTGTCGGCGACCCATTTCTTTTCTAATTCTTGATCCTGTTCAGATAAAGTACCATAATTTTGAATATCTGTTCTGAGTTCTTGGAATCTTTCTGGAAGATCGGTCTTCCTTATCAACATGTCTTCCTCTGTAAGTAAATTTTGTTTCAAATCTTCTAAATCATAGATATCTTGTAGGTCGGCAGTCTTCTTTGTCTGTACAGGGATACCATTCTCATCAACTTCGTCACCTTCTTCTCCACCAACAACATTGTTTTCATTCATCTCTTCATTTTCAATCTCCAATGCCCAATCATAGTCGTGACCATCCCCAAAGATATCATACATTTCATCAATTTTATCAGAGGAAAGACCCGATATTTGAGTTGGAGCATTCATTCTTTGTTGTTTTTGTAACCTTCTTTCTTCCAATCTTCTCTCTCTTGTCTCTTCATCTTCATCAGAGAATTCATCTTCTTCAATAAAATCATCCAATTCATCCATAATACCGGCTTTTGGAGCACCACTTCTCCCAACTCTTCTATCATTACGAATTTCGTCATCTTCATCATCTTCTAATTCGGAATCACTTCCTCTTCTACCTTGGGACGCAGTTTCTTCATCGATATCTTCAAACATGTTATCTAATTGAGACGTAGAGCTAGTTTTCTGTTGAATTTTCTCATTTTCCGGAGATTCATCCTCTTTACCTTCGACTCTCTTTAATCTCTTAAGTTTACCAGAAGAGCTATCAGTAGTACGTTTAACACCAGCATTTTCCATCAATAAATCAAGATCATCTTCTGATAAACGATCATCCTCATCTTCTCTATTTCTACGCTTATGCTTTCTTCTCTTTCTAGAGATTGTACCATCTTCTTCGTCCTCATCATCAACAATGAATCCTTCTTTCACCTTTCTGGCTTCATCTTCATCATCATCTAAATTGTCGTCTTCTTCAGAGGAATCGAAAACATCCTCCCCTTCTTCTTCACTGCTTGGGGCCTTGCCGTCAATGTCGTCATTCACAACATTATCGTTGCTCTCCTTCACACGATGTTCTGTACTCTCGTCCATGATCTGTTGAAATTATTGAAATGAACAGAGTGACAAACAGTTCAGTGGAAAGTTTATTATAAACTGTCTCTTTTGTTGTTATATCTAAAGAAAAAAATGTCCAGAACAACCAAATTTAATGGTTAATGTAGTTCTTTAATAAACAAAATCGAATTGAAGTTGTCAAATATACAATGATTCTCTGTATTTGTGTCTTTTATTACTGTGAAGTAATGAGTGTATGCGTAAACTAAAAACTGTATCGTATACCCTGTTTGTCCTTAACTAGTGCCCAACTTTTTCACTGTTGGAATTATTTGTTATTTAATTTTTTTTCTTTCTTTGGGTTTTTTTTTCTTTTGCTGGAAGTTTCAGTTAAAGGACTACGCCGTAGTAAGTACGTGCACAGTGATATTGAACAGCAACAAACAAACATACTCAAAACCCAAAAATTGTAAATATATGAAAGCAATAGTATAGTATACTTAAAAATGATAGAAAGAATTGAATATCTATATATATAAGTACTACTTTTAGCTATTTACAGATATAAAAGAATAATAAATTTATATGATTATTGAAATTAATAGAAAGAGAAGGGAGGGGACAAAAAGAAATTAAGCAAATTTCTCTGCAGGTAGCAAATTAGTATCCATATCGTTACTTTGTTCTTGTTGTCTTGCAGATTCAAGCATACTTCTTTCGATCTGTCTATCCTGATCATGAATATCAGGTTCACAGACACATTTATTTTTATTACCATTTTGATTGTTGTTATTATCCTGAGTAGATTCATTAGTTGAATCCTTTTCATTATATTTAGTTACAGGATCATAAGAATCTCTTGAATCAAATGAATTTTTTTGTTCTTGTTGCACATGTCTACCACATTTACAATTTGCAGCACCTGGACAATTCATTGCTTTTTTAATTTCACGTTGAATATTCCATCTTCTCAATGTACTAATTTTACATCTATTGAAAAATACTTCAGATAATGTTAAACCAATAATAACAGCAAAGACATAAGTTAAAACAAAAGTCATAACAACTAACATTAACATATAAATTAACATTGTTGAGGTGAAAATTAATAAGATTCTAACAATATCATGAAACATATCCTTCCATGATGGTGCAAAGATATCATACATTAAATTAGGTAATTTTGGTAATGCTACCAATTGACCACCTGTTTCAGTATATTCTGTTTCAGTGCGTTCATCATCATAATCTTCAATGTTCTTATCATTATTTAAATCATTCTTGTTAAATTTCTTAGATTTATTCCATTTCTTGAACCAATGAACTTCTAAGCACCAACTGACAAATAAGATAAATTTATAGACAAAACAGGCTGCAAGGATTAATACAAATATACCAAATGCACCTTTTTTATCCTTAGCATATAATTTTTCAAATAAGACAGGATAATCCTTATATTTTCTTGTCAAATAAGAATTCATACCCATTTCCATTTCCATATTCATACTAGAAGACGAAGTAGAATTAGACATATCCATGCTTGAAGAACCATGACTATGTGACATATCCATAGAAGAAGATGACGCAGATGTAATTGAAGAACTTGAAGCCATACTCATTGTAGACATAACCATTGAAGCAGTACTTGAAATTGAGGACATCACCATTGATGACATTGTACTACTAGTACTGCTGCTGCTGCTGCTGCTTGGCATTGACATATCCATAGCCATTGAGCTGCTACCCATATTCATTTTGGTATATTTATTTATTTCTGTTTAAATTATCAACGATCGTAAAAACAACAAAAAATAATACTTCAATTTAGACTCATTCAATGGAAATTTCACAAGTTTAAGTAATAATAATAATAGCTACAATTAATTATGCGTTATATCCAAAAAGGAAACCCTTAAAATTATAAAAGAAAGTCTTGAAAATGCAGTCTTATATATACAAAAAAGAGGAATTGCTAAAAGACGTCACCAGTTATCGTTTCAATGAGTATATTGATGCAATGTTTGCATTAAAATGGTACTGACCTCTGTACAAATCATCACCGAAATAACCTTCGAGATTGTGGTCTTTTCGTTCTTCAAAGGATCTTTAGATGGTAAAAGTCCTTGAGGGGCCAGGTGCATAGGAAATTATACAGTCAGTTCCTCTCGTTCCCACACTAATTTTCACCGTTGAGAGTACTTCCCCGGGCAAATTGAACGGCTATTCCTCTGGTTCATTTTTTTTTCTTTCATGGCCGCCATTTATTGTTTGGCTGGGCTGAGCATATTTGAGCAAATATCTGTTTTTCTTTATAAATTTATTTGCTCAATTTTTTTGTGTGTGCTGGATTCCAGGCTGCACGTGACTTGAGGGTCTCGCCAATGGTTAAATTGCACTATATTTGTATTTTTACATATGACTATATCAATGAAGTTTTCATTGTTCTAAAGGCATTAGGGCCTGGTAATTCTACAGCTGGCACCTTGATACGTTGTTGTAATGTTGATGGTTCGTTTGTTTGATTAGGGTGCTGTTCTTTCCAAGTGGTTTTATTTGGATTTTCTAAGTACTGATGGAAAGATCGGTTACTAACTCGTTGAATGGTTCCTAAAGGTGCTTTAATAAGTTTTTGATAACTTGCAGTCTCTAATGAATTATAAATCTCTTTTAATATAACCGAGCATAATCTTAAACCTTCTTTCTTATTGTGAAAGGATGCTAATAAGCCCTTCATTAATAAGAAAGGATTACCATGTGTCCTCTCTACAATATCTTGTAACTCTTTACTTTCTATTAATAACCCTTTCATCTTAAAAAATGCACCTAATTGTAATAATAATGTTTGTTCTCTAATTTCGTCCTGTGACATTACACTATTAATCATAATTGATACCTTGCTTCTCTTTGCAGAAAATGTTGAAGTCTTCTCCCAAATGAAATTTTTATATTCCGTTAATGTTATTTGTTCCAGAATATTTTGTTGAGATTCTTGTAATTCTTTATTAGATATAACTTCACCATCAATTATTTTATTCATAAATTGTATATGTCGATTCATTTCATAACTATTAAGAATCTCTGTCGAACCAACTCTAACATTCGGTATAATTTCATTCATTAAATTAATTGGACCACTTGTTGTCTCACCTGTTGAACCATTTGTCGTATCTAATAATGATGGATCATGTTTAATAATTTGAATATATTTAAGAATATATTCATTAAAAAAAATTGAATCATTAATGGTTCCTAATATTTCACTTTCAAAATCTTCTAAATATTCATCAATGGCTTCTTCTATCGATATTGGATTAGATCCTGACATTATAGTAATATGTATTCCAATAGTTTCAGTCAATTCTCTTACACCACTCATCACAACATAACCAATTTGTCTCTTATTTCTTAACTCAGGTATTAAAGTTAACGACATTAAATATGATGTGAAAAAAGTTAAGGCTCTTATCTTTAAATCATATCGAGATCCCATTTGAATAAAATAAGTGATAGCATTATTTGGATCATCACAAATACCATCATGCTCTAATAAATAATTTGAACCAGGTTTCAATACGACTGTCTTTAATGGTTGATTTGTGACACGGTGCGGACTTCCAGGGAAATCCGTTCTTGTTGAAAAATGTCCAGTCATATTTTTATCTAAATAATTATTAATAGTATCTGCTTGGCTCAAATCACCTTGGATGAACAATGTTAAGAAATTATTATCACCTTTTAAAAACTTATCGCAAAAATTTAAAAATTCATCCATATCAATGCTTTCTAAAGCATCTGTTCGGTCTTCTAATGTCCACATATGTTTCTCTAACAGAATTAAGAGACCAATACTACTAGATTTTATACAATTTTCCATTGAAGCATTTTTATACTTGTTTCTAGTAAGAATTCGACCTTTTCTAAACATTTCCTTATCGCTTTTTGATCGACTATTCATTTTTAATATACTTTCAGTACCAGCTGTAATATGATCCATTATCTGAATAATTCCTGTCCCAAACCCGTAAATCGAAAACTTTAATGTAACTTCACCTCTATCAGACGATGCGATTGTATAAGCATACCCTACTTTAACAGCTTGATATAATTCAGGTGAAACTATCTTGAATAATATTTGGGCTAAGATTTCTAAAAGAATTGTATTTCGGGGGCTAGGGTTTATACTTGTAGAGGCCAACTCAAAAGTAACAATAGTTTTCCTAGTTAGAGGTTCATTTAATGTGTCATCTTCTAATACCCATAGCTCATATTTGGAGTTAAAGCTAACAAGTCGCGGCAAGTGTAATATTTGATGTTCTGTAATATTTGGTATCAGTGACGAATATTTTGATTTTAGACTGGTTTCCATCAAAATTTGTCTTAAAACTGTTAAATTTCGATATTCTGGAATTATAAAGGAATTTTCACCTGGGTAATCAATATTACTGCCATTATTTTTATATTCTGTAGCGTATCTCTTATAAAATTTGGAATAATTAATATATTTCTTTTGATACTTAAATTCATAATACTCATCTAAACTGAGTTTTTTCTTGAAATTATTCATTAAACCACACCTTTGAGGGTTATTTCCATGTACAATAACACGCATATTGGTAGGAGACATGCAATCAGCTAAAAACTTCTGAAATTTAATAGCCTGTTCTCGCCACCAATTATCCATATCCTGACTTTTATCATCTAGGATTTCTGTGTTCACGTCGCTACTATTTTCACTTAATATAGAAGATCCTTTAAAAATATTTACAACAGTTAATTCCTTTAAATTTTCTAATAGAATACTACTTATTTCAGAAGTTTCTTCCATTGGAGATTTTTTTTTCTTTTGGTTGATAAAAGAAATTATATCAATGTAATTTTGATCTCTAATATACTTTGATAATTTTTGAAGATTACCTCTAGTAAATCGTGGTATTACGTTGGAAATTAATATTTCAGTGATGTTGTCTAAATGCTTCCATCCGGTATTGCTTAGATCTAATTCGAACACAAGACCAATATCTTGAATTGTAAATTCAGAAACGTAGGAAAAACAGCCAGTTATCCATTCCCTTTCCATAAAATACTCACAACACGATGTTCTAGACTCGTCACCAAACAGGTCACACCAAATCCTTGAGAATAATTTGATATCTTTATCAGGTAACTTATTATCATCAAAATTTATTGGAAACACGAATCGTACAGTTAAGGATTTATTTGATTTGACAAATATTGTATTATCACAGTTTTCCTTTTCATTAGTAAATACTTGAATACCATTGAGTTTAGTTTTCCAAACTTCTTCTAAAATGCGAAAATTATTAACATCTAGTTCTTTATTATTGATGTTCCTTTTTGCCCTTGGCTTAGAGTAAGGTCGACACTTAATTGTACTCAGGGATCTTATTAAACCTACCTTCTTATCAAGTAGTTTCCCAAAATTCGAGTATGCCAGCTTGGCTAATGAATTAACTGACTGTGGACCCCTTATACATAAGGTCATCGTCCGACTCGATATATTCTCCCGATAATATTTGATTAATAACGATCTTAAATTTTTAGGATGGACAGCAGATACATTTCTCAAGGAAGCCATATTTCCGGTCGAGAATTGACTAAACGGATGGTCTCTATTTGCCAGGAGTCTCGTAGCCTGGTACAAAATTTTAGATGTTGATGATATATTATTTTCATGTTCACTATTGATGGCATAGACCTCCTTGTTAATAATTAAAGGGTTGAAAATGGGATCATTGAAATATGATGCGAATACGTCTACGATATTATCAAAAACTATTGTTCCGTCAAGTGATAATACAGGTATTTCAAAATAAAAGGTAGTTTGTTCTCCTGTAGTAAACGCGTTTTGAAAGCCGTTATACTTTGTAATCATTTCATGGTAATATCCTGGGACTGGGTACTTAGTTGACCCTGCTGCAAGCAACATATGTTCGAATAAATGTGCAATTCCGGGAATACCCTTTGGGTCTGAATAAGAACCGGCTGCAACAGATAGAGAGCATGATGACATCTTGTCATCGGGATCGGATATAAGTAATGTTAATATCCCGTTTGGTAGGATACACAACCTATGGTTCCTATTTGAATATGAAAGTGGAGTAAATAGTCGTGCATCGCAATTTTGGATTTCACTCAATGACATTACCAAGTTTCCAACTAGAGTTCATTGTAATAGCTTACATAATCATAACTAAGTCTTTAAGAAGAGTGTAAATTACTTATTATAGTATTATATAATATAAACTAGATTTTTTGTTTATAATTGCATCGTTATCCTCATTTGATTACTACTTTGAGTTGAGACAACCTTTATTTTTTATACCATGTAAATTTCCGCATTCGGAAATTAACAAAACCTCAATGACTTAAAAAAGAAAAAAGAATATTGGCTTCGGTATTGCCATAATTAGAAGTAAAGGACGATAATATCCATATAATAAAAACCATTTCGAATGGTAAGCATAGTATGATGCGATCAGGAACAGGGTATGTTATACGCGTATCAGTTAATGTTTTCAAGAGTTCATATCGCTAATAAATATTTGGAATTATAGAAAGGTATTTATTATTATCTAGAATGACATTGGTAGTACCTCTCTTGAACCGTGTAGAATGCGCGTATTAGGAGCGAGGTGAGAACATCGATATATATCCAGATCAAATTCGTCATTTCTAGTCGATGCTTCGTCTCTCTCATTTCATCAAGTGTGCACATCGGCTAATCACTTTTCCGCCGTAACATATATAACGTAGATATGACATTAGTATTGGTAATCCTATCACATATTGCTTTATATCTACACAGGGAGAGAAATGGCATATCAAGAAATTGTTAGACTCCTTTCTTTCCTAAGACTCTAATACATAACCATTGTATAATAAATTTGTTGTAGAAGAAACATTTTTTTCCTAGTGATGGACTATTTGACACATGGCACATTTTACGGTGACAATGAAACATCTTGATAGAAGAAAATCTATTGTCAAAAAGTAAGGTAAATAGGAAATACTTTGCTGAATCAGAAAAAAGAAAGTAATACTAATGACATCTATGGTAAGAGGAGTACATTTGACATATGGTAGCTTTACCAAAAAATATCTCCAGGGGGCGAGTCGAACGCCCGATCTCAAGATTTCTTGTAAAATTACAGTCTTGCGCCTTAAACCAACTTGGCTACCTAGAGGATTGCATATCTGTGGCTGTGAGCTCACTCTATATACTGCAGATAATTTTAAATTTTATGTGTTAGATTAATTATTAGTCACAGAAGTATCGTAAAACTGTAATATATCATAACAATTTTAGTAATTAGTGTATATTTACTATCTACTAGAGGAATATATTCAACATTAATAACGAAACTACTCCCTAGTTCATGAAGAGGGAAAGAGTAATTATTGTAAAGGTATGGAATTTATATAAGCTGCAAATATTCACGTTTCATGAATAAATTGTTTTCACAACAACGAAACATACTACAAAAAGAAGAAATACTGCACCATACATATGGTGTTATTAACAAAAAATAAATTGTTGGTTTGAGTTGGTTGTAATACATAACTTCGACAAATTATGTAGTATTGTATTATGAAGACCATATCCTTTAAAAAAGAGTTATCGAATAGCGATGACAAGTTAATAATTGTTGGAAATTATATCACAGTGTGACACACAGTGATCTTCGTACAATGCGATATTGCTGTGAAAATTTCTGTATATAAAGGAACCCGTTTTCCAAATTATATAGAATTATATATTACACTTTCTCACATCTCTCTCTGATAGGAGGGGGAGGAGCTCTGCTGCTGGCAACGGACACCTAGTCCTGACCTACAGTAAATATATATACTATTATTATTCTCTAATTCCCAGTTTTCCGACAATAATCAATCAAGCAAAACTCATACCAACATATATAATGCTTATATTCAAAAAATATTTAGCTTTTGGTTTTGCTCTATGTAGTTCGGGTATGTTTTAAATCATATAGAGAAAAAACAAGAAATAGACGCGATAATAAGTACATAAAACCGTTACAACTTGACCAATCGATGATGTTAGGGAACCCAAGTTCGAGTTCGGGTAACTCCTCATACCCTCAGCTCGAAAAGCAATTTTAGCATTTTTACAGATAACCTTTTCTGTATTTTTTTTTTCCCTAGACACAGATTTCAAAAGCTTACGAGCCCAAGCTTTCAATTTAGTTTTTCCATTTTGTAATCTCTTGTATTCTATTTTTTTTCACACAAATTGAATCTAATATAATATTTTATATATAAGTTGGAGGAATATACATTTATATATATATATAAATCTAACATTTGATCGAGTTAGCAATACTGTTACCGGCAGTTCTACCGAAGACGACACATTCCAATAGAGAAGAACCACCAAGTCTATTAGCACCGTGGACACCACCAGAGACTTCACCAGCTGCATATAGACCCTTAGCTAAAGGCTTACCTTCTTTATTTACGACTTCAGAGTCAGTATTAATCTTAGCACCACCCATAGTGAAATGGACAACAGGTGTAACTTCACCAATAAAGATCTCAGTAGAAGTTTTAATAGAATCGCCAAAGTTCTTAGTAACTAATGGACGATCGAAAGCATCCTTATCAGCTGTAGAATAAGTAGTCAAGTCCTTGGCAAACTCCTCAGCAGTGATTGGAAGGTTGTATTCCTTTATGGCATCTTCCAAGGAAACCTTCTTAATTAATTTCTTGAACATATAGAAATCCAAATTGTTTTTTAAAACTTCATAAATACCTTGACCCATCACTAAATAGGCTCTGTTGTCGTCCTTAGGACATTGGGATTGGATAGCAGCGGTAACTATATCTCTGGTAGTCAGTTCGTTAACAAATCTCTTACCTGTAGATGGGTTCAATAAAATACCACCTAACCCTCTTAGAGCCTCAGCACCCAAAAATTTCCAACCTGCAGAACGGTCAGTTGGATCAACAAGACCAGTTGGGTGAACTTGAACCTGGTCCATATCAATCATGTCGGCACCTAACTTCTCTAAAATATTTTGACCATCACCAGTAGTTTGAGAACCATTTGTAGTTGGTAAATCGATCAAATCAGGAGCATATCTCTTTAACATATCCTTAGAAAAACCAAACCCCCCAGAACAAAATACGACATAGGATGTAGCGATAGTATGTTTGTTACCTTCTTTATCTTGGTATTGAACACCAGTGACATTTCTTTCACCGTCGATGTTGACATCAGTGACTTTACTATCCAATTGGATCTTGACCAATTCAGGTTTCGTTTCCGCTAAATCCTTTAAATATTTAGATAAAGTTGAGACAATTTCAAATCCTGGTGGAAGTTTACCAGACGATCTGTGAGTTCTTGGAACAGAATGACCACCTAGTTGAGCTAATAAATCTAATTTCAAGTCGAATTCACTTTGTAACCATTCAATGGCCAAATGCGAATCCTTTGATAGTTTATCCATTAATGGTTCAGAACCTTTACCTTTAGCAGATTTAACTGTATCCTTTAAGAACAATTCTGGAGAATCAACAATTTGTTGTTGCTCTTGGATAGTGGTATGAGCACCATTGATACCACTGGATGCCTTAATAGAATTACCACCAATAGAGGCAGCTTTGTCGATTAGAACAATTGGGACATTATGCGTCTTTACTAATTGGTTAGCAGTAGCTAGACCTGCTAGACCCGTACCTATGATAACAACTGGATTAGACATATTGTAACGTATAAAAAAAGGGTGTATATATTTAGTTAACCAACACTTGAAAGCTTCCTAATAAGAAAAATATGAATGGTAGAAGAATAAACTGTAGTATTATCTCCTTTTCAACCAACTTGGTTCTTATATAATGCTTTTTCCCACTTCAACAGATGGAAAGCATAATTATTTTGCATTAATAATCGAGGCGAAAGTTTTTTTAGGATCTTCAAACGCGTTTTCTTCGTAAAGGGAATCCACAGTTTCTTGTGCGTTAATTTTTTAGGAAATTGCCAAAAAGGGTGTATACGTGCCTATTTTCACGTGGTTGCTACTGGAAACGGTGCTAAGAACAGTTTCAATTGAATTGAAAATTATTTGAAGTTCATAAAAAAATCTCTATATATATATATATATATATTTATTTATTTATATGTAGCGACTATTGGTCTCAGCGGATGGACTGGATTGTCCTAGTTTATTTAAAAGTCTTGTCTTTAAAAGAAATTCTCAAAAATAAATTATAATGAAGCTGATGGGTACCAGTAGGCGTGGTTTTCAGGTGATAACGTACTACCAAAAAAATCGAACATATTCAGTCAATTGATACGATGCAATACAGATAAGGGAGAAATATAAGAGGGTACAAGTAGATTATTTAGTTGCAATACTGCATTCTCTACTGATAGTACCGTGTTCCTTACCTCATGAGTCGATCAATCACTTTTCGTCCCTCCGCAATAGGGTGAAACCGATATATGATTTGTTTTGTCACAAACGGTTCAACGATTCTCAAATGTATGGGTTATGTATGTGTCAGTATTTGTAATTGTAATTTATTTTTATGGTACTAATCACGTACGAATTCGAAACGAGTCACATTCTTATTGTTGCTGTAAAAGAAAATACAGATCTAGAAAGAAAGGGAAAACCGGAATCACAAATCGAAATGATTATGATTTGTATTATTTGAGTAAAATCGATATTATAAACGATTTAACTATGCCATTTGATGCTTGAAAAAGATGCTAAAACTATATTATTTGACAATGCCACGAATATATTAGTTGAAAGTTTGTTATTTTTAGAATGTTAAAAAGAAAAAAGGGATTAGATTCTCAAATTTTTTTATATACATTCTAGTATTTGTAACCCTTGATGTCTTGGATAGCGTTACCATGAACATCAATCTCTGTAGATTCACTACGATAGATTTGGGTTGGACCATTTTGATCAAATGGATGTTCTTTGGCGTATTCGAAAGCTTCTAATAAAGCTTGTTTGACATTTGCTAGGGATTCATCAGAGACTTGGTAATGGAAAGAAATTCTACCACCCATCAATTTAACATTATATTTCAAACCTTTCTTGACAAGGACGTCCGGGTTCATCTTAGCAGCTCTCAAATCAATGAAGACAAAGTTTGTATCAGCAGGAGATTCCAATGGAATACCTTTAACTTTGCAGAATGCGGCAAGATCATGAGCTAAAGCATGAGATCTTAATAAATCCGTTTTCCAATCACCATCAACATTGACAAGGGCCATACGAGAAATCATACCAGATTGTCTGATACCACCACCTTGTTGTTTTCTGAAATGGTTTGCTTTTCTAATGAATTTAGCGTTACCGACAAGGATAGAACCAATTGGAGCCCCCATTGATTTAGATAAACAAATAGAGATCGAATCAAATAATTCACCGAATTGTTTCAATGGAACTTTAGTTTCAGCAACTGCATTCCAGATTCTAGCACCATCACAATGTAATTTCATACCATTTTCCATACACCAAGCTTTAATTCTGACTAATTCCTCCAATGGATAAACAATACCATGTAGAGTATTTTCTAAAGAAAGAACTTTAGTTGGAGCACCATGAATATCACCATCATCTGGGACATAATGACTCTTGATATCTTCTAAAGTCAAATAGTTACCATTGGATGGAATTACTGGAACAACCATAGCTTGAGACAAAATGGCAAGACCAGCAGCTTCATGAGTGTAAACATGAGCTCTGTAATCACATAGGATGGAATAAGGTGGTTGATATAGATGAGTTCTTAAAGCAATTTGGTTAGACATAGTACCAGAGACACAAAATAGACCAGCTTCCTTACCAGCTAATCTAGCTACAGTTTGTTCTAATCTAGCAGTATCAACATCTTCACCGTAGACAGCGTCACCGACAGAAGCATTTAAAGCAGCTTTAATCATAGCCTCTGTAGGGGTAGTAAAGGTATCGGACCGTAAATCGTTAGCAGCAGAAATATATTCTGGTGGTAAATCCATAGTAGCAGTTTTTTCAGCAGTCATCTTGTAATTTCACAAATTTAAATTTAAAAATAAATCAAAACAGATAAAGACGTCAATGATATTAAATAGTTTAATAAAATTAAATGTTAATCACTTAATCGATTGTTTGATTGTTTGATTGTTATGTTTGATGGCTATAACAGAGAATGATACGAAAATAACAAGAAATAAAGGGAAATAAGAATAAATCCTCTGATGATAAGTAATTTTACCTTATATATATATATATAGACATATTCATATATATGTATTGGATTAATATATAAAATATTCAATATTGATCCAATGGTGAATGACAAATAGAAACAAGGTGTGGTATAGCTGAGTAAGTAAATATGACATAAGCAAGAAAATCAAAAGAAAAATGTCATCAGCGAAAGCGAGTGAGTAACACAGAGCGAGTGGGAAAAAAAAAGAAAATTTTTTTTGAAAAACTTATTTCTTCACTGAAAGGGCGTGGAAAGGTTTTATAAATTCTCATCGCCTTACTCATTTTAAGGACTCATTCAATCTAACAATGTGAGCATAATATCTTAACTCTCTTAATAAGTTAAAAGATGACCCATACTTGCATACATTAGTTTTTGCGCAAACAGATGAGCATTGAGCATATTGTTACAAGTGATGTGTGGGTGTAACATCTTGAAGTTTTATCTATATTATATATTAACTATTGTAAATACAGGACTAACGAAGGGAGCCCTTCGGTCTAATAACCAAGTGATAAATGAAAATCTGATTTTATCGATTCTTAGAATTGGTTGTGAGATACAGAAATGGAAGAATTTCAAGGTTAGAACCAGCATGCAGTTCCTTAGTATTAATACAATCCCTTTAAAATAGAGAACTGCATACTAATTGGTTAAATGAATACTTCAAATAGTCCTATCTCTCTTGTATTGGTACAATTATATAATAATCACTTTCACCGAACAGTTTAACCAGTTTGGGTTCCTACAAATAAGACATTTAGCAAGTAATACCCGCAAATCGATATCCCAAAACGGAAAGTGCCGTGGGCTTGAGGTGAAAATGTAACTTCGTGTGTTCAAAGCCCTATGCTTAGGGTTATCGCAAGAAGAAAACACACATATCATCTTGTACGTCAGCGGTGTGTTTAGGGCCTCTTTACGACTTAGTAAAATATATTGAAATTGTCAAACTGTATGAGTCGAGGAACAACATGCACTATTTACGACTGAAAACAATTTCACTTAGAAAAGGACAAACACAGTATACACATAGTTGATATATAAGAACAAAATCACGAGTTGAAAGATAAAGGGAAAATGCCACCTCCACCTCCGCCACCAAATAAGAATAACGATTTAAGACTCGAGTTTCTTAGAACAATTGCTGAAAAAAATGTTCTTTCAAAACCTCTAAGAAAAGCACAAATTGAACAAGCACAACTAGGTCAAACTCAAAAGGGGCCAAAAAAATCATATAGAAGACATAAAGGGGCTAGACAATTAATATCTGAAGAAACTAAAAGAATTAATGCTATTCTTGAACAAGAACAACAATTATATGACGAGGATAATTCATATGTTAGAAAGACTCCCAAAGTTACATTCTTCAATATATCCGCACCACCTTCAATGAAACCTACAAAAAATTACTGTGATATCACAGGTCTTAAAGGACCCTACAAATCGCCTACAAATAATGTCAGATATCATAATTCTGAAATATATCAATTCGTCGTAAAACCAATGGCACCCGGCGTAGATCAAGAGTATTTAAAATTGAGAGGTGCAAACTTCATATTGAAGTAATATCGACATGTTTTCCTTCCATTTTTATTGTTGTTTTTGCCATCTCTTCTGCTTAAAGAAATGAGATTTATATTGTATGGAAAGACACGCAACTATTGACAGGTATCTCGAATTTTTGGCTCTTGCATTTGTTTTCTCATTGATGTGTCTGGCACATCTCAACTTATATTCAAGAAGAAAAGTGTGCATGGCTGAAACTATAGCAATATTTTGCTACATTTAGATTAAGATAGGTTCGAGCCCCATATTTTCTACAGGATAATATGTTTACCTTGTTACCCAAATGAGACTGATAACCATGCCTCAGATGACATTGAACAATCATCTAGTCACATTGTTCAAGATGTTTATTCAATGTGTATATTGAGAGGTTGGATTATTACTTCATTTTAGCCTTTTAAAAGACAATGGCATATGTATATATGTATATATATTTAGCATCTTAACATATATAATCTAATATTCATATCCTCTGGTAACAAACGGCAATAGCACAGCAAATAAACCGCAGCGTTGAAAAAAAATTGCTGAAATTCTTAATTTCTAAAGAAATGAAAGATGAATAAAAATGTATTAGATCATAATTGAATCATAATGAAAAATTATATTTAAACGAAGACATATATACATAAAAATATATCAACTAAAGACAATCAGTACATATATTGCATCATTTCTACTACATTTAAATTTGCTATTGATTTTATCTAGAGGACCTATTTCTTTTGTTGCTATTTTTCTGTATATAAAAAGTGCATTTAATAAGCAGATATCCGCAACATTTTTCCTTTCTCTAAATAAATTAAAGAGGAATATATCGTCATTTTTGCATAATCTATTTCCCATATATGGTCTTATTGATATTATAATGCACTTCTTCACAGCTTGTACTATAGCCGCTTCTTTATGGCTCGCTTACAGGTTTTATAGACTCATGGCAATACCCATGTATAAGATAATATCTGATTTGAATATTCGAACACCACCGGCAATAAAGGCATCCGTTGACAGAATTACCAGTGATTCGATAACTGTTCATTGGGAAAATGAACCACTAGATAAAGGAACATCTCATATTTCCCATTTTATTCTATACATAAATAATATCCAATTAGCAATATTTCGCAACGATCCAAAGTTATTATATACGTGTTGTCTAATTACTGGATTGGAGCCCCATAAACAATATCAATTGGATTTTGTAACTACAAATGAATTGGGATTTGTTAATAAATTGCCATCATTATTTTGCATGACTAGATCAATAGCCAATGAAAATAAATTAGAAGATTCTACTGATTCATTAGAAAAACCTGTTGATTTAACTACCCCACAATTACCAGGAGATGATATTATTGGTTCACCTTCCGCAACAAAAACAAGAAAGTGGAGAAGAAATACAGTTTCTTCTATTAATCAAGTTGATACAAATTCAGATTCTCCAGTTTCCTCACATATTCCTTCGTATACTAATTTAACAAAATTACAAGATTTAGATAATTTTTCAATAGATGATTTGAAAAAAATTCTTATCTGTGCTCAAGAAGATTTACATGAAATTTTATCTCAACAAACTACAGCTATTCAAGATTTCCAAGAAAATAAGATAAATTTAGAACTTGAGTTAGAAAATTTAAAATCGCAATGGTCTCACGAAAATGATCTTAGAAAATCTATAAAATCTAATATTAAATCATTAGAAAATGCAAAATTGTTGTCAGATTTAAAATTCGAAAAGACAAACCAGAAAATTGATGCAATTAATTCAAAGATAGATAAAATGAAAAAGGACATCGAAAAATGGGAGAGTAGCGAAGTTGATAGTCTAAATGTTGATAAATTGAAGGAAACATACGATACATTGTTAAAGGAGACAAGTAAAGAAGTTACTTCCATGTCGAAGGAAGTTGACTCTTTACAACAAAACATAACTGAACAAGAGATCCGAAATAAGAAGTTAAATTCTCTCAAGAAATCGTCATCTTCTACAAATTTGGCAGATTACGCTAATAGTAATAACAATAATAATAACAACAGCAATAGCCAGCAAACTGGAAAGCCTGTTGACTCACATCAACAATCTGCTAAATTATTAAAGAAAATAAGCGAATGCATATCTGACAAGACTGGTATTCTTAATAACAGTGGTGAATACTATTTATCCAAGCTGAATCAAGATAGTCCTGTAGTTTTGTTAATAAAGGAACAACTACGGATTGACCAGGAGTTGGAGCAAAAATGGAGAACTAAGAAGATCAGACTGATTAAAAGGATTAAATTTTTAGAACATAAATTTAGTACCGCAAGTACAGAGAGTAGACAGTTAAAGGCTGGTGTTTTCGCAAGAACCTATCAACAACAAAACGATTCACCATCTGATTTCGTTCCAATTGTCCCAACTACCTCATACAATTCGTCGACTGTAAATGCTACGTACAGTAACTCCGATTTGAATGCATTGGCGTCAAATGATGCATCTAACCAATCTCCTCAGTATACAAACACATCTAATAATAGAGGAATAAATCCTTTGTTATCTGCATTCAATGTTCCGGTACCTAATGAAAATACAAGTCCCAGAATGTCAATGGATCATCCTATGAACGATGACTTTAATATGATAACCGTTTCACCAACAATAAATCAATCTCCATTTGTAAATCCTCTACAGGTTACGTCGGATAGTGCAGTTGATAATAACGACTCAATGAATGTACTTTCATCATTTGGTAGAGGAACGGCGACTACGGCGACTACCGATACTATAGCAGCACCAACTTTTCCATGGGGATCTCCTAATCAACAAACTCAATCAATTAAATATGCAAGCTCTTTACCTAAACAAGAGTATAATAATAATGGATTTGAATACAATGATACAAACCATTTGATTACCGGCCTGGAGAACATGATATATGATGAAAATGAAAATGCAGATAGGATTAGTAACTATTCAAAAATTTATACCAACGATCAATTGGATAATTATTGGACAAACCAAAAGGATACAAGTAACGGGTCAATTCTTCCATTAAGGAATACAAATAGTCTCGGGAATACAAGTGGCACCAGCACAGGTTTAGCGTTTGGCAATGATAGAGCTCAACTGGGGAATGCAGTTCCTGCCTACACAAATGAAATGAATGTCCCTGTTTCTTCATCACCATTGGCAACTCATGCCTCTGGTTTTATCAGTGATAGTCAGAACCCATCCTTAAATTTAATGCAGCCACAAAGTTTACTTGCTGCAACCTTAAGTGACCCTGCTACTATGTCACCGTTCCAAGATAATAATCTAACCATATCTCAGTCTGAATCGGCGTTTAGAAATACATTGAACAATGGTGGATCGGCCATGGACACCTTCTTATCTGGTGGACATCCCCTTTCACCTCATAACTCCCAATCCTTAGCAGGTGCAACTCAAGAATCAGAATTATTAAATTTTAGTCAGCAACCAGCTCAACCATTTTCTCCTCATATACTTATTGGTACCCCAAAGACAACTAATTTGGATAATGGATTTGGTCAATTAGTCCCTGAGAATAAAAATTCGATCGCAGAAGAAGGTTCTGATCAATCCAAACATGGTAATCATGATTCGGTTTTCCATTCACCTTCTTTCAATTTCATATGGCAAACGACAACTTCGCCATCTAAGAGCCATATTAATAAAAAGAATGGACAGTCACCAAACTTTTTGACTTCACCAACAAAACCTGAGGCCAAGAAAGAACATTCAATATCTTCCCCTACCAAATCTAAACGTAGTGATAGCAATCAAACCCATAAGAGGGACAAGAGTGCTGGTAGCATTTCAAGTTGGAGTAATAGACTTTCATTGAAGAGTCGTCAGTCAATTACATCTACAGTTGTTGAAGATAATGCTAGTGAAGATGACAAAAGTATTGATTCAGGTGCAGCTAATATGGCGCAACCGACAGGAAAGAAGACAGGATCTGGGTCGAGTGGAAGACGTATTACAAGACTTTTATCCAAGAGTGGTATGAACAACTTATTTAACTTACCGGGTCATGAACCGCAACAACCAACATCTTCTATGTAATTAATAATATATAGCATTTAATATATCTGCATGATTTAATCTTCTTCAATAATTAAGGCTATTTGTTAGTGTTCTTATTATAGCATACATTCTGGAGGAATTCCAATATATAGAAAAAATTATCATGTATTGACAAAATGCACGACGATTACGTGCAAATTTTTATTTTTTTTTTTTCATTGTTTGTTGCAAGAACTGACGCGCATCTGCTAATTCATTAATACTTGTGAATATTCTCAGCTTGAACCTTTACATATAAGTATGAGATATACCTAGAGTTCACTTCATAAAGGTTCAATATTTCGAACTTTCTGACGGTAAATTTTCAACTAAGTTAGGAAAAATATAGTATAGACGAAAATAACCAACAATAAGATGGCTCCATTAGTTAGAAACTACCGATTCTTGATCGGTGCGTTTGCCGTGATGATGTTATTTTTTCTGATCAAGACATCTACCACAGCTGGCCCCTCTATGGATATTGCTAGGAATGTTGCTGGTACTGTTAATCGTCCAGAAACACCTCCAGATGTTTCAACTTTACCAGTTTCGAATAATCCAGGATATATTTCTGATCCAAAGACAGATAATACTAACTCAGAAGTTGCTGATGCAGTCAAGTCTCAAACCGAACAAGCTGCAAATACTGCTAGTAAAGGTTCTACTAAATGTGGTAAGGATCACCAATATGTTGTAATGATTGATGCTGGTTCATCAGGTTCCAGAGTTCACGTTTATGAATTTGATGTATGTTCTCAACCACCTGCTTTAATAGATGAGACTTTCGAGATGTTAAAACCTGGTTTATCCTCATTTGAAAATGATCCAGTTGGAGCTGCTAAATCTTTAGATCCATTATTAGAGATTGCTTTGAAAGCTGTTCCTGAATCAAAGAGAAGTTGCACACCAGTTGCAGTTAAAGCTACAGCCGGTCTTAGAAAATTAGGTGAAGCCGCAAGTATTAAGATTTTAGATCAAGTTAGAGTTCATTTAGAGACTAATTATCCATTTGCTGTTGTTGATGGTGATGGTGTTTCTATTATGGATGGTGCTGAAGAAGGTGTATACGCATGGATTACAGTAAATTATTTATTAGGTAATATTGGTAATAGCGAAAAATTAGATACTAGTGCTGTATTTGATTTAGGTGGTGGTTCAACTCAAATTGTATTTGAACCAACATTTGCGTCAAATGAAAAGATGGTTGATGGTGAATATAAATACGATTTATCCTTTGGTGGCCATGATTATACATTATATCAATTTTCTCATCTTGGTTATGGTTTAAATGAAGGTAGAAATAAAATTAATAGTTTATTAGTTTTAGATGCAATTAAAAAGGGTAAAATTATTCAAGGTGATAAATCTACCATTTTTGAATTAACATCACCATGTTTACCACCAAATATTACAAATGAAAAAGTTAAAGTTGTATTAGATGATAAATCAGCTTATTTTGTTACATTTAGTGGTCCAAAAGTTGCAGCTGGTGCTCAATGTAGATATTTAGCAGATCAAGCCTTACATAAAGATGCTGCATGTACTCAACCACCATGTTCATTTAATGGTGTTCATCAACCATCATTGGTTCGTACTTTCAAAGAGACTAATGATCTTTATATGTTTTCATTTTTTTATGATAAGACACATTCTTTAGGTATGCCATTATCCTTTACATTAAATGAAATGATGGATTTAACAAGAATGGTTTGTAATGGTGAAGAAGTTTGGGAGAGTGTCTTTAGTAACATTGGTGATTCTTTACAAACTTTAAAAGATAATCCAAATTTCTGTCAAGATTTATCTTTTGAAGTTTCATTATTACATACAGGTTATGATATTCCATTACATAGAGAATTAAAAACTGGAGAAGATATTGATGGCAATCAACTTGGTTGGTGCCTAGGTGCATCTTTACCATTATTAGAAAGCGATAACTGGAAATGTGGTGTCTCCAAGGTTCAATAAATGGATAAATAGATAAATAAATTACTATTCTCGATTTTTGTATGTAAAATATAAGTTAATGTACAGACTTTAAAAAACTATTACTATTAGCATTATGTCATAAATAAATAAAGAACTAGACACATATTTTTGACATCCAAATTCGAGTAAGATCAATACAATATGAAATGGGCTTATAAATCACGAGCTATTATGTAATATCACAACATACGGCCCGCGTTCACCTTTTCCCCCCGTTCCAACCAAAAAAACCTGAAGGCAGTGAAAGCCACGGCGGTAGCGTGAGCCACGGCAAAAATTTGTGTTTTTGTCCCGTCACGGAGAGGGAGAGAGAGCGGGATGAAAAATCACGGTGTAATTATGCGTGCGGTGTGCGTGGAAGGGAGAGCAATTTGTTTAGTGAGAGAATAATACTGTTTGAGATGAAAATGATGGGTTTTCACTGCATGGTGTGGGTTGTCCTATTACCTGGAAGTTAAGTTTGGGTGGGTGGTGATGGGACATATTTCAAAAAAAGGGTAAAAAGAGAGAAGACCATATAACTAAGAAAAAGTAAAAAAAAAAGATAGGTGAATAGATTTCTACTCAACAGAATTTTTCAAATTTAATTCATTTAGTAATCACTGAATTTTAATACAATCTTATATATATATATATGTACATATTCATATATATACTGGTTTACCATAATTAAGTGAAGTAGAAGTTGAGTTAATTATATTTAGTATCAGTGAGCAAATAGGAATACTAGTACGATATATTAAAAAAGAAATATTAGGCTGTTTGGTTGTTTGTTTTTAGGAATCGTTAGAAAATGTTAAAGTCTCAGTTAGATGAACCTCAGGATATAGATGATATTTCATCTTCCCTTTCTAATACAACTATTAGTGGCAGACATAGTATAGGGATAGATTCTTCAAGCTCTGCTACATCATCATCAAAGTCTGATAGAAGTAAAAACGATCGTTATAAATATGATAGAGTTGAAACTTTAAATTTATTAAAAACTGCAAGTTGTCATATAAATAAATCTGCTCCAACATTTCATTTAGGAAATGACGGTATTGAAGTGGTTGATGAAGAAATAGCTAATCAAAAAGCTTTATCAAATATTGCTTCTGCAAAGGATATGATTAGAAGACTATCCTCATCTAATACTACTAAGAATAATAATAACAATAATGATACTACATCTGAACAAAGTTTAAAATCAAGTAAAAGTCATTATGAATTTGCGTCTACTGCTTATGGTGTTAGAATGTTAAGTAAAGATATTTCTAATGCTAGAGTGAATTTAAATGTTGAAAATTTAATTTTGGTAACAAAATTAAATGATATATCTTTAGTATTTTTAACAAGAGAATTAGTTGAATGGTTATTAAAAACTTATCCAACAATGACAGTTTATGTTGAAGATGTATTTAAATCATCCGAAAGATTTGCTGCTACTGAATTATGTATGGATTCAAAATGTAAACAATCAAGAATTAAATATTGGAATGCAGAATTTGTTAAACAACATGATATTTTTTTCGATCTTTGTATTACATTAGGTGGAGATGGTACTGTGTTATTTGTTTCTTCATTATTTCAAAAACATGTACCACCAACTATTTCATTTTCTTTAGGTTCATTAGGTTTCTTAACAAATTTCGATTTTGAAGATTTTAAATCAGATTTACCTATAGTATTAAAGGATAAAGTACGGACAAATTTAAGAATGAGACTACAGTGTAAAGTTTATCGTAGACATGAACCTGAAATAGATCCAGTAACTGGGAAAAAAATTTGTTACGTTGAATTTGTTAGTGAACATCATATATTAAATGAAATTACAATTGATAGAGGCCCAAGTCCATTTTTATCAATGTTAGAATTATATGGTGATGGTTCATTGTTAACGGTAGCTCAAGCAGATGGTTTAATTGTGGCAACACCAACAGGTTCTACCGCATATTCATTAAGTGCAGGTGGTTCTCTTGTATACCCAACTGTTAATGCAATTTCAGTAACTCCAATTTGTCCTCATACTTTAAGTTTTAGACCAATTATATTACCTGAAAGTATGACATTAAAGATTAAAGTATCTCCAAAGGCTCGTGGTGGTGCTTGGGTTGCATTTGATGGTAAAAGTAGAGTCGAATTACAAAGAGGTGATTTCGTTACGGTATCATCAAGTCCTTATGTATTTCCAACTGTTGAAGCCTCTTCAACAGAATTTATTGATAGTATCAGTAGATCTTTAAATTGGAATATTAGAGAAGAACAAAAATCTTTTACTCATATGTTATCCACAAAGAATAGAGAAAAATTCAATAATGAATTATGCAATCGCAGTGATAGTAGTGAGGAAGAATATATTGTCGAGAAAAGACTTACACCAAAATTAAAGGATAATACTATCAATATGGGTGGTACTATTTATGGAAATAATAATGAGAATGATGACGATGATGATGCTGAGAGTGTGGCAGCAGATGAAATTAGAGTAATACGAAAGAACTCTATTGCAACACAAGGTAGTCAGGATTTAGACGGTACTAACGATAATTATATTGGTTCTGCAATTCCACTCTAAATCTCTGCACATCATATATTCAACGATACAAGACTACGGTAATTACTCCTATTATTATCATCGTACGTTATTTTTCTTACTTTTTTTTTAAATGTACATACATGCAATCATGTAGATATATAGAAACTTCAAGAATAAAAATTAATGAATTAAATATCCCAAATAGGTTTAATAATAAAAATAGCATATAACATAATTTACGTCTGTAGGAAAAGTTTGGGAAGATATAGCGATTTACAACTAATTGTACATAGACATCTTATTTTTATCGTCACAAATGGTTGTTATGGTTAACATTTTTATGTCGTTTCCTGTTATGGGTAAAGAAAGTTGAAAGTATACCTCTAATCTTCTTTCAATTGTATAATACTTTTCCTAATAGGGTATTCAAAAATTTCGCGTTAGTTCTTAAACTGAAATATGATCAGCACATTTTGACCTTAAAGTTAATGATTGTTGGTGACACTATTGTTATCGTTGAGAAGTAAGAAATTGTAGTTAGCAAACGTGTACTTTGTTAACTTATTTTCTTCTTTACTGCTAATTATAGGAGAAGCACAATTCGCACTTTGAAATTATTTTGTTTCAGAAAACTCCGTAGAGCCCGAATTGTAGTTCCAAATATATCCCTTTTGGGAAACTGCTATCTATTTCGGGCATTGTAATTACGTTTATTTTCGGTTTTTTCGTGCTTCTCGAGAAACAGGCCAGAGACCACCACCTCAATAACGCGAAAAGTTCAGCCCTCGAGAAGCAAAGTAAGCGCCAAAAGAAGTAAAACCTAAAGGGCTTGTTCTATTGGAACTGTAATGGAACGGTAATCTGTTTTATATTGAGGCACAGATTGCATCTTTAATACTCGATATGGTTACAATTAGATACTTTACGTGATTTTATGATCGATAGAAAAAAACTATATAAACTGGAATAATCTTGATAATATTTTGTTTTTTTTATTTCTTTCAATTTGAAAAATCTATAAATAACTTTCATATTTAATATAACAATATAAATCACGAAAAGAAAATCATACATTATAACTACACATAATGCGATTCATAACAAGTATTCTTTGTTTGATTGCTACTACAGCTCAAGTTATTGCTGCTGCTGAAGTTTACACATGTAATGCTACTGTTTCCTGTCCTGAAGAATATCCATGTTGTTCCCAATACGGTCAATGTGGGACTGGTGAATACTGTCTTTCTAACTGTAACCCAATTTTCTCCTACGAATACGATGCCTGTCTACCTGAACCTGTTTGCAAGGATATCTCTACCAAATTTGACAATTATACTTCTAAGGTTGCTAACATTAATACCTTCCTAGGTAACGCTAGTGAAGCTGACTGGTTATACACTGGTACCGTTTTAGATTACGATGATGAAGGATCCATGATTCTAGCTATGCCAAAGAACTCCGGTGGTACTGTCTTAACCTCTTCTAGAGATGTTTGGTATGGTAAGATCAGTGCTCGTTTAAAGTCATCTCATTTGGCTGGTGTTATTACCGCTTTCATTGTCTTCTCTGGTGTTCAAGATGAGTTGGATTTCGAATGGGTTGGTGCTGATTTAAACACTGTTCAAACTAATTATTACTGGCAAGGTCTTCTAGATTATCACAATAGTGCTAACATTTCCACTAATGACACATTTGATAATTATCACACTTATGAAATTGACTGGCATGAAGATTATACCACTTGGTCCATCGATGGTGTTATTGGTAGAACTTTACTAAGGAATGAAACTTGGAATGAAACTTTACAAGCTTATAAATATCCTCAAACTCCATCTAGAATTCATTTATCTATCTGGCCAGGTGGTAACGCTACCAATGCTCCAGGTACAATCGCTTGGGCTGGTGGTGAAATTGATTGGGATGCAGACGATATTACTGATCCAGGTTATTATTACGCTATTGTTAATGAAATTAATGTTACTTGTTACGATGCCCCAAGTGGTACCTCTCAAAATGGTACTGAATCTTACATTTATAAGAACGGTGATACTTTCCTACAAAGTGACGTTATGATTTCCAACAAAAGATTCTACTTGGATTCTTATGAAGGTACTGGTCTAAACATTACTGCCGGTGCTACAACAAGCTCCACTGCATCTTCTTCCTCAGCTACATCTAGTACATCCCATAATTCTACCTCAAAAGAATCTAGTACATCACACGATTCTTCTACCAGCGTGACCTCTTCAGCCTATCACAATTCCTCTTCTACAGGCCATTCTACAGCTTCTATTACTTCTGTAAGTAAGAGTTCTTCTCACAGTTCCTCTGGTGCTTCAAGGACCAGTTCTTCTAACACCTCTTCTAGACTTTCATCTGCCAATTCTGGTTCATTAATGTCGTTTAACAACATTATCCTTTTCTTCAGTGCATTGGGACTTTTACTATAGACTCTCATCTCATTTTAACTTAGATCACAATTTGATATCTGACGATATCTAATCATAAATATTCCATCATAATACCTAATCTCGTATATATGCATATATACTGTATATTATTCATAAAATAAAGTAAAAAAATAAAAGAAAATTTAAATAAAAATTTATTAAGTTATAGAATATGCATAAGGGAAATGTTAATGAAAATTTAAATAGAGATATGGATCAACCACATCATACTTTAAGTTTTTAATTGATTTGTAAGAGGGAAGTTCGGTAATGTTTATTGATACTATCGATTGATATTGTTACTTATTTAGAAGCATCCTTCATATAAGCAATAATATCCTTTCTATCCTTCTCCTTTCTTAAACCACCAAATGCCATCTTCGTACCAGGTATGTACTTCTTAGGGTTTGTTAGATAATCAGACATTGTTTGCTCATTCCATTCAACATTCTTTTGAATATTAGCGTCGGTGTAAGAATAACCTTCCGCCTTACCTGAGTGACGACCAAAAATACCATGTAAGTTTGGACCAACTTTATGTGGTTCACCTTCACCGATGGTGTGGCATTGCAGACATCTTGTCTTAAATAAGGTGGAACCTTTCTTTGCGTTACCTGGACCAGTAGATTTTTCAGCAGCCATTATGTGTTTGTATTTATATATGTACAGTTATTTTATTTTCTTGTTAATTCTTAATGAATTTAATAAGCTATTTAGATTCTATAATTATAACAACAAAAATATATGGTATTACAACAACTAAATGCTTCAAGAAAAGAAAATCTATCTGTAAGGATTGCTCAACTCTCTTTATATATTAATCAGTTAAATAAGGGGTCTATGAGGAATTTTGTTATTTATATCCTCATCGAAGAAATTAATTACCTCCTCACATAGAAGTTAAGAGAGTAGCGTTAAATCCATCTATTCTGGATTATTAAAATACTATTTGACCACATTAGTAATAATTTATTTTCAGTTTCACAGAAAGCAAGGGGTTAAAAATAATCATATTAGCACTATCAAGAGATGAGTAAAATAATATCTATAAGAAATATTTCTATCGGGTACTATTGACTGTGGAATGAGGAGACTGCATAGAAAGATGAATACCAAAGAGGAGAAACACCATTATCCTTTGTCACATTTATAACCATTAGAATGAGAGGCACGAAAAAACAAGTTTTCCTTAAGGAAACGTACAAGGGAAGATACAGAAGCTAATGGACTTAGACCAAAGTTCCTTCGACTATTTGACTACCTGATTCACTATGGGAGTTGTTTATTAACCAAAAAAACATAAATGCTTACATATCTTTGTTAGTGCCTTCGAGAGGTTGTATTTATTTATTCTTCTAAGACATTCCCGCACAGAGCAAATGACAGAGTGAGACAATATGGAAATCAGGAGAAACAAAATTTCAAAATTTCAAAATGTGCGCAAAGATTTGAAAAATTTAGCTGCGAGGGGCCAAACTGAAGAAGCCAAAAGTAAAACAATAATAATATGTTTGTTGAAGGCATCGATCGATAAAAGTAACGGTTGGTTGATGATTCTCTCTCTATTTACTCTACAAACCGATATTTACAGTTTAGTTTGTGACAGTGTGAATATCGGTGTTCAAAGTTTGTCACTTTCTCAATATTAGGTAAGGTTTCTTTTGGTGTTAAGAAGAAATGAATTACAGTGCATTGGTCTTAGATATTGAAGGTACAGTATGTCCGATATCCTTCGTTAAGGATGCTCTATTCCCCTATTTTGTGGAAAAAGTTCCAGTAATAGTACAAAATATTGAACAGCAAAGTAAGGTAATTAGGGATATCATATCTCAATTTAATATAGATGATAAAGATGCGCTTACGAAACATATACTTGATTTAGTCGCTGCAGATATTAAGGATCCAATCCTAAAACAATTACAAGGTTACATATGGGCCGAAGGTTATAGTTCTGGAGAGATTAAAGCTCCAGTATATCCTGATGCAGTCGCTTTAATTAGGAGGCATGATAATGTGTATATATACTCTAGTGGTTCCGTTAAAGCTCAAAAATTATTGTTTGGTCATGTGGCTGACTCCGATGGGAAATCAATAAATATGAATGGCGAAATCAAAGGATATTTTGATATTAATACTTCAGGTGCTAAAGTTGATGCTTCATCTTATACAAATATCTTAAAAGATATTAAGATGGAAAAGACACCTGAGAAAGTCTTATTTCTCAGTGATAATCCAAAAGAACTTGATGCCGCCAAGAAAGCTGGTCTAATTACCGGTCTAGCTATTAGAGATGGTAATGCGCCTGTTCCAAATATTGATGAATATATCAGTTATAAAGATTATTCAACTTTATAAAAAAACAAGTATTAGTCCTATATATATGTATGTGTGTATAGACTCCTCTCGTTTATCGTACTTTTCTGTAGTGCTAATTCTCCAATGTTGCTTGAATATATCTATTGTTACATATTAGACTATAGTGCCCATGATGAGTTAGTATTACAGGAAGTCTAAATATACTTTACGTATGTTTATTTTTGCAAAAAAAGAAAAAAAGAAAAGGGAAAAGGGGGACAAAAAATTTATACATTTAAAACTTTTATTATTAATATTATAGTTGATGTTGCTTATGATGTTGTTAATATGTTAATTAAATGAGCGAACATGAGAAATGGGAACAAGAAAACAAATAACAGATTAATTCTTCTTCATTAATGTTTTTTTTTTCTAATTATCTATTCTTGATAATCAGTGAATAACATGTTAGCTGCAATCTCTTCATTCTTGTCGCATGCGAAATATACTTGGATAACCAATGTACGTTCAAAACCTAGTTCGCATAAACGAGAGACAGCTTGTTCATCTTCTTCGGACATTTCTAAGTTAAATGGAGGAGCTTGTTCGGCACCTTCGATTTGACCTTCAGTTTGTGCAGTACCTAAATCACTATCTTCTAAATTAGCAATATCTTGCAAATTATCTCCAACAGCTTCTAGTAACATTGAAATGAAGACTTCTGGGTTAGCCATTATTTGTTCACGTAATTGAGGATATCTTGTACATAAATTTTCTAGCAATGGGGCCAATGCTTCTGGATTACCTGAGACAACTTCTCTTAAAGAAAGAAGATCTTCACCTGTAAGACCGATTGAACTTTGACCGCCATTTGGACCTGCAACTGCACCTGGACCACCAATACCACTTGAACCTACACCACCTGTAGCGGCAGAAGCACTACTAGCACCATTTCCCGAACCTTGAGCTGCTTGAGCGAAAAGATCATCTTCTGCATTATCATCATTTGTTTCATCCATTGCGGTAGATTCAGCTTGAACTTCAGTAGTTGAAGCATTAGTCTCTGTAGATTGTTGTGGTTGAGTATCACGTTGTAAATTTTCAGGGATACCCATTAAAAGATATTCCACAGCTCTATCTGGATTGTTAAAGGCAGCTCTTAATGCTCTTTCGACTTGATCTCTTTCGTAACCCATTTCCATTATTCTTTCTATAGTTTCATTTCTTTGAGTTCCAACAACAAATCCTGTAGATGAAGCATTTTCGTCAGTAACAGCTTCTGTACCAGTAGTACCAACTGCAGGAGTCGCATTGGCATTTTCTGCTACTGGAGTATTCTCTACATCTGCAGTAGTAGTATTCGTCTGTGTAACAGGAGCTTCACTGGTATTAACAGTGGTAGCGGCAGGTGCTTCAGTAACTTTTGTAATTGTAGATTTTTTCTTTGAGATCATCATAATAACTTGATCACCATCTTTTAAGCCAGATTCATTTAAAGATTTAGTATCTTGTAAAACTTTCCCAGAAAAGATTAATTTGATTTGTTCAGAGTCGCATGATTGATTTTGTGCTAATTCATTTTTAGCTTCGAGAACAGTTAATGAAAGATCTAAATTTAGAGTCACTTTTTCTTTTTTAAAATTTTTAAATGTAATGCTAACCATGTTGTATGTGTGTGTATGTATGTATGTATATATGTATAATGAAGGATGACTTATTCTCTTAATGGATACAGATCAGACAATTAAATTAATGGAAATTTTTTTTTTTTCACTATTGATCCAAATAAAAATAGTAATACTAGTAAAATGAAAATGATATAAAGGAACAGACGACGCTGCAAAAGATTATTGACTAATGATTACCTTTATTTGAGAGATGAAAATGTAAATACATAACCAAGAATCAGTTTACGTTTCTTATTAGATCACTATTTTCAAGAATATCATATTTGACACCTTGCAGCAAAGCAATTTAGTCTCTATTCCGTAAAGCTAAACTTGCCTCAGAGTTCTCACACACTCATAATAATAATATCTATCTGTGTATACACTTTTTTTTTCATTTGTTAAACAGAAAACGGGCAAAATGAAAAAATTAATTTTTTTTGCCACTGTAAACAGTTACCCGGAATAAAAATAGAGAGAATAATAGGCAGTTGTTCGTACTAAGTGATGCATATATCTATAATATTATTGAGAATGTTATGTGAAAGGAATAGTGTTAAATATGGATTTGATCTTCAGTTGGTTAGACAATAAACTTCTATATAGATATAGGCTGTTTAATCTTAAGTAGAGTTCCTTCATTTGAAAAATTTGACGTGATTTCCACATAGGATTGCTGTTAATTTGGGTTTAATTGACGCGTGGATTCTTCCTAATACAATCTTGATATGGAAGAAAAACATGTATAGATATATAGCGGGAGAGAAACAAAGATAGCTAGATGATTTTATTGAGAAAAGAGGGAATGGGTATTCTAAACAGAGGAAATGGTGAGTAATAAACCTCCATCACTTCAATCTCCTGAATTTCTGGAATATTCCTGAATTTGCAAGTATAGGAATGATGCTGAAAGAGAAGTACGGATTAGAAATTTTTGCAGTATTCTTTTACGAAACGCAATTTATAATTATGAAATAACAAAAAGGAAGAATTCAGTAAAAATTGAGCATTTGCTTAATGTTCAAGCTTTTTTGAAGAGCACTTCGCTTCATGAAAGAGATACTTTAAAAGAAAGAGTCCTTTTTGTTTGAAAATAAGAATGCTACTTTGAAGGAATCTTAACATGAAATTGAAAGAGATTATTGTGCTGTATTAGAAGAATATGATGCCTTAGAGACTGGAAAGAATTCTTTAGCTATTAAAAAGAACAGCTTTGGAAGATAAAATAAAGTTACGAGCCGTACGTAGAAAGAAATGTGTCATGAAAAGGGTTTTCAATTGCGTCGCCATGTTAGAAAACTAAAATGTTTCCTATAAACGATATTGATAGCTCAGTTACAGAACTAACCAAAGATATACATTAACTTTTATCCCAATCTCCGATTCCACTAGCGTTGATTGTTCTGTTCGGTTGGTCATTCTAATTATTGTAATTTACTAACCTACCAGAACTATGAATTGGTTTGTAAATTCTGCAAAACCAGGCGGTACATTATCAAAATCACAGCAAGTGTAAGCGCCTTTGATAGTGGTATGCATCAATGTTAATTAGAAGATCTTAAAATTACAGATTTATGCCACGGTGCTACAACATCTGTCACCGATAGTATAGACGAATTTATCAGATTGTTAAATGGAAATATTGAACTTATTATTCCGTTCACCGTGATATTTCTAAAAAGATGCGACTCAGGAAGATTGTATGAAGCTTTATTGGCTGTTCTTACTTATAATAAAGGGGAACCGACATTAAATGAGAATGCAAAAACAGGTTCCGTAACACTAAGAATGAGAGATTTGATCATTACTGTCCTTCTAGACATTTTGAATTGTAAGGAGAAATGTGGGAATCTGCATGTTTTAACTACAGGAAGGTTGCGTGTCTAATTGAAAAACTATATCATGTTTAAAAGTAATTGGTACAAAAACCTAGGAGAGCAATTTCTAACTCTTTAAGTTAAAGTGGCATGATTCAAACTAGTAATCAGAAAAGAAGATACTACCGTTGTTAATGATGGTAAAGTGGGTTAGAGTTCTTTACGGGAATATTCAAACTTGAGAAAAGCTTTTAAAATCATCCGGAAATATTGAATTTTAGGGTATATGTGTAGTGCCAAACAGTATTATTGTTGAAGAAGACGAAAATGACAGCTGAGATAAAAAGGGTACGAATATATTATCCTCCTAGATAAATTTCATGTATTAGACAGACCCCTTGACACTAACTTATAATTCAAGAGTTTAATACTGGTGTCACACTATTTATTCTTCTCGTAAAGATATTGATTTTTCCTCATGCAGTAAGCATACTACATAATGAGAAGTATAAGAAAGCAGCTAATATAAATACAATCGACATCAATAGATTTCATGTACTTCTAACTCAATTTTCCAAACCATTAGTTACTCTAATTCATGTTTAAATTATTATTTCATGATCAAACTTGTTTCTCATGTCCTAAGTAGATCAAAGTATGTACCGTGGTATAGTATATAAATAGCATTTTTACCAATTGTGAAATAAGCGTCAAGAAATAAACCATATATAAGTAACTCACTCTTCTCTCTTCAGTAAGCGCTTTCCTAAAAAGGAAATTGCATACGGGACGACAGTTTTAGCTGTTGATTGGAAATTTTTACGCGACATCATTTTATACGTGAACAGAACTAATCTCATTACCGAACTCCCAAAAAAGATGTACCTTGTCGTGTATAACGGTCGATAACTTCTCTCTGTTTTTGTTTTGGTACATAACCTAAGCGACACCATATATCGGTGTTTTCTGTTCTCAAACAGTATTTTAAGCGTAGAAATGAAAACTGTATATATGAATTTGGTAAGGAAAGAAAGTTATCGGTAATCACAGACATAACCATGCAGAGATTTTGGTTAGAGTGGTTGTGCGCCTTTTTTCCTTTGTGAGGAGAAAGGGAAACAAAATGTGGGACATTCCATTACGCGAGTATTACTTCGGAGGGACTAAGAAAATACAATAAAAGCGATAAATTTACCAAACAAACATTTTTCTTCTTCTCTCTGTTCGCGTAAGGGTTATTGAAAATTGACTAGGGTTTCTTTTAAAAATATCTGAAGCCCTACCTAACAAACCAGATTAGCCCTACATTAGGGTAGGAAGTGACACTATTAAAGAAAATTACAACCCTAATCCTTAACAGTGTCAGCAATACTAAAAACCTTGCATAGTAAAATATTTAACCCTACGAGGGTAAGGCTTACGTACAGTACTGTCTAACAAATATATATTATAATTGACAAGACTTTGTTTTCTGGTATATGCATATATTTTTTTACGTTAATATGTATGACGTTGCCTGTCATAATAATGTTGGGGGATGAGAAAATAGTCAGTCAGTACCGTATTACGATGGTTTTTGAAATCCCGTTTAACAGATGGTACTCTTGTTACTATAGTTTATAAGAACAGTTTTGGTTTTATACGTATATATGTTATTATGTTCACTCTTTCTCTTTCTTGTACACAGTATCTTCTTAGTAAGTTTCCATCTTAAAGAGGCATAATAAAGCAGTATTGGAAAAGTTTAAGGGATCAACCTTGCTTTTTTTTACACTCTCTACTGTTCTTCTCTCCCTTTTAACTTTTAATATGGTTTTGATAATAATATTAAAGGTATCAATCAATTGATAACAATTAATATTTATTATAAATATTTTTTTTTTTCCTTTTATCAAAGTACTAGCTACGACAAGAAGAAGGAAGTCTGTCAGTAAGGTTATTTCTTTGTACATACGTATCTCTTGAGAAATAGAAGAAATATATATGTGTGTAGTCTATTATATTCTTGTATTTCTTCTTAATTAAAACAAAATCTATCGTTTTTGAAGAAAGCTTGGTCCTGTTCAGTGGTTATCGTCTGTTTTTCCCAAATACTTTTATCCGAGACGTAAAATGAATGTTAAAGGGGGTATGGGAAAATACAATAGATACATGTTATTCAAGTTAATAATACATTTTTATGTTATTTTTTTTGAAATTCTAGTTCAAATGTTTTATTTACCTAATAAGTTAGCTTTCTTCCATATATATAAGACCTTAATAAATATACCTTTTTTACTTTTTTTTTCTTTGATCTTAATTCCTTTTCCCCTTTTCTACCCTTTCACTACCAGTATTTATATTTCTTACCGTTTTAATTTTTCTTTTGTCTTATCTTCCTTTAAACGGTTCCGTATTTCATTCCATTAATATAACAAGATTTCTATGTATATATGGGTGTGTCACATATATTTACACCCTGCCAAACCCTTTAGGGCTTGTGAGCAAACCCTACCCCAGAACCCTAAAAAAAACAATCGTTTGCCCAACCACATTTCATCCCACGGAAAATTGTCGGTTTTACTAGAAAAACCCAATCACATAATTTATTCATTTAACTGCGCTGCGAATCCTAAAAAAAACAATTACCACATACAAAAATAAGAACGAGTCTCTTTTCTTTTAAATTTATTTACCACCCCGTTAAATCTCCTTCTTGCTCTGTACGGGTTTTGTTTGGTAAGACAGCCACACTCCGCAAAATACATACTTAACACACCACACCGCCTTTTCCACTCTATCCCTTTAGCTCTGTCTCTCTTTTTTTAACCGTACAAAATTACCAGGAAATATGTATGTAGCCTGCACTATTTCTCTGTCACGGCAATCTATCGCTCTAAAAAATTAAAAAAAAAAAATGAAATTAAATTAAATAAGGATAGAAAAAAAATGATTTGTTTGGTGTTTTCTCTTGTTAACAATCTCCGTAGTGCGTAGATATATCGTAACGTTCTCATCATCATCCCCTTTCTTAATCCCATTAAATTTCAATCATTTCAATTTTTTTTTCTTTTACAGTGCGCCCTTCCCTTTTTCTAACGTAAACTGTAAGAGAGAGAGAAAACCATTTTGTTTTTTTCTGATATTCTACGTGTAATTAAACAATTTATCGCTTCATCTCATATCTCACTACGGTAATTTTACAGAAAGAGATGAGACAACAAAATATAAATTTGTCTTAAAGCGATATAATGGAATTAAATTTGTTTGTTTTTTGCTTCTTTACTGTGCGTTTAGGGATAAACAGAGCGGAAAAAAAAATAACGTTTTTTACGCTGAATAATAATAATAATAATAATAGTAATATTGAATAATAATAATAGACGTCTTAGAGGGAAACCTTTTCACATAATATTTACCAATTAATTTAGTATGAATTTCCTAATCTCCCTAAAAAAATTTTCGTTCGTCGTCGATGGAGTGGAATTTTTCTTATTCCTTTTTTTTCTTTGATTTCTGGTCAATTGTATTGATGGAACTGAAAAAAAAAAAGCTATAAAGGGTACATGAAATTGGTGATATTATAAAACTTTTCATTTTCTTCTTTCCCTTTTTTTATATTATTAATTAATTTTTATATTTATTCATTTATTATTATTCCTAATATAACCAATCAGGAACAAATTAATCCAATTCACACTACATACATAAAACACATATATCAATAATGTCTGACGACGAACAACACACTTTTGAAACCGCCGATGCTGGTTCTTCCGCTACCTTCCCAATGCAATGTTCTGCTCTAAGAAAGAATGGTTTCGTTGTTATTAAAGGTAGACCATGTAAGATTGTCGATATGTCTACTTCTAAGACTGGTAAGCACGGTCACGCTAAAGTCCATTTAGTCGCTATTGATATCTTTACTCAAAAGAAATTAGAAGATTTATCTCCATCTACTCACAACATGGAAGTTCCAGTTGTCAAGAGAACTGAATTCCAATTGTTGGATATTGATGATGGTTTCTTGTCCCTAATGACCATGGACGGTGAAACTAAGGATGATGTTAGATCTCCAGAAGGTGAATTAGGTGAAACTATGCAAGCTGCTTTCGATGAAGGTAAGGACTTGATGGTCACCATTATCTCCGCTATGGGTGAAGAAGCTGCTATTTCTTTCAAGGAAACTGCTAGAGGTGATTAGAGATTGTTTTGAAAAAAAATAACTTTAAATGAAATTGGAGAATGAAAAATTGTTAAGTTTTTCTTTCTTCTGTTGTCATTTTCTTTCTTTTTTATTCATTTTAATCTTCTTTTTAAATTCTGATTTAATTTTTATTTGTTTTTTAAAAAGAAAAAAAACAATTGCATCTATTTATATTTAAAGGTAAAAAATGGATTCACTTCTAACTTCCCCTGAATTCAAATATCTTAAATGATTATATTTTTCAATATTTATCATTACGCATTTATATATAATTATATTTAAACTTATTTAAAGTTAACACAAGAAATAATAATATTACTTTTTTATTATCAATATTTAGTTTTTGCATTTTTTTTTTAGTTTTAGTAACAATTCCATAACGTCTAGCTATCAGCAACTGAATAAACAAAAAAACGAAAGTGATATAAAAAATAAAAATGAAAAATAGGTTATACACTGAAAGAGAATTAATTGCAAATTATATAATCTTTTGCTAAACAACAAGAGTTTAACAAGACTGCACTACTTTCTTCAATGTGAAGACATTACCAATGCACTTCCCCGCTCTCTTGCCAAACATCAACGAAATAATCACCACGATTAATTCCTTACATAAGTTCCCCTCTGTTTCAACTACTTATACACACCCAAGAACCCACCCTCCTGTTTTATATCCGAATCATTTAATAGTATTATAGATCTGTAGATATTCTCACTTCATAATATTCTGTTTCTCTCTCTTCAATGAATTGAATACTTTCCATTGCAAGTAAGCTTATATATAGTAGTTGTATTTTTTTCCAATTAGATTACCCGATTAGGAAGTATATATTACAAAAGACGGCGAAAGGCGTCTCTCTTCTCTGAAAAAAAAACTAAAATTCTGGAAAACAAGAAAAAAAAAAAAGAGAGACACTTTAATTGACCTATACTCGAGGAAAAAGGACGTGTATTTACTATTATTATTATTTTAAAAATTCGTGTATTTTTTTTACAGTTGTTTTCATATCTTCTATTTACATAAAAGTATTCAAACTGAAAACAAATACCAAATTTAACAATGGATGAATCTACTTTTAATCAAACTACTAACGATTTTGAATTGGATGCAAACCAACTAGCTGCTCCAGATGCTGTCTTTTCTGATAGAGTACGTAGATTCCAGGAGTTTCTAGATACTTTCTCTACGTATAAAGACCAAGTTAGAGAGATTCAATTATATAATAACGCTTTTAATACTGATGATGAAAAGAATTTAGATGATGAATTATATGATCATGCTAAAGATTTTGAAGATTTTAATGAAGATGATGATATTAATAAAAAACAAGCTTCTGGTAAAGCTTTAAACATTCTACCGCAAAGAATCACAATATCATTAGACGATCTAAGAGAATTCGATAGATCATTTTGGACTGGTATCTTAATGGAACCCGCATTTTTCATTCCACCTGCTGAAAAAGCATTATCTGATATGGCTAATGTATTAGATGAAAATACAAATCAAAATTTTAGAAATTTCCAAAATGGTAGTCACCCTTGGAATTTATCATTTAAAGGTTCTTTTGGTTCTCATTCATTATCACCGCGTACTTTAAATTCTCAATTCTTAAATAAATTGATATCTGTTGAAGGTATTGTAACAAAGACTTCATTAGTAAGACCTAAATTAATAAGATCTGTACATTATGCTGAAAAGACTGCAAGATTCCATTATAGAGAATATACAGATGCTACAACTTCATTAACCACTAAGATTCCAACACCTGCCATATATCCAACAGAAGATACAGATGGTAATAAATTAACTACAGAATATGGTTACTCCACTTACATGGATCATCAACGTATTACTGTACAAGAAATGCCAGAAATGGCGCCAGCAGGGCAATTACCAAGATCCATAGATATAATCTTAGATGATGATTTAGTCGATAAGACGAAGCCTGGTGATAGAGTTAACGTTGTAGGTGTTTTTGTTTCATTAGGTGCAGGGGGTATGAGTCGTAGTGACTCTAAAGGTAGTAATGCTTTCAGAACTTTAATTATTGGTAATACAGTATATCCATTACATGCAAGATCTACAGGTGTATCAGCTAAACAAGTATTAACAGATTTTGATATTAGAAATATTAATAAATTGGCAAAGAGGAAAGATATCTTTGATATTTTATCTCAATCTTTAGCTCCATCTATTTATGGTCATGAACACATTAAAAGAGCAATCTTATTAATGTTAATGGGTGGTGTTGAGAAAAATTTAGATAATGGTTCTCATTTAAGAGGTGATATCAATATTTTAATGGTTGGTGATCCATCCACCGCTAAATCACAATTGTTAAGATTTGTCTTGAATACTGCTTCTTTAGCCATTGCCACTACCGGTAGAGGTTCTTCTGGTGTTGGTTTGACAGCCGCTGTTACTACTGATAGAGAAACAGGTGAAAGAAGACTGGAGGCTGGTGCAATGGTGTTAGCTGATCGTGGTGTTGTATGTATTGATGAATTTGATAAGATGACTGACACTGATAGAGTTGCCATCCATGAAGTTATGGAACAACAAACTGTTACAATTGCTAAAGCTGGTATCCACACTACATTGAATGCTCGTTGTTCTGTTATTGCTGCTGCTAACCCAGTATATGGTCAATATGATGTTCAAAAGGATCCTCATCAAAATATTGCTTTACCCGATTCCTTATTGTCACGTTTCGATTTATTATTTGTGGTAACAGATGATATCAATGAAGTAAGAGATAGGGCCATTAGTGAACACGTCCTAAGAACTCATAGATTCTTACCTCCAGGATATTTAGAAGGTGAACCAATAAGAGAAAGATTGAATTTGTCACTTGCCGTTGGTATTGAAAACCCAGAAGAAGAAGCAGAGAATAATGCTAATGGTGCTGAAGAAAGTGAGGATAGTGTGTTTGAAAAATTTAACCCATTATTACAAGCTGGTGCTAAATTAGCCATGAATAAAGGTGATCATAACGGTGATTTGATCCCAAATCTGGTAACAATTCCATTTTTAAGAAAATATATTCAATATGCCAAGGAGAGAGTTATTCCTCAATTAACCCAAGAAGCTATCGATATCATTGTTAAAGAATATGCAGATTTGAGAAACGATGAGAATACTAAGAAATCCCCAATTACTGCAAGAACTTTAGAAACTTTAATCAGATTATCTACAGCTCATGCTAAAGTTAGATTATCCAAAACTGTAAGTAAATCAGATGCTCGTATTGCTTCTAGATTATTAAGATTTGCCTTGTTAGGTGAAGACATTGGTGATGATATTTATAACGAAGATGAAAATGAAGAAAATATTTCATTCAGAAGATCTCCAAAGAAATCTCCAAAGAAAAAACAAAGAGTGTATGGTAACACCAGCAGACCTGAGTCGCCTTCCAAACCTAGAACACCATCAAGAAGATCTCCTACGAAGTCAAGCACACCTTCATCTGTCTCGAGATCAGCCTTGAGAAGAAGATTACAATTCGATGATGATGAAGAGGCTGAAAATGATGACGATGATTATGTCGTTATGTCTCCATTACCAAGAGATGAACAAGAAGATTTAGAAAGAAGGTTACGTTCTGGTTTACGTGTATCTCCAAGACGTAGAGAACAAACAGAATCTCGTGGTCCATTAACTGAGGCCGGTGGTGAAAAGATGTCAAATATTTCCTCTTTCAACGAAGATACCGGATTAGCGGAAGAAAACACTGGTACAATCTCTACAGCCAGATTAGCTGCTTTCTCTAGTATCATGGCCTCATTAATGCAATCTGATCTTTTCCAAGATGAATGCTACCCAATTGAATCTTTATTCGAAAAAATTAACGACGAAGTAGACAACGAAGATGAATTCACGATGTCTGAATATATGGCTGGTCTAAGAATTTTATCTGAGAGAAACAATATTATGATATCCGAGGATAAAGTATGGAGAGTGTGAACGTATTTCGTGGAATGCCATATGTTTTTTTTAATAATCATTTTTTCTATTATTTTGGCATTGATGTTCTACTTTTTACAATAATTGCATACATCGTTAGGAAAAATCCGGCACTATTACATATTATATTATCTTATTCTCTATTCCTATCTCCAACCAACCATTGAGCCTATACGCTCTTACATATTTTATTTATGTTGTATTTTATATTAATCATTTTATTAAAGAAAGAAAAAATTTTCGAGAATTTAGTGTTTACAACCATATATAATCAGTATTCTATATTTTTTTTGACACCAATCAATAATGTATGTGACAATACATTGTGAATAAGTTCAGAATTGAGGGAAGAGTACCGTAAAGCCTTATACGGTGAATTGAATGATAGCGTCACATAATAATAGTCAGTAGGCGTTGATCACACTTTGATGACGACAGCGAGCATTGTTGCCAACGTACCGTCTCAGTTCCATTTTTTTCGCTCTCGCAATGCTCAACGTAGCGGAAACGCCATTCAGAAAATTGAAAAATTCACTTGATTGTCATATGGTCCATTTATCTTCAATAATATTTTATACTATCTCAGTGGTAAAGATTGAAATTCTTGTTCCTGTGGCTGTCAAATTCGTGGAAACTTCTTCGAATTCTTTCACTAAGTTTAATTTCTTCCTTTTAAGTAAAAGATCAAAAGAGTGCATAAGCTATTCATATCTTTGTGTGATATTTCGATAACTACCAGTAAAAACTATTTGTACGAGCTGAGAAAACATCTAGAATAGGATCACACGATTATATACAGATGGTATCAAAATCGTATGTGAATAGTCCATTGGTAAGGGACTCAAAACTATTGGTCCCCAAATCTATATTATATAGACCGTATACTCTGCCATTTGTGCCTTTATACGCTACTTTTTTCCACCTTTATTTTTCAGAATATGATCGTTACATTGGTGGCTCTGAGTGGACATTTGTCTATTTAGGTACTATTATTTCTCTTAATATCCTGGTGTTACTTATTCCTGTGTGGAATGTTAGAATGGCTGCTTGGTTTAACTTTAATGAAGCTCATCATATTAACGCAGCAACTGATATTTTGATTTACACTACTCCAAACAATGGTGCCGATGGTATCGTTGAAATCCAAAGAGTATTAGAAGGTGGTGCTTTGCAAGTTTATTTCCAATTCCAAAAGAAAAGGTTTTTATGGAAACCAGAAGAAGAATACTTTGCTTCGCCAAAATTCGTTATTGATGAATCTCCAAAGATTAAAGATTTTAAGAAAGCTCAAGGTAATTCTGGTGATTTGACTCATTTAGTTAGATTATATGGTAAGAACACCTTCGATATTCCAATTCCAAGTTTTATGGAATTATTTAAGGAACATGCAGTTGCACCTCTTTTTGTTTTCCAAGTCTTTTGTGTTGCTTTATGGTTATTAGATGAATTCTGGTATTATTCCCTTTTCAATTTGTTTATGATTGTTACCATGGAAGCTGCTGGTGTTTTCCAACGTTTGACTGCTTTAAAAGAATTTAGAACAATGGGTATTACACCATATTCCATTAACGTCTTAAGAAATGGTAAGTGGACCACTCTAACTACAGATGAATTACTTCCAATGGATATTGTCTCCGTTACAAGAACAGCAGAAGATAGTGCTTTACCTTGTGATTTGGTCATGATTAATGGTACATGTATTGTTAATGAAGCAATGCTTTCTGGTGAATCTACTCCTTTATTGAAGGAATCTATTAAATTACGTGACGACAATGATGATCTACAAGTAAATGGTCTTGATAAGAACGCTATCCTACATGGTGGTACTAAAGTTTTACAAGCTACTCCTCCTGAGACTAAGACTAACAATATCCCACTTCCTCCAGATCATGGTTGTTTGGCTGTTGTTTCTAAGACTGGGTTTGAAACATCACAAGGTTCTTTGGTTCGTGTTATGATCTACTCCTCTGAACGTGTTTCCGTCGATAACAAAGAAGCTTTGATGTTTATCTTATTCCTATTGATTTTTGCTGTTATTGCCTCATGGTATGTTTGGATTGAAGGTACTAAGATGGGTAGAATCCAATCTAAGTTAATCCTTGACTGTATTTTGATTATTACTTCTGTTGTTCCACCAGAATTGCCAATGGAATTGACGATGGCTGTCAATAGTTCTTTAGCTGCCTTATCAAAGTTCTATGTCTATTGTACAGAACCATTTAGAATCCCACTTGCAGGTAGAATTGATGTTTGTTGTTTCGATAAGACAGGTACATTGACTGGTGAAGACCTTGTCTTCGAAGGTCTGGCTGGTCTTTCCTCCGATAAGAAGGACATCCGTCATCTATTCACTGCTGTGGACGCTCCAGAGAAGACAAATTTGGTTATTGGTGCAGCCCATTCCTTGGTTAAATTGGATGATGGTGAAACTGTTGGTGATCCAATGGAAAAGGCAACCTTAAGGGCTTTAAAATGGAAAGTTGAAAAGAATGAAGTGGTTAGTAATGTTGAATTAGGTGAAGTACATATTATGCGTCGTTTCCAATTTTCTTCAGCTTTGAAGAGATCGTCTTCTATTGCTTCTCACAATGATGAACTATATGCAGCCGTAAAAGGTGCTCCTGAAACAATCCGTGAAAGATTAGTTAACGTTCCTGCTAATTATGATGATATCTACAAGTCCTTTACTCGTTCTGGTTCCAGAGTTCTTGCTCTAGCTTCTAAGTCTCTAAAGAAAATGTCTCAATCTCAAGTTGATGACCTAAAGAGAGAAAATATTGAATCAGAACTGGAATTTAACGGTTTTTTAATTTTCCACTGTCCTTTGAAACCCGATGCTATTGAAACTATTAAAATGTTGAATGAATCTGCTCATAGATCTATCATGATCACTGGTGACAACCCTCTAACAGCTGTACACGTTGCCAAAGAGGTTGCTATTGTTGAAGGTGAAACGTTAATTTGTGACAAGGTCAATGAATCAGATGCTTCTAGTAATAAATTGTTATTCCGTAATGTTGAAGAAAGTATTTCTATCCCATTCGATCCATCTAAGGACAAGTTTGATCACGCTGAGTTATTTGATAAATATGAAATTGCCGTGACAGGTTATGCTTTGGAAGCTTTGAAGGATCACTCTCAACTAAGAGATTTACTTCGTCATACCTGGGTATATGCTCGTGTATCTCCAAGTCAGAAGGAATTTTTGTTAAACACTCTAAAGGATATGGGTTATCAAACGTTAATGTGCGGTGATGGGACTAATGATGTTGGTGCTTTGAAACAAGCTCATGTTGGTGTCGCTTTGTTGAATGGTACTGAAGAAAGTATGAAACAGGCAGCTGAGAAACGTAGTATGGACAGTGCAAAGATGCTTTATGAAAAACAATGTATCTTTATGCAAAAGTGGGGTCAACCGATTCCTGTTATTCCTGAGACTATTGCTCATTTGTATCCACCTGGCTCTAATAATCCTCATTATTTGACTGCATTGGAAAAGAGAGGTACGGTGCTTACAGACGAAATTAGAAAATTCGCTGCTGATATGAACTCTACTCCTGTCAAGGTTATTCCTGATGCAAATGGCGAAACTGCTAGTGCACCAAAGGCTGGTGATATTGCCTCTATGTTAATGGATAGTGCTGGTGGTGAAGGTGAAGGTATGGATGCTCCAACTCTAAAATTAGGTGACGCTTCCTGTGCTGCTCCATTCACATCTAAACTGGCTAATGTTTCTGCTGTTACCAGTATAATTCGTCAAGGTCGTTGTGCTCTTGTTAATACTATCCAAATGTACAAGATTTTAGCTCTGAACTGTTTGATTAGTGCTTATTCTCTATCTATTATCTACATGGCTGGTGTTAAGTTTGGTGATGGTCAAGCTACTGTTTCTGGTTTATTATTATCTGTTTGTTTCCTAAGTATCTCTCGTGGTAAACCATTAGAAAAATTGTCAAAACAAAGACCACAATCTGGTATTTTCAACGTTTATATTACAGGATCTATTTTGAGTCAATTTGCTGTCCATATTGCTACTCTAATATATATTACAATGGAAATTTACAAACTGGAACCACGTGAACCTCAAGTCGATTTAGAGAAGGAGTTTGCCCCATCTTTACTAAATACTGGTATCTTTATCATACAACTAGTTCAACAAGTGTCAACTTTTGCAGTTAACTACCAAGGTGAACCATTTAGAGAAGATATTAGAAACAATAAAGGTATGTACTACGGTCTAGTCAGTGTTGCAGGGTTAGCATTAGCAAGTGCTACAGAGTTCATGCCAGAATTGAATGAAGCTATGAAATTTGTACCAATGAGCGATGAATTTAAATTGAAATTAACTGGTACTTTATTATTAGATTTCTTTGGCAGTCTGGGTGCTGAATATTTCTTCAAATATTTCTTTATGGATGACACACCAGCTGATATTACTGCCAGAAAGGTTAAAATTGCGTAGATGTTATGGGGTGCGTACTTAGCCATATACTAGAAATCAGATTCTTCAGAGAAAGAATCTATTTATTTGATATTCAGTATATTTATTGACATCTCTGTAAATTCCAGTCATTTCTTTTTTCTGTACTATTTCGTATGACAGGAATCTTGTATAACAAGGAATACATTTACATATTATTATTATTATTATTATTTTTATTATATAGAATCTGGAACCTTCCATACTTTCTCGAAGTAAAAGTTTGGGGTGGTTTCCATAGTGGGAAGCTAATGGCGACGATTTGTGTGGCACTTCCCTGTTGTCTGTGAAAATAAAATTTCAGTTTTCTTTTAGCAGATCACTTTTTAAAAGAGTCTGTAGTTGCTGGGGGGCGCACCTCGCTTAACGTTTCCCGTAACTGACAAAATTATATAGAGAAAATGGGTGATCTCGCTTGTAGTTGTCCTGAAAAATTGAAGTAAAATAAGTAAAAAGAAACGCCCAAGAATCGGTTAAGCACCTTCAAATGAACAGTTCTCAAAGGTATAAATTGGGACCAAATTGTGAATAAGTTGGAAATATAATTTGGAATCAAATACCGTTCTCTTATATTTCAATTCATTAATATATCTCAATAAAAAGAAAATTAACCATACCCGATTTCCTTACTTTGCACTATCCCAATAACGTTAAAGATGCCTTACCAAGAAGACTTCGCTGTTGAACAGTTTATGGACAAATTTGAAACACAAGCTAAGTATAACCTGGGTGAAACATGCTGCTACTCTCTGAGTTTAGATGATATCGAACAACTTTCCGGTAACAGATACGAATTAGACAGATCCATGAGATTAACATATCGGGATATTAAAGGGAGTGAAGAATTAAGATCTTTAATTGCATCGATTTATGGTAACACTTTAACAGGTGATAATGTTTTGGTTTCAAATGGTGCTATTGCATCTAATTATCTTTTGTACTACACTTTGGTAGGGAAAGGCGATCATGTTATTTGTGTTGACCCAACCTATAGTCAATTGTATAGCGTTCCGGAGATGTTCGGTGCTGAGGTTGACCTATTAAAATTAACTAAGGAAGATGGTTACATTCCTAATGTCAATGTTTTGGCTAAAATGATTAAGAAGAATACTAAATTGATTATTATTAATAATCCTAATAATCCATTAGGTTCTGTTATTCCAAATAATGTAATGAAGGATATTTGTCAATTATGTGAAAAACATGATATCTATCTTCATTCTGATGAAGTATATCGCCCAATGTTTCATTCATTAGAAGAGGGATTTGATTTACCAGATAGTGCATGTAATTTATATTCAAAGGCTATAGTTACATGTTCTATGTCAAAAGCTTACTCGGTTGCGGGTATTAGATTAGGTTGGATGATTACTCAAGACAAACAAGTTTTAAGGGATGCCGCCTCTAGAAGAGATTACAATACCATATCAGTCAGTGTTATTGACGATAGAATTGCACAATATGTTTTAAAGAATGCTGATAAAGTGATCAAGAGAAATATGACCCTATGTAAAGAAAACTATAACTATCTGACTGAGTTTATCGAGAAGAACAAAGAAGATTTTGAATATGTTGCCATACCACAAGGTGGAACTGTATGCCTTCTAAGAACTAAAAAGATAGAGGATACATACAATTTTGCGGAATTCCTTGCCACTGAATTTAATGTATTAGCTGTGCCTGGTGAAGCTTTCAATTTCCCAGGAACTTTACGTATTGGTTATGGGAATAGCAAGGATGATTTGATAGTGGGTTTACCTTTATTGAAGAAGGCAAATGATTTATGGATTGATAGAACTAAATAAATAAACTATTATAATGTAAAATAAATAATCATGATGAAAATTCTATAAGTCCTTTTGATTCTATTATTTTTTTATCTATTTATCTATAAATAAAACTATCAAAGTTCTTCATATAAATATTTCTTATTTGAAAAATCTATTGGCAAGTCATTATTTACTATCGGAATAGTGTGATATAGATCTCTCGATTCGACTATCCTCAATTCCATATCTTTCATGCCTTTTACTGACCCCATTTTACTCTTTATATTCTCTTTACTATGATATTTCGTCATCTTTAAAACTCTTTGGAGCACATTAATAATGTCATCAATCTGATCTGCAAATTTTAAAGTAGATGTTTCATCTTGGTATAATTTTGTTATCCTATCTAATAACAAGGCAGAAAAAAGGTCCCCAACACCAGTGAAATATGTATCAATAAATGGAATACGATATACCACAGGATTTTCACCTTTGATAGATGCAACACAATATATATATCCTTTATCATCAAAAAGTTCTGAACTACAAGATGTAACCACTATCACAGGTACCGTTTTATGCAATTCTTGTAATGACTGTTTGAGTTCTTCCCTAGAAGAAATCTTCTTTCCGTATAGAATCTCAAGTTCATATTGATTAGGAGTTATAATATCAACCAAACTATCGGGAGAAAAGGTCAATTTTTGATATTCTGGTATCACATCTTCATTTACATACAATTGACCTTCGTCTCCCATCACTGGATCCATCAACCACAGTAATTTCTTATTTTCTGCTTTAAATTTTGAATAATGTTGCCCCATACAATTTACAGATTCCTTGTTTGGCAAATAACCTGATAATATTGCATCATAATCCGTTGCAAAATTTGCAAATACCCCGCCTAGTAATGCTTCTAGATCATTTTGGTTTGTGATATTACCAAATACACGATCCATACCATAACCAGTATGATTGGAAAATTGAACGCTATTACAACAGTCTACATCCCAACCTAAGCATTGTAACGGAAAAGTGGCGGCTTTATTTCCTACATAGCCATGAACCACATGTGATTGTGTAGCCAAAAGACGTGGCATTATGCTTCTATTTACTGTTGTGTTGTTAATCTTATGAGAAGTTAGAAATGGAACCCTGTCAATCAGAACTCACAAATATGTTCAATTTATTAAAAAAAAATAACACTAAACTTTGGAATAATTTACCTTTTTTTACTTCACAGTTTTCCTTAATCAACTTATGACAGAAGTTCTCTTAGGATTGCAGTGCTGTCTTATATAATTTGCTCTATATTGAGTTTTTCGGTCTGCGTGAACAAATTTCTCGATGATCTCCGCCGATTACTTAATACAATGACTCAGCGAGAGAGGTACGCCTTATTAGGTAAGTTGTGACACCCTCTTAAAACCAGAAAATGTGTATGAAGATTGAGATATCGAGTAGCTAGCAGAGAGGAAGACAGTGTTATAAATCAAATATATTGTCGCTTTAAACTTGTCATAGTAATTACAAATAGTTTTATAAATAATATGAATGTGGTACACTGTTCTTTCTATTGTTTTTCAAATGAGTCTTCAGTTTCCTGTCAGAAGTAGAACTTTCAAATTTTTTACAAACTGTTGCTATCCAAAAACAGGAGGCCTGGTATAAATATATAAGTGTTTATACATAATAATTCTTAAAAACAACTAAATAGTTATAAAGGTGGGAGTGATTGGGGTCGGAGTTAGTTAATATTTTGATAGCGTGGGGTCTCTTGAAGAACACAGTGAAAAGCAAAACATTTTTTTCTGTTTCTGTTTTCATTCTTTTCAGTAAATTGTAATCCTATACTGAGATAAGAGTTAATCAAACCTTCTTCGTTATAAATATTCTATTTGGAATATTTTTAACCTGTTGCCAGTATCTGATTTTATTTCTTTTTTGTTTGTTTGTTTGTTTGTTAGGTCTTGCTACGATAAGTAAAACGACGCAATTCGATGTGACAGCTACAAAAACTTGGAAAAATATTAATGACCTATTTGTAAAAGTTCTAAAGAGCATAAATTGGCAATTGTCAAACAAGAAGATAATAAAAAATTAGGATCAGGTATTGGAACTATTATCATCAGAAAATACCTTCAGCACTGGAACCAATGCTTAAACTTAACAATTCCATTCCATATCAAAATAACACAAATTACACTAATGGCTTAATCAGAGCGATACTTGATAGTAGAGTTTCGACTATAGTCTCGACAAGTAAGGAAATAACACTACAAAGTTTTTTAAGAACCTTTATTTTATCAATTATTTTCTTAATAATTGAAATTATTATATTTTTGTTTATGAGAGTTATATACAAGGACATATACAGGTCTAAGGCTGTCTTATATTCAGGTAAGTACAATGAACCCTCCTTCTTTAAATTTTGCTCAAAAAGATGCTCAGATTTCGGTGATATGGATGATCTAGATGGTTATTTTTTGCTTAGATTTCTTAAATTTTTATCATTTTATTTCTTAACTATTTCGTTGGTTCATTTGCCAATTTTGTTACCACTGCATTACAACCATAATATTAACATGCCTGTTTTCTCGCTGGATAAATTTAATATTTCAAATATCCATGGAAAAAAGATGACGATTCACCTTGTTTTATGTCTTTTAGACATAATTTGGTTTCATATTTTAATTTTAAAGGAATCAAAACTAATATTTTCAATAAAAGAAAAAAGGATCCTTCAAAGCAAATATAGTTCAGTTTTATTTGTTGAAAATATAAATAAAACTTTTCTAAAAAATCTTCAATCGGTAGGAGACGATTATGGAGTTAAGGATATTTGTGAAATACACAAAGATTATGGTGAATTTTACAAAATCTGGAACAGAGTATATTGCATGGAAAAATATATTGAAAAAATAACGTTGGACATAATTACTGAGGTGTACTTCGAACATAGATCAAAACATTTCTGGTTTTGTGAAAAAAGGACAACTACATTACAATTCATATTTAAGGTCTTAAAATATCTTGTTTATCAAAAAAACTTCCTATTGTTCAGGCTTAGGACGTCTAAAGCTAGGATTAAAAGTGCATTCCAAAACTATAATAACAGCAATAAACTAGGTGATTCCCTAGGCTGCAATGCTGAGTCTCCTTCTAAATTTATCTCTAGTCAATACGAGCAATTGGAAATAGCACTTAAGATATACAACAACACCGTGGTATTATTGAAGGAACAAAATGGAAAGATAAAACAAGAACTAAATAAGAATGACCCTGAAAGTGACCTAACTTCTAATAACGCATTCCTGGAATTTAACTCACCACAAGAAGCCCATGCAATAAGTTTAATTCTTCGTAGAAATACTGTAACCTTTGTTTCTCAAGTAACATTAAACCCTAATCCCTACGATATTCAATGGCTTTCTATAATTTATAGTAACTCCATTTACAAGGAAATAATGCGAGTAATAACAGTAGTCATTAGCATTTCTATCATAATAGGTTGGGTTATACCAATCGCATTTATTGGATTCTTTGCGCATATACCATATATCACTGTAACATTTCTCCAGCCTCTATCATTTCGAATTTTTAAGTCGCAATTCATCAGGGATGGCATTGAAAATATTTTACCTTTAGTCACACTAATATTTTTGACTGAGTTTGTTCCATATATTTTCAGGTTTTTAAGTAAACTAAAGGGATGTCGTACTGGTTCGGAAATCGAAAAAGATGTACAAGTATGGTTATTTGTATTTTTCTTCGTTCATTTGTTCGTAGTCGTCACAGCTTCATCTGGTATTTCATTGGTCATAGACCGTTTAATAAATAATCCAAATAGTATTCCAATAATACTTGCCCATGAATTGCCAAAGAGCTCTTCATTCTTTTGTTCGTTCATTATGCTAAGGGGTATTGCTTATTTTGGAGGAAACATACTTAGAATAAAAGATCTCTTACTTCAGATAACATATTATGGTTTTATAAATTATTCCCCTCATATCCGGATAAACAGGGTTAAGAACTCATTATTTTTTAATTGGGGTTCTATATATCCTTTATTTTCGGTATTGGGATGTATAGGGATAGCATATGGTATTATAAGCCCAATTATTTTACCTATATCATGTCTTTCACTCATTCTCGTGTATGTTTCTTTCAAATACCTTTTTGAATATCAATATACAAAAACCAATCATTCTGATACATTTGGGGAATTGTATCAACGCACCTTACTGCAACTTTACGTTGGTGTTTATTTCATGGAATTCTGTTTGTTAGGTTTATTTATCCTGTCAGATGCATATACTTTAGCTTTCTGCACTTTTTCTTTACTTGTTGCCACATTAATCTGTAACATTTATATTCGAAAAAGCGTGTTACGTTCTGCTTTGTTTCTGCTGAATGATCACGAACAGAACACGTATATTCAGAACGATAGCAACCAATCTACATTAGACTCGTATAGATCTCCAATGAAAAGGAAGACCAAAATGTATGGTGAAATATGGCTTCCTACATACCCAGCAGAAAATGTTATTGAGGAAATCACTATGATGGAGAAAAAGTATGGTATAGTGATCAATACCAGTAAGTCATTTTTTGATGATCGTGGAAATTTACGTTTTCGTTAAAATAATTTTATAGTATTTACTTTTATTTCGACATTCAATTAGTCTTAGCAGTATCATCCTCGTTATGTTTCTCTTCCCTTGTATTTTTACTTCTTGGCCAAATATTTGGCAATTTGATGAATTGAAATCTAGGCTCTACGCAACGTTCCACAAACCATTTTTTAATTTGATACTCAATCAGACTACGAATACGTGGAATATTTTCTAACTTTGACCTAGCCCCTATTAATGACTCGGTGTCAAATTCAAATTTATACTCTGGAGAAAAAGAAAACATCAAAAAATAACTATTATCTTCTTGATCATTATCTTCATCATCTGTTTTTTTGTCTTCATTTTGAGAAGTTGTCTGGACAAATTCATCACCTTTTGTTAGTGATACAGTTAGGCAACCTTGGAATCTAATAATTGCAACCGTCAAACTAATTGGTAATGCCATAAAACCCGGTTTTGGGTAGTTCAATAATAATTTGGTCTCTATACCTAGTGATAATCTATCTATTAAATCAATATCAATTTTAGCTTCTAGTTTCCTTTTTTCCTTTTTAATCCTGCAATTTGAGAAAATTGGGAAATCATCACCGATGTCTAACTCTGTGACTTTAATAGTATCTAAATAATCAGGTAAATTTGTAGAATTATTCTGCATGAATAGATTTAATGAATTTAAAATATTATTTTTATTGTATGCCTCATCACGAAATTGTTGAATAATTTGAGCAATTAGTACATTAAACCAATCTAGAGATTCATGTTTGTGGGTATTTACATCGTAGTAAGTCTTCTGAAGAATATTATTAATTTGAATAGTCATTTCATTTTGATTATCATCAATGGATGGATCAGAAGATTTTATCTCCGATCTATTTTTACCACCTCTTTTCAAAACATTTGACATTATCTTTGAATTATTTGTATTGACTGCAATTACAGGGGGATTTTTATGTCTTGAAGAACCTTCGCTGAATATGAAGAATCTCATGAAAAGGGCAAATATAATAATAACACTAACTTGGCCAATTATTAACCCCTGAGTGAATGATAACGAAGAAAATGTAGATCCTGAAGAAAGCGATTTCAAATGTTCAAATTGTTTAATAAAATTAGTGTTTAATGGAAATTCACTTAATTTTCCAGCTTTAAGGGACTTAATCAGACCGTCAATATATTCACTTGGCGTATGTTGTCTAAAGGCTTCCAAATCTTCAAGGAAATAGTTTTGAAAATGTAATGGTAATATTTTTGTCAGATAGTCATCGAGACTAACTAAATCTCCACTACTATTATCTCCCTTTAAAGCATCCAAAATAGTACTATTTGATAATGATGAGTTGAACATATTCGTAGCAATCGGTCAAACACGATGTTGTATGCTTTATTTGTCTCGAAATATATAGAATTGAGGATAAGTACTTATAAATGAAATACCCCCTATCTGAAAAACTTTAAACTTTTAGGTGTCTATTTCTCAAACATTGGAAAATCCCTTTGGTTACCAATTGAGTTCATTTTAAGTCATAAAATGGTCTTGAATCTTATTTGCAGTTCCATATCTTAGGCGAAATAAAATCAGTCCGGTCACCATTTTAGTTAGACCCGAAAATGAGAAGAGCGAAAAAGTGAAAACAAAGAAGACTCAAACCAACTGAAGGAACGTCTCTTTCTTTCTCCCCTTTACAATTAATAAGGTATAGCAATCTTTGAAGATAATTGATATTTCAGTAATTATCTGTATCTGTGGTTAACTTCTTTTAAAGTGGTTTCCAGAAGATAGGAACATAAAGCAAAGTACGGAAGTTGGGAGAAGTAAATTGTAAAGCATTCCATACACACGTTAATAGTGGTCTATTTGTTACACTAGTATTAATAAGGTTGGGGTGAGAACTATTTAGGAAAGAGAATGCATACATATATTGAAAGAAGGGATTTTATTTAATCTTTAAACAATTTGAAAAAAAAATAACTTTACAATTAAGAAAAAAAGAATAAACACCCCCATCATTAAGGAAAAACAAAAACATCATGTCTTCTTCAATTACTTATACCAAAAATGAATCAAACGATACTGCCAGCTTACAAAATATTAGTAAACTAATACAGAGCAAAAGAAGGCTACCGTTTGTGAATGATAAATTGAGTTGGGTCGAATCTAGCAAATGCCTTAAATTTTTAACTGACATTGATCCTGATAAAGTTCCTGCATCATGGAGGGAATTGTTTATGTCATTTTTAGTTTGTTCAGATATATCTTTTGAATTCGAAGTGATAATAACAGACGAAAAAGTTCATAGCATATTATATAATATTTTACCGCAATGTGATTTCACAACCCTTATTACGGTATTTAGAACAATGTTCTCTCAATTTCTTAAGGAACCGACTAGATACAGGGAAGAATATCTTCAATTCCTAGAATTTTTAAATACCAAACATCTTTTATTGAATATCTCAATGTACTATCTGGAGACAATCGCAATTGATGATCCTAAATTAACAGAATGCCTGAACTTCTTAGATTTATATTTGACAACAATACTATTGTTAACTAATTTTAAACCTGATCGGTTAAGTATATTGGTTGCAGAATTATATTTCGAAATGATTAGATGTCAATTTACAGTGGTAATTACGCAATTATTGTTGCAATCAGATAATAGTGACATTAGGCATAAAATTATCCAAAAAATAATTAACAAAAAGATTGAAATATCTAATTTTTTGGCTGAAACAAAATTAGAAGATTGTAAATACGTAGAAGAAAGATTAGCTCAAGTTATTGAAGAATCTATGGACGGAGATCAAGATTTAAAAAGAAAATTAGATAGCATTCAAAATTTGACAATAAATTCCTCAGAGTTAAATTTGTTACAAGTGTTGGATGTAATTGTATTTCTCAAGGAACCAGATCTAACATTTAAACGTATATTTATCGAACACTTATTGTTTGGTGGGAACCCATTTCCTTTTTACAAGGCAGTCTCAAGGATATCAGATGAACTTCATCAATTCTTCATTCAACATCAATCAGAGCTTAAGGAAAAACCTTACCTAATATCATTCATCATGAACAAAGAATCTTTCTTGGAAAGTATTATGAAAGTACAGTTGAAGGTGTGGATAGAATCTGGATCAAAATCGGCAGACGATATGGAGTCTGTATTTATGCTGATTCCCGTCTTGTTAGAAAAATTAGATACAGTTTTGCAAGATGTTTATGGTGCTGTTCCGTTAGATGAACTTCCCGAAATTGTAAATAATTTTATAAAATCGATTGACTATAGAAAGGCAAGGGATTTTCAACTAGATAGGATGAGACGAACCCAATTAGAAAAATGGAAACAGCAAATGGTCGAATTCGATTCAATATTGATTAATCAGGTTCATGATTTTGTGAAAAACCAAAGATTGATTAGGTTTCAGAAAGGTGTTTGGGTATACTCTCAGAACCCAACTGATGCATCTCTCAAGCAACCAAAGCTTTATTTTACTATCGTTTCTGACAACCAGGCAAACCTACTAGTTAGAGAATTCGAAACAAAGACAGAAACGCAGCCTTGCGTTGAAGGGATGAAAATTGTATCCAAGACTGCATCACATATACAACCTCTTCAACAATCTGTCACACTCGTGATACCTTTGAAAAGTATTGCCTATTTTGAAAGTAGAGATGTATCTGTAAGATCACAAACAGGAAATTCTTCAACCAAATTGGTTAATTTAGGTCAGTTAGTTGGTTATACTAAAGTTAAATTACTTGATAAAAACAAAAAAAGACTTTTAAAGGTGTATTTGGATACAAAAGAAAAGAAATCCATATGGCTCGATGGTCTTCAATTGTTGTCACCTTATGATATAAAAGAAAATCTCTCAGCAGATACTAAACAACAACAAAACGACCTGATATCACTAAGAAAGGATGTTCAGATGGTAAATTTACACACTAAGATTGCTTTAGATGCGACAGTTGGTCTTGGTGAAGACGATGACGAATTTTATGACCTTGACACGTTACTGGACCTACCACTTAATAATTACTACGAATAGGTATGGAATAGGGTGGCCAGGTTTGATATAGACAATTAATTATATTATACATGCCCTTTTTTAAATTTTTAACAAATATATTTATAGAGAACCCGTAGATTAGTTTATATAATTCACAAATAAATTGATTTTCAAGTTGTTTGTTACCGTAATATTAATGAAAATCAAAATATAATTGAAGAGATCATTTGATATCTTAACTTAGCGTTTTAGAAAAATTTGTAATACATTATAGAAGTGATATCCAATTTGCATTCTTGTGGTTCGATATTCAGTTCTTTGTTTGTATCTATTTGTTTTTGATAAACGGAATAGGCTATGTCAATAATCAGCCTTTCTTTTTCCGCCGTTGATTTTTTTTTTTGTTACTATATGAAAACAAAACAATGATCAATTACAACTACTTTTTAGAAGTCACGAATTACTTTTGGAAAAGTAACGCTTTAACATATATTGGATAAATTCAATCAGACTGGCTGCCATGAATATTAATGAATTTGCGGATGCCCAAAAAACACATAACGTTATATACCCTAATCTGCCTAAATCAGGTGAATTAACCGAGAGATGTATACCGTTTGTTCCGCTTCTAGAAGGGAAGGAGTCAACGGAAATAATGTATGAAAGGTGGCAACTATATAACCAATTATATGATCATTTCCACTCACAAGTCGATAATATTGTCTCAAATGGTGAAATTGAACTAAAACAAAATATAACGAAATTACTTTTTAACGATGGTCAATCGTTGAAAACAAAAGGAACCTTCAAAACATTGTTTTTACTAGGTTCTGATAGTAATACCCCAATTGAGTTTGATGTTACAGATTCAACAAACACCTTAAATGTCCTGATAGATATGACAGCGAAGGAATCTCCGAACGTTAGAATGATGCTGAAAAGAGCAATGTTTAAAGTGTTCTCTACGGCACAAGAAGATAGTAATAGTAATCTTGGCATGATTAAAGAGGAAGATGATATATCACAACCTGTATTTACAAACGGCATCCATCAATCTATCACTGAAGTGTCATACGATTTGTCACTTGTCGAGAATTTTAAATCAATATTTGGCAAAAATTTAAATATTGTATTAAATTTTAAAGATGTTGATTCTTTTTCATTTCATTCTCTTGATGGATTTATTCAATTATTAAAAAATGCTTTAAAATATGATTCCGTCAATTTCCATTTAGTATTTAATATCAATACTAATATTTCGATAATGGAAAAGAATTTGACCCAGTCAACACTACGATTATTAAAGAGGAATTATTCTATTTTGGATATATCTAGTAATAGGGGTTTTAAATATGCCAATAAGGTATTTGAATGTTTTCTTGAGACTGTCGATAATAAACTTAATCTTTCTGAAAATTTTATCAAGTTTATCCTTGAGAAAATGGCTAATAATACACATCATAATCTACAATTATTGACAAAAATATTAGATTATTCCTTAATGTCATATTTTTATGAAAATCCATTCGCGGTATTTATTGATCCATTCAATGTTAAATACTTAAATGATTCATATTTAAAACTTTTGAAAAAATGTCCAACATATATGTTTTTCTTGGGTGAGTTAGTTAAAGAAGGTGCACCAGTAGATGAGATATCTAATTTATTGACCAATGATGATGATGCCATAGAACAATTTTTTGCTGAATTTTTAGTGAGAGATAATCCAACCAATAGGCATGCCAAGGCCGTTGCAACTATTCTTGAAGAAAAGTGTGGAACTCAAAATTATAATTTAATTGAATTATATTATAATTTACTTACAGATAATTTGGACAATTATTTAAAGAAATGGCCCGAATGTGAATTATATAAACAGGAATTATCATTCGAATCAGTCGATACGATTTTCAAAGAATTATTTACATTGGATAATAAGAATGATTTACTTTCTCAAGCAATGTTTCCAAATTATAAGAGTAATATGGAAGATGATTTGTTATGTTGGGAAAGGGTTATTAATACTGATGACAAAGGATCCTTGGAAGATATACAAGAACTTGAATCTCTCAGTGCATTAAATCGCGAATTGGGACCTATAGTTGGTGAACTATTCAAAGTTTATAGAGAAGCACCAATTGTTATTAATTTATTTGATCTTTATACGTCATTTAAGGTACTTCTTCCAAGAGAACAAATACTGGAATTTATTAAGGATTATTCTACTAAAGATAAAGATTTAAAGAAATTTATTGAGAATAATGGCGATGATGATGATATAATATTTGATAAAGTTGTATTAATTTTGTTTATGCAAGGTATACATGATTATGATAATATGGGTTTAACAAACACAGTGACAAAAAATCCGGATTTTGTCGATAAACATGTATGGAGGGGTATGTAACTAACTGCTAAGCAAAAAATATATATGTATATTTTTTTTTTCAATATAAATAGGATATATTATAAACTGATATGATATTGAAGTTACCTTGGAGAAACTTTGTTGTTAATTTTATTTTCATTTTTATATTGATTTTTCTTATTATTATTATATAATTTTTTGTTATTACATAAAATTTTTAATTTTTAATTTTAATAGTAAAAATTTACCTAAATCTATTATTTGATGTTTAAGTTTAAGTTAGCTAGGACGAAGAAAGTCATCAAACCACCAAAGACGTAGTAAGAAATATACAAAGCCTTTTGGTATAAAGAGGAAGTGTTGAATCTATATTTGACGACTAATTCACCAGTACCAAATTCAGAGATTAAATTACTGTAATAGAAAGTCAATTTAGCATGACCATCAGCTAAGTCAAAGTAAGAATATTCACGAGAGACAGTAGCGTTAGCGAAAGGTAATGGAGAACCAACATCTAAGACGTCAGCACCTTCTGGTAGAATAACGGAAACTTCGACGTTTCTGTAAATAGTATCAGGAGGACCATTTAATACAGGTAAAGCAATAACGAAGGAATCCTGTTCAGTACCAGAATTATGTAAGAAATCTTCTAAAGTGTTAGTCCAACCAACTGTGAAATTATAAGCCCAACCACCAAAGACAGGGAATCTTGGTTTAACTAATAATTTATTTTCTTCACGCATAACCGAAGAAACTTTACCAACTTTATCAGTAACATAAGCATCAGTACTATTTTCAGTCATTGATAAACCAAGGACACCAATGAAATTACCACCTTTACCTTCAGTTCTTTGAACTCTTTTCATGAAATCGACTCTATTGAAACCATTCTTTAATTTAGCACCTTCATTAATAATTTCATAATATTCTTGAAATTCAGCAGTATGAGCCCAATGAGAGATCCAAATATCTCTCTTTAAATCAGTCACGGTGATTAATGGATAATCTACTGGATAACTAATATTGGCCCAAGAAACTTGAAAAGCTGGAACGTTATGGAATGGACCATATTTAAATTGATTAGTTAAGAGAATACCTGATTCATTATCGTTATCAGCTGGAGTTAATTCAATAAAATCTTCTGCACCTGCAATATCAATAGTAGCAGTCTTTGAAACATAAGGAGATAATGGATATCTGTTAACTGTTAACATTAAAGATTGAGTATCATCCATACCAATTTCTTCAGGAGATGGAGTACCATTTAAAGCATAATGAATCTTAGCAAATAAAGCAATTTCTTCACCTGGAGCAACAGGAGATTCAAATTGAATAACACCATAACTAACTTCTGTTCCGTCTGCTAGTTGATGAACACCTGGAACAATCATACATTGAATAAAGGATTCTTCAGATATATAAGCAGCGGTAAACATTGAAATCATTGGTACTATATCAGAAGGAATTGGTAAGAAATATTGAGTAACAGGTTGGGAATCTATATTAATAATAGTTAATTCTAAATTTTCAACGGTGAAAGAAGTTTCTAATTCAATAGTCTTTTTAAATTCTTTATTTTCCCATGAAATTGGAGGTACGAAATCTTCACAGATTACATTTTTAAATAACAGCACAATTGCTGTTAGAAACCAAAAACGATTGAAAAGCATTATATTATATTATATTTGAAATCTTCCCTATTTTTTTTAATGTTCTTTTTTCAATGAAACAGTAGTAAATATTTCTCAAATATGTATTACTATCTATTAGTAAGGATAATCAAATAAATATAAAATGATATATAGGGAATTTATCTATATGTGTATCTTTATCTTGATAAAAAAAATTATTATACCTTTAATAATCTTCTTACTATTACTATTATTATAATAACTGAATAATTTATAACTAAATTTTTCATATTATATAATAAATATATAAAAGTGGTTAAGAAATACGTTAAAGCCACGAAGCCTAACAAAATAGACTTCAACTCACAATTCGCAGTACAAATCAGAAAAAAAATAAAATAAATTTTTTGGCCGCGACGGTTTCACTCTTTCTGATTGACGTGTTCGGTTCGCGTAACAAAAGATTCACGGTGATATGGTTAAGTGGGCGGCCGTGCGACACGACAAGACAACGCGTTATATTTTCTTGAGACAGCGAAGACAGCGAGACAGACAGAGAGAGAGAGAAATTGACGCGTTCGCTGCTGAATGAAACGAGAAAGTCCTTTGAAGCTTTGAAATCTGAAAATAAGTTGTTTTGCAAGGAAAGGAGAACGTGGTGGGTTGTGGTGGCAGAGGTGGTGGGCGGCTGTTTCTGCATTTGGGGTAACCGAGAAGGTTTTGATATCCATGTACATATATATATATAAGGAGGAGGAAGAAGAAGAAGAAGTAGAAAGAACGAGTGCTGAAGCTGCCAGAATTGCACAGACGTATATGTGTTGTTTGCATACAGATAGATAGGCTATGATTGATGATTCTACTGAAGAATTATTAAAAGGTAAGACAACTAATGATGATAATATAGATAGGAAAGATGGATTCTCTACAGCTGCTTTATTATTGGGTCGTTCGCCTGTAGCGAACATTGATATGGATACAGTTCAAACACCTCCAAATTATAATAATTTTACTTCAAGTGATGAAAATGAAAATGAAAATGATGATGATGATGATGATGATGATGATGATGATGATATTTGTAACAGATTTCAATTCATTCATGTATCTGATAACGATGACTTGTACAGAAAAGAAATCCAGTATAATAATATATTGAATGGTCTTTATAAAGATATTTCGCAATTTTTAAATAAAAATGGAATGTCCCAATCATTTTTAATGTTTTTTAAAAAATATATTATTAATTTAATTAATGACGGTTTTGACCCATTAAAAGATGAATATGTTTTAAATTTAAATACAGAATTGATTAATAATCATGGTTTGATGACAAAAGAATTAGAGTTATTAATTTCGAATTTTTTAATTAATCCAAAAAATTTATTAATGAAATTAACAAATTTTGAAATTAATTCAAATAAATTAATTCTAAAAAAAAATTTTTTGAAATGGAGAATTTTAACAAATACATCAATTTATCAATTTAAATTAATTAAATTATATGAAAACTATATTAAAAATAAATTCCTTTTACATTGGTTTAAAAAATTTAATCAATTTAATAAAATTAATAATGAAAGAGCAAATAATGCAAATGTTTTTAGATTAAAAGCTTTTGCATTTGATAAATTTTTATTTAAATATGATTCAATTGATAAAATGGAATCTTTATCAAATACTCAATTTCTTAATCATATCTTTAAAAAAATTAAATTGAAAAAACAAATTTTAAATGAAAATTTTAATAAATTTAATGATTTAAAAAAATCTTTATTAATTAAAAAAATTTGGTTAATTTGGAAACTTAAAAAAAGATTAAATGAATTTAATTCAATTCCTTCACAAAAAAAAATTTTTATTTTATGGTCTCAAAAATTAAAATCAGTTCAAAATTTAATTAATACTTCTGATATTGCAAGATCAGATCAATTGATTTATATTAATTTTAAAAGATGGAAAATAATTACTCAGAAAAGATTACATGTTGTCACAAAATTAAATGAAACAGATGGTCATATTATTAAACTAAAATATTTTTCAAAAATGATTAAACAATTTAAATTAATTGAAATTGAAAATAGTTTTATTCAGAAAAAAAATTCAATGATTATTAAATATTATCTTTCAAAATTTTGGAAACAAAAATTTCAAACTTTATTACATTATCATTCTTTTAGACAAATTAATGATGATAAGCTAACAAAAAAAACTTTTATTAATATAAAGAAGAAATTTTTTCTGAATTTAAATGCATCAAATTTTGAATTGGATTCATTAACTAAAAAATATTTAAATAAATGGAGATTAAATCATAAGGAAAAGATAATACATAATGAAAAAAAAATTTTTTCATTGAAATCAACATTCATTATGTGGAAACAAAAATCATTACGTCAAAAAAATTACAATAAATATCAACAAAATTCAGTTCTTAAACTATTTTTCAATAAATGGAAACAAATGAATAAAATCCATTTAGATGATATTTCCATTGGTGAAACTTTCCAAATACATTCGCAAGAAAAAAGATTAATGATTATTTGGTTTAAAAGATTAGAACTAAATAATAATATGAATTCTACAGCAGATTTGTTTAGAAATTTACAATTATTTAGGATGATTGTGGAATATCACAATAAACTAAGATCCAAGAGACTTCAATGTGATTCAATAGATATCAGCCCTGTAAAAATTCATGTCTTGAATAAATTATTTACTAAGTGGAAATCACATACAGAGGAAAAGAAAGTTTCACAACTAAATAATACGTTAAAATTATTCAACAGATACGAACATGAACGATTACAAAAAAAATATTTCCCATTATTTAAGAAGAAATTTGCTATTATTGGTAAACAATATGTCAGTAGCGCACTAACCTTAGAGAAAAGACATCGTGGTAGATTTTTCTTCAATTGTGTCATCAACAAATATAAAAAATTTGATCATCAATTGAAAATGGCATCAAATATTAATGATGATCGTTTACTCCATGAGTTTTTGATACTTTGGATTGATAGATATAACAAAAATGAAGAGTTAGACACACTATCTTTACGTTACATTGATGAAAGAAATATTGAGATCTTATCGACATACGTAAGTCAATGGAGTATGCAATTTTTGAAAAGAACAAGAAATAACGAATCTGTTCAAGTGTTTCGAAAGAGATGGGATAGAGCCACTATTAGAGGTTTACTGATGTTGTGGAAAGAAAAATATGACGAGAGACGATCGCCCAAAAAAATTAATGAAATGACTCAAAATATTCAAGGTACACAAACACCACAACGGGTTCCTCCACAAAATCAGGATACTATTCGTGGATCTTCAAAAGTTAGGAAATATAAAATGGATGCAAGAATCAGCCATTATAGGAGAGCAGGCAAAGCAATCCCTAGCCCCATTAAAGATGAAATAGGTGAATCTAGAGGATCACCAAACATTATTTCTCCTGTGAGGGCAGCACGGTTAGACTTTAAAAACATGACAGTCTTGAGACCTAATCAAACCGGTTACAGTCCCGTAAGATCGAACCCCAGAAGAAGAAGTCCAGATAGTTACAGCCAAGAAGGTTACTTGAATGGATCTCCGAGAGAAAAGACATTTAAATCATAAATAATTTTTAATTTATAATAATATTCTACTAGAAAAATAACGAAAGAACGATTACTGCATTGTGCTTCAAAATTGTATTTTGTTGTAGAGCAAATATAAGATTTCATAGGAACAGTCGGTTCTCTGTGTGAGGCCAAAATAACTACATGTTCAATAAATGTGTTAGTAAAAGAAGGGTGTTTTTTAAATATATGTGATTAGCCACAACTGTATGCAAACTGTTATTGTCGGTATGTATAATATCTAAATCGTGATGAAACATGACAGTTTAAACAGTTTTGTATTTAATTGTGCCTATTTTGCTTGTTTGTTAAGTTAAGTTTTCCGGGTAACTGGTTTTGCTATTTAGGGTGGCAAAAGAAAAAACGGAACTTATGGGGCATCCTAATTTATATATTGTTATGGTTTAGAAACAGACCATGTCGAAGAAAGAAACAAATATATTAAACGTTAGGTCAAACTTCAATCCATAACAGATAAAACTCCATTGGTTACCGTTTGTTAACACTTTCTATTAAATTATATTATTTTTGGAATTAATTGAGCTCCTTTTTAGTTTTTCAATTGTGATCTAATATAAGCAAGTGCTATTTTCATTATTAAAAAAAATAAAAATACAGAATTAAGAGAAGATGAATGGTATTCAAGTTGATATTAACCACCTAAAGAAGGGAGAAGTGAGTTTAGGTACCTCTATGTATGTTACAAAAGAAAATATTTTTACTTCCTCGTTTGATTTTATCAATTAAATGTTATTATGAATGATGTTTACTAACAATATTAATGATGCATATCCTACATGAAATTTGGATATGAAAACATATATTTTAATCAGTATGGCTGTAACTTTTAAGGATGGTGTGATATTGGGTGCTGATTCTCGTACAACAACAGGTGCATACATTGCTAACCGTGTTACCGATAAATTAACTAGAGTCCACGATAAAATTTGGTGTTGTAGGTCGGGTTCTGCAGCTGATACACAGGCTGTTGCTGACATTGTTCAATACCATTTAGATCTTTATACATCAACATATGGTACTCCATCTACAGAGACAGCAGCATCAATCTTCAAGACGATATGTTACGAAAACAAGGACGGTTTGAGCGCAGGTATCATTGTAGCAGGTTTTGATGACAAGACTAATAAAGGTGAGGTATTTAGTATTCCACTAGGTGGTTCAGTTCACAAGCAAGATTACGCAATTGCTGGTTCTGGGTCAGCTTTCATTTATGGTTATTGTGACAAGAATTATAAAAACGATATGTCAAAAGATGAAACAGTTAATTTTATGAAGCATTCTCTATCTCAGGCAATTAAATGGGATGGTTCTTCTGGTGGTGTCATCAGAATGGTAATTCTAACAAAGGAAGGTGTCGAGAGATTAGTTTTCTACCCAGACGAATATGAAAATTTATAATAGGTAATATCTAAATATATACATATATTGAAAAAATGACATAGTAAATAAAAGTACATCTAGTGAAGATAAATAAGTAACAACGTTATGGTTGTGGCAATGTGAGATTTGAGATTAATCAATCGTTCGTTACTCTTTTTGTTAGCTGTCATATTTCCCGCCCTAATAAAAAAAAGAAGTGCAATGGAAATATGAATATATAATTTAACTAAATATTGTTAAGTAGGATTGAACTCGTTTTAATAAGGAATAGCACTTTCTAAACTAGGAACATAAATTAGGGATGTTGAAAATTACTATAACCAGCTAACAGCGAAATATGTTTGGAGGCAATATGTACCGTTTATTAGTAATTTAAATTTATCTCAAGATCAAAAGGGTTCTAGCATTGTTAAGAATTTATTCCTTAAGTATATGAGATCTTCCAATATTTATGCTAACTAAGTTTCCAATTTAAAATTCAAGTAAGGGGGACCTTAGAGTTCCAAAATGGCCACAAAAATAGAAAACACTTCGTCTTTATCTCACCTACCACATGTTATTTTTAAATGTGAAATAACATGATTAGATAAGACCTGAATGGCAAAAATAATTTCCAAATTTTAACCAACACCATAAATACACACAAAGGAGCTATAAATCAAAAATAATTTGGAATGGAGGTGGTTTATTCGGATAAGAAATATTAATCTCTGTCATTTCTGAAGTTTTCTTGAACTAATGTTTATTGTTGTTCTATTATTCTATGAAATAGTAAACAGATTAAACAGACATTTAGACCGTTACTCTATTATGTCTTTAAATTTCCCTATCCCTTCTATTGGAAATAACAAATAATATGGATATTTTTATCATAAGAACTTTTAAGGACGTTTGCTTGATTTTGAATATTAGTGACACAGATAATAATGAAAAAGTTAATTAGAATTTTTTTAGATCTAATCATACCTAATATAAACCAATATGGTGGCGTTAAATAATTAGATCAGATTTATGACCTAAATTAACCTAATTGTTCAGTAAGTTTAGTAAGAAGGACTAAAGAAGTCTAAAATATAAAAAAGGCTAACCTATCTGTAATATATAAAGCAATACCTTCTATCAACTTGCATCTCTACATCTATACTGTATATACACACTCAGTGAAGCATATAACTCAAGATAAAACGTTTTCCTTCAAAACCGATGAATATCAACAAGTCCAACCAAACTGAACATTACTATCTTATAACTATTTGTTGGATTTTGGAATTATTAGAGGAATCCATTTCTTTAATATGGTACAAAATTTAATTTATTAGAAATCAACGTATAGTGGTCTGATTTCTTTAGTATACAAATTATAAATAATATACAAAATAATCAGGGAAATAAAATATTCCAATGCATGAAATATTGTTCCCTTTATATACCTTTGGATTGGGTAACATTTCGTGATTATAAATCTCCAATACTAGCATTGTAGAAATTATGCATGGTTTCCAAATGCGTCTTATTATTATCTTTTCTCATTTTGGATTGTTAAATATTGAACATTATCAAATCTGACAATCTTTATTATTCTTTTATTCTTATATTTTATATTCTTGACGTCATTCTTTTATCATGTAAATTCCGACACTATTCAATAACAGCAATTCCCCATCTCCTTAATGTACCTTCTCTTCAAGCATTTTATCATGTTAATTAGGACTCCCTTTTTCTCAATAGTTTCTAATATTCGGCTTAGATATACAATTAAAGCAGAATGTTTTGGACTGTCGGAAAATATTTGTTTGGATAATGTATCTAAATTTGGACTTAAATTTTCAGTATTTAAAGGCAACTTGGCCGAGTGGTTAAGGCGAAAGATTAGAAATCTTTTGGGCTCTGCCCGCGCAGGTTCAAATCCTGCAGTTGTCGTTATTTTTTTGAATTTTTTTTATTTGGCCTCATTTGAATCTCTACTAGAATTTGAGCTATGCCACCCTCTAACATCGTGAAGATCTTCTAACTTGTTAAAACTTTATTGTTTGAGATGTTATAAACATTACAGAAATTGATACAATATTTAAATCTGAGATTCATGGTTATTTTAACGCAATATCCTATCACTTATTTAGCTAAAGATATGAATTATTGGCCCTATAATTATTTTTTTATTTTAAAACTAGTTTCATTAAAGATGAAGCACTAATTTAGTTTATATTTTCAAGCTCATTCTGCATTTAATATTTTGACTTGAAATACAAAATATTTTAATTATAACTTCACAGAATAATTCCGAAACCATGAGCACAAGGAAGAAGATAAAAAATTTCAATTCTTGAATTATAATAAGTATGCATTGTATGTATCTTGCTTAAGATCGCAGGATTTACTGAGCTGAATATTCTAAGGTATATAGCATGGGATATTCACATGAGCATAAAAATTAACATTAATTAAATAACACATAGAATATTGTGTGCAATTATTATAATTGAATAGGCTTATACGATGATACTTGAATAAGAAGTTCTTGGATGTGAAGGTTAACAACTAAGCCACTAAATTCGTAATATATAAAGACAGAGGTTTGAAATAAATAATCTGTATATTAAATAATTCTTTCCGAAATACATGAAGAATTATCTGTATAATATCTGTATAATAACAATGAATGAAAATAAAAATATAATCAATGCTCAATTAGGTAGAAACGAGGAATTCTATCAGGATTACTGTCACAGTGACACTTAGTTGCTTTGAAAAAAAAATTTAATTTTTGTTTTTTAAAGAGATTTCGGTTTATTTTTTTAAGTTTAGTATTTAAAAACCAAGGTACCAAATATGGGGCCTAAGTAAACAAAAACATAAAAGTGATAATAATCATTTACATATTATTCAAGCGAATAATAGGTTTAAGAGAAATAATTAATACGAAAACCAAAGAGTATCAAATGATATTTCAAATGCTATGAGTAATCTAATAATAGATCTGAATGATTTACAAAGGTTAAGACAAAATAACAACAACGGGAACCAGTACTTATATGATGATCCCATTCGATGTCGTGTATTTACACAAATAGTTGAACTTGAGTTTTTGGATCCTAGAACCACCTCACCTGCAAACTTTTGCATGTGTAACATTAAAATAAGAAACATTTCAATGTTTCGTGATCTTCTTGATTATCGACCTCAAGATATTACTCTCGTAGTAAAAATGGATGAAAATGTGTATGATAGCATATCCAAACAAGGGAATAGATCAATACAAAGTGGTGATCTATGTGAGATGAATCTCGTAACATGGAATCCACAAAATCATTTGAACAGTACCACTGAATTATGGGAAGTTATCGATATGAATTTCCTTTCACTGACTGATATAGAAGACCTACATACTTTTTTATTAAGTAAAGAAGGGAAAGAATTCCTAATGATGTCAAATCCAGCCCAGAATGTTACCTAAGGTATCTTTATTTGAAACTATTAATAGGTAATAGAGAACCATCCAGTCCCGGTATTCTTATTCTACGAAAACAAAATACCTAAAAATTCGGTAGAGAATAATATATAAAATTAGCAGCAAAAAAGCTCATTTTGTCTTAATAGTTGTGTGATTAGTATACAAAATATGTTATATATAAAGCTATATATATATAATAGTTAATTCCCTTTTCTCTTTAATATTATTGTTATTTTTTAAAAAAAAAGTTGAGATGAAATGTAATATTATCGAATGAGGATATAAGTTAAATGACGTGTTTATTTCTATTAGCATAAAATAATGAAAGAAAAGAGAAAGTAAATACAAAATAGATCCTTTAAAATTTACAATTAGAATGCAATCTTCTTGGAGTTTCTCTTTCTGTTTTTCAACATTATCTTTTGCTTTTGTTGTTCTTCTTCCTCTTCTTCTTCGCTGTCGATCTCCATATCTTCTTCTTCCTCTGATTCTTCTTCGGCCATTTCTTCTCTAGCTTGTTCCTTAGCCAAAGCATTGGCAATTTCAATATCTCTAATTCTTAATAGTTCTGGGTTAGATTCGACTAATTTCTTATCTCTTAAGAAGTCTCTTTCTTTATTACCTCTCATTCTGTTCTTGTAGAATGCTCTTTCACGTTTCTGTCTGATCTCTTCAATTCTAGCCATAGCCTTTAATGTAGTAGCTACTAATTCTCTGTTATATCTGACTGGAACGTTTCTTCTTTGAGCAAATGTCAATGTAGAGTCAACAGCCAATTCTTTACCAGCAGCCTTTCTGAAAGCTTTAGTCCACTTCAACTTACGTGGGTTACGACGTTGTTTGAATGCCTTATGACACTTGGAACGACAAAATCTGAATTCTTTGGCATCGTTTCTCACAAACATAATACCATGACCTGGATAGACAGGTGATGAGCAGAAATGACATTGATAGATTCTCATGACGGATGGAGTATATTAGCTTGGTAGAAATGTGTATCTATATGGTATTAATAGCTTATGGATGCTCTCTCACTGATTATCAAACTACTTAATGGATATAGAATGTAATAAACTAAAGTGCATACCTTAGATATAACAGTTCAAATTATAAAAAGGTCTTAAAAGTTAGTAAAATTTAAGAGATGAGCATTGAAATTTTTCATTTATTTTTCATTATTTGAAGCGAAAATTTTTTCATTTTTTTCCATTTTTTGTTTTCGCTTTCCCACAGTGAAGGAAGAAACGGAAATTGATTTATACTATATAATTTATTTTTTCTTCGCCCTTCTCAATAAACAGGTAGAATAGTTTGACCTTGAACGAATTTGATTGAATGATTGAAGGGCTCCTTCGGTAGTTGAAACTTTGGGAAAAATCAGTCACAGAGAGAGAGAGAGATAGAGAGAGCTCAAGGTACTAAGACTAAAAACAAAAGTTAAAACCCTGTTGAAGCGTAACAACGGATGAGATTAAGTATAGATAAAAGGGTTCTACATATTCCTGTTCAATCCCAATACCAGTTAATGCTGTAGAACTGAAATACGGTACACCGATATCCTTTCCTACGTCTTTGCATCATTTTTACTTTTAACTTCCATTGTTATTATTTACTCTGACTAAGCTAATCTTCGAGTAAACAATAACCAATACAAGTTTAATAAGAACCTTCACTTTTCTTTTTATTTTACAACATTCCTAACTTCTATTTGCATAATGAGTGCTCCACAGGATGCTGCCCCACAATTACCTATTCCTAATGAAAATAATGTAACAGCTGGTACTTTACAAGTACCAACGACGATACCTTCTCAAAAAAGTGGTATGGATCTATATTTTGATAATGCTTTATCCTATATGGGAGATCACCCAGTATTGACAGGTGTAGGTGCATTTTTTGCTTTGTATGCTACGGCAGGTATATATAAAGGTGTACAGACTAAATTAAATGGTGGGAAATCAGTAGCGACATATTTGAAAGGTGGATTTGATCCGAAGATGAATAAGAAAGAAGCTTTACAAATTTTAAATTTGACTGAAAATAATCTAACTAAGAAGAAATTAAAAGAAGTCCATAGAAAGATTATGTTAGCTAATCATCCAGATAAAGGTGGTTCTCCATACCTTGCAACTAAAATTAATGAAGCTAAGGATTTTATTGAAAAGAAAGGAAGTTTAAGCAAATGAAAGGACCATCCCTTTTTCTTTGTTTTCTTCATTGCCACATAAGGTATACATTTTTATCAAAACTTTTTTGTTCATTTGAAAATACTGAACTAAAAAATTACGCTTCAAAAATACTTCTCACCATAAGTTTTGACTTTTCTCAATCTTTCTTTTGCTTTTCATCATCATCATCAGACCATATTGTACATATTTATATTTCAAGAGAATATTGAGAAGAGATTTTAAAATAAATGCAAAAATAAAATTATACTAATATCTAGAATAATGTAAATAATTAATTAAATAATCTACTTAAACCAAAAAAAAAAAAAAAA